CTACCATCGCTTTGGAGTAGCCATTCCGTTGAAGATCATTTTTGATGATGTCTAGTTCCTTCTCGAGACCTTCCTTCGTATTACAGAGCCCAAAAGCACGGTCTAATAGAGTCTTGATGATTCCTCTTTTAGTCGATTGATGGTGGTTGGATTCGTGGTTCAGATACTGTCCCGTATGAGTGGGTTTTCGGTATACAGATGTTTCCCACTTAGTGTCGGTCCTCTTCATCAAAACGTCATAGTAGACAATGGAAGTCCGAACTAGTGAAATTCACACATGAATATAAAATGAGCAATGAACACTGATAACAAAGGTTGTTACCACATCTCCAGAGCAGTTCCCACTTCACAGCAATTGATTTTTTAATTTATTGCTCTTTATTTTATTGTTCTTTGTACTCAAAATAAAAGTTTATGATAAGATGAACATGATTAAGTTTTGAACATTGCCTCACACTTCATTGCGGCGGTGAATTAGTTAACAACAGAGCAGATAGCAAATGAGTTATATTATAATATGTTTTTTGCCTAATTGTTCGCCGTCCTAAAATCATTTATTTTTGTTAGGCCAAGTCCTGAGTTTCTGAATTTGAAATATTACGGATAGCATTTAAATGCTTAAACATAAATAGGGGTTGGGATTTTGATAAATAGAACTTGGAACCTCTTGCGTATTTACCCGTTTAACACCTAGTACCTAATGTTCTTTGCTACCTGATGATTAGATTAGATATCAGTCGGTTAGAAAAGGCAATTAGACAAAACCGGAGGTCAAAAAAACGGAGTATTCATAGTTCTCAACAGGGGTGCTAGACTGAACCACAAATACATTGCTTGACTTGACTCAACTTACCTTAAAAGACAAGTCTGAGTAAGTAGTGGTGATATTTTCCCTCACGGCCGTTGACATCTACCACCGAAAGAAATTCGCCTCTATCCTGTATAAATACCTGCAATAATTTTAGAATGTACTCAGGAACACAGATTTAAGGAATCGTTTGTACATGAGACACCAGAGTTGATCTCACTTTCTGAGAAGAGGATTTAAAAGAAGAAATTTCAAGATACATCCCTTCACAAATATCACTTGATTTAACTCTGAATACTGCTTCTTCTTCGGCTATCGATTTGGAAGTACTTTATAAATAACGGATTATTTCCGTCAACAATAATATTTTGAAAAAATTGTTTTTGAAATAGACTCGATATTTAGTAGAAATTTCAATACAAAACCTCACTTTGACAAATCTTTGTTTTCCTAGAAGTATGCACCGCCGCCTTGTGGTGTTCCACTTGTAACATTGGATATATTATTGAGGCTTAGGCTAACTGTGGAAAAAAAAAGAAGAATCATTTTGTGACATTACTGACATTCACGAACTTCAATTTAAGGTTATGTCGTTAGACGTCAAGTATCTTTCATTAATTGTATTCTATTTTCAAAAATAATAAATAATCTTTTTCGTCATTATTATGCGGTGAGGTATTCCTGTGTGTTAATTTAATTAAATTTTCTTCATTACAAAAGCCACACCCAGTATACAAAATAGTAACCATATTTATTCGACCTCTTAATAAAAAATATATACATATCAAAAGAGTAGAGGTTGAATATTAAAAACCTTTCAAAAAAATATCACAACATATGAGTACACTAACATTTCAGTATTTGGGTGAAAACCGATAGGGTTTGAAAATAAAATTGCCCGTCTTGGGATACAATTTAAATTAATTAAATTATTAAGCCCTTTCTATTCACACAATAATGAAACATTTTATTTCAATATAATTGAGTGATTTTATGCAAAAAGATCAATAATTTATATTTATTTTTTGGAACATGCATATAATCCTGAACAAGCACTGTCCTGAAACACCAGAACTGCAACACTCTTCTCAACGCGCGTCCAGACCAAACAAGTTGAAATAAAGTAGATTACTTCACCTCCTGAAGATGCCAACTTGGTTGGTGAAACGTTTGTTGAGAATAGTGTTGCAATTCTGGTGGGAGCAGTGTGTGTTTTCATTCTATGCAAGAGGTTCAAGTTCTACCTTTTACCTAAGTGGTGTTTTCAGTTACGAATATTTCCTAATTATTATGAATGTAAAGCATGGCATTGCAAATATTTTAGATTGTCTACATAGAGAATTACATGATGTTGAAATATTTATTTTGTCATTGTTTGGGGGTTAAAAGATAATTTGAGCATTGAGTTTCGCTATAATTATGCAAAGAAAATATACAGTTGCTTGTATATTAACATCATTTCTTTTCTTTCAGAATATTACACAACAAACACCTTTCATTGTTTCTCCTGTTGTAGTAACGAACCGCCATAGTGTAATTGCAAACAAGGTAGAACCTCCAACTTCTAAATAAATATTCACTAAAAGCTTTCATTTCACAGAATCATTCATCAAAACAAACATCTATTTTATTTTCGAACCCCCAGGACATTGTTCCAATACATGTAGTGCAGGTGGTTGATTCGTATTCACGTCCAATTCTTCCCAAAGGAATTATCACCATAGATACTATTCAAGCCACAGTTGTGCCCCAATCCAAAAAACGAAAGAAGCTGAATGATAAGAAGCAGAAAAATTCTGTGGCTTCAACCAATGCAAACAAACGTAAATGTGCAAATAATAATAAAGGTGATCCAATATCTAACTTTGTTAAATGTTTGTGTAAGTCTTTAGACATTGAAAAAATTGGTTACCTGTACTCCATTCGACTAAACTTGGAAGAGACAAAAGATCAAGAAGTTGTGGTTGTAGAGGATGAAGACAATCAAATTATTGTAGAAACCAATGGCACATTCAAAGTGAACAGTCTAGAGCCTTCAGCTGATTCGACCTTGTTGCCTAGCATGCCAAATATACTCACTTCTGTCAAAATTGATCTCGACAATGAAGGAGAAACCTGCGAAGTGGATAAGAAACCTGTACTACAGGTTTCTGAGAAAAGAAATGTATCCCTAGAATTTTCTACTATAAGTAGCTCTAGTTTTCAACAGCCCAATACGAGTACGGAAGTGGAATTTTGTTCTCAAGAAAGTTCAACTGCCTGCAATATTAATCAGAATATAGACATCAATCAGATGGAGATTGATGTCAAACCTGTACAGTTAATAGAAACCGTTTACAATACTGATGACTACTGTTTGAAGGTAAGTAATTAAAAGTGATAATGGTGGTAATTTATCAAAATATATATAATTCATTAATGTCAATCAAGATTACACATTTATAATAAATATATAAAAATGGATAAACATATCAAAGTAATCCAGTATCAAAAACTAAAAGACAAACTACAGAGGGAAATACATATGAATTTACCATATACATGCAATTTATAAGACTTTCAAGAATACTTTTAAATACTTTTTCAATTAAGACTGTATTTAAAAAATACTGTAACGTGAGATTTCCACTTGGAAGTTTACAAAACCGGTCAGTATCGGTCAGTTCTACCATATTTTTTATATTTTTTTATATTAGTTCTAGTTCCAAATATCTGATATATGGCAAACTTCGTTAAGTTTGCGGTGTTATATAAATGTTTCAGTATTTTAACTTGTACCACATTTAATTATATTACACTTCGATGAATACTTTCTTAAATTTTTAATTAGGTTAGCACTCAGTTGTATTCATTTTCCATTTATTGTTTAAGGATAATATAGATGATATCAATGCATTGATGTCAGCTAGTGCAAGTACAACAAGCAAACCATTGGTGAAAAAAGAACCATCGGGAGCTGAGAAAAGAAGAGCCAAAAGAAAAAGGGAATTTTTGAGTAATCTTTCAGTTTCCACTCCGGAAGATCGCGAAACAGAGAAACAAAAGAACGAGTGTAAGTGGAAATTAATTACATTATTCTTGAAAATATATAATACAGTGTAATGTATACTCTGTGTTATATGATGGATCGGGATGGAAAATAACAAAAATATAGTCATCACATGATTCGCATATTCTGTAAAATTAAAAAATTACAAAAGTGAGGTTATTTGTTGAAATATTTGAAAAAGTTATAGCATAATATGCAAAATGTGTGATGCTTCAGATAATTTTTATTCAATTCGAAGGTGGTAAATTTTTTGTAGAGATTTGTTTTCGGGAACAAAAAGCTTGTTGGCTGGCTGCTCCTCCCTCTCTATACAAAAAATTTAGGAAACTCCCAAACTTTTTTCAATTTTTCATCTTGGTTGATGGAGAAATTGATGCCAAATTGAAATTTCAAATAAAGTTATAGCAAACAAATCCTTTGATTGTAAGATATCCAGAAAATGACATTTGTTAATACTATATTTTTAAAAGGAAATCATTTCATTCAATTGCCCATGTGTGAATTCCATGTGAAAAAGTAATTTTAACAGGCTTTGCTTTCAGTATTTGCTTTGTCTTACTATGACAAGATGAGAGAAACCCTCGAACTACAAGACTACCACAAAATCATTCAGATCCTGAATAATTACGAGGAAGGAGATGGAGTGGAACTTTACAAGCAAGTCGAAGTAGTTCTCAGGCCCAAATACATTGAGCTCGCCGACGAATTTCTCTTGTTCTTACGAGAGAAGGAAGCCGCCGCCGTCGATCGGCTCATACCATGGATACGCATGAACAACAGGTCTAAGTTTTTGAGGAAGTTGGAAATTTATTTCAAGGTAAAGTATGTCTGAACTGAGGCTCTTACTTTAATAATACATTAAAGGGCAGAGTTATCATAGGAGGGGTTGTCAAATATATTGTGTATGAGACAGAAAGTTAGGAAGAACGCAACAATTTTTCCAAAATCATATGAACCTTTTCTTATCTGAAGTATTTTCGATATTTTCTAACATAATTCAATTTCGTTTTCAGGATTATCCCGCTCAGTTGAAGAGAATCTACAAGTGTTTGGCAGAACTGTCACAGACCGCTGATATTTCCACAGAGACCATCAAGAGTACTTTGCTACCAATGTTCAAGGGCAACGACGTGTTGAGTGATTTGTTTTTGCAAAACTTTCTGGAAGAACCCCCTCCACCAAGGTTGAATACTAACATACAACACTAATGTTTCTCTTGTTCAGTGAAAGGGCACAAATAAATAATGAAATAGAGAGAGAAATGGAGGAAGAGAGAAAAAAAGCATGGAGAGAGTAAGAGTGAGATGGCATGAGAGAGATGGAGAGAGTAAGAGTGTGACAGAATGAGAAAGATTGGAGATAGTAAGAGTGAAATGGAGAGAGAAATAGAGATGGCAAGAGTAAGAATGAGATGGAGAGATAATGTTATGGTTTGCCAGGGGTTTGTTTGCTTGATAATAATCTTTGGGCACACAATTCTGCTGACCAACAGCTGACAAAATCAAAATATTAATCTCTCTCGTTTATTCTGCTCCTTAGAGTTCGGAAAATACAGCACCTTCAATATGCAACTCACTTGTTTCTTGAAATAAATGATCAATACAGGAAAATGTACTTATGATGCACTGTTTGGAACCTTTGGTGTAGTAATGAATATTACTGGAGTTTTTTCCCAACACCAAATCGTTATTTTCAACACCTCAACACGTGTTTCGATCACCAAGTGATCATCTTCAAAGAGGAAGATTAAAACTGTTTTAATCTTCCTCTTTGAAGATGATCAGAGGAAGATTAAAACTGTTTTAATCTTCCTCTTTGAAGATGATCAGAGGAAGATTAAAACTGTTTTAATCTTCCTCTTTGAAAATTATCACTTGGTGATCGAAACACGTGTCGAGGTGTTAAAAATAACGATTTGGTGTTGGGAAAAAACTCCAGTAATATTCAATACAGGAAAAATCTACCAAAACCGATATTAAAGTATTATACACACAAGTCTATCAATATCTGACTAATAAAGAATTTTGATTGCTCTTTTTTTTTAATCTGAGTCGAGCTTTTGACACGTTTGACTAGGATAGTAGGTAATGATTGGGTTGCACATGATTTGGAAAATAATTGAGTTAGTAAAGTCAAATGCTACAAAACTGTTAGTGTAACCACAAGGTTTGGTTCTGCATCCTTTACTTTTTATAATGTTCATTAGTGATATAACTTCACACAACTCTGAAAAAAAAACATTAATTAAGCAGGAATCACACGTTAAAACGTAAGACCTCGTTAGTCATTAGCTCGCACAAGTTTCTCAACTTCTGAGAGTTGTTGTTCGTATGAGGGCGACAGTTGATTAACGGAAAAACAGATTTTTAAACAGATGATACCAATTAGCTAATTGCGTATAGTGATCCAGCAAAATCAATGGAAATATCAAATATAACGGCGCAGTAATTAGTTATTACTATAGTCAATTAACGATGAATCATCAATCTGCAGAGCTAATTGACTGCATTAAATTTCTTGAAATTTTCGTAAATCATAAACTTACATAGGAAATTCTAGTATTGAAATTGAGCTTTGTCTGATTTGTCATTTGACAACTACATGGCACTGTCATTTTGGATATTCTTAAACTAGCTCTCCAGGTACTTGGTAATTCCTTATTAAGCTGTAGCCTGATATTCTGAGATAATTCTGCTAACTTTCACTGTGCTCAAAAATATGTGCTGAATAAAGAATTCTTGGGGCTCGTACTTCTTTTACAGAAATCTTGTACTAAGCACGAATACTTTTAATTTGAAATTGTAAGTAAGGCACTTTTTCATTATTTTTTTTTTCGCTCCAAATTGAATAAATACATTGTGATTTACTTTCAAAAAATGAAATATCATTTTTTGATACCAACTTAATGATTATCTTATGTACAATGGTACATAAGGTAGAAAACAAATAAAATTTCAGTTAGCAATCTTATAATATATTTCTATGCAGACTGCTTTTCAGCTGATTCCACTATTGCTATGGTGAGACAAGGTTTATGAAATTGAACAAAAGTTCCATACTTCCATCGTCTACTATATAAAATGGATTTGAAATCCCTGAAACAACTAAAAAAGAAGAATTGAAAATGAATAGCTGAAAATAACAATTATATCAACCAAAATAAACCTGAAATGAAACAATAGTGAAATAAAATACAAGTAAAAATAGAACAATTGAATAAATAAAAATAACGTGACTTGGAATCTCTCCACTTTTTATTTTCTTTTTTCATTTCTTTATTTTTATTTATTCAATTGCTCTATTTTTACTTGTATTTTATTTCACTATTGTTTCATTTCAGGTTTATTTTGGTTAATATAATTGTTATTTTCAGCTACTCATTTTCAATTCTTCTTTTTTAGTTGTTTCAGGGATTTCAAATCATTTTATATAGTAGACAATGGAAGTCCGAACTAGTGAAATTCATCATTAAACATTGTCAATCACTTTCAAACAAAAGTTCCATAATTAGGTTGACAATAAAAGTTACTAGATTTGTCCCCTCCATTTCAAATAATATGAAAATAAGGTAAAGTGTAGCTGTTAAAAGCCAAATGGATCTTTCCCAAAAACCTAAACTCTCATGAACATTTTTTTTCAATTCAAGGTGAAAGAACTTTGTGTGCTTATGATCTGGTTCAATCCACTTTTTGTATGTGATGTTTCGTTCATTGGATTCTACAACTTTATTTTCAATATGGACGTTAAGTTTTTTCATCTGTTTTAATAGTAACAATTTATTCCCAAGAAACATACATAAAAATATGTGTCAGATGAATGAAGCTGCAAAGTTTGAATTTTTATAACACTGATATGTATGAAATATTTTTATTGTTTCGTGGCTAAAAAGAAATCTTTCTAGGAAATAACTTTTGTTTTTCGATAACAAGTCTGTGATGATAAATATTTGTTGCAAAATAAGACATAATACGATTGCTAATTGACATTTTATATGTTCACTTGAAGATTATCTCTCGATTATTGTATGTACGATATTCATTATGTATTAACGATGATATTTCGTTTATGATAATAATAACACATTTTTACAAGCATTTTCATTTCTAAGCAAAACTTGTCTAGAAATAAAACTGTCCAGTGAAAATGTCACAATAAAGTGTTACTTGAATATGTTATGAGTTTTTATCGAGTATGAGCCAACTCTATGTGTTTGGATAGGTTTCCACGGTAGGAAATTTGATATACTATTGTCCAGGTTGAAACGCGTCTGTAATTTTCATTTTGTCAGCTTCTGCTTTGAAGCCATTTTCAAAACCACTTGAAACTGAACAAGTCTCGTCACTGGCTTTGTTTTTTCTTTGTTCATCTCCAAGTGTTCACTTGGAGCCAAATATTTGTGCAAGTCACAAATTGATTTTTTTTTAGTTTGATGGAAGGAGCTTATGAGGAAATGGACATCGCCAAAGAAATGTCAAGAAATGATGATGAGGAACCGTTTGAAACTATCACGGTACCTCACAGCGAAGACAAATACGGCAGCCAGTCTTGTATTTGTGCCTGCCATAAAATTGAAGATTCTGAGTTTCAGTCGAGATATCGGCATTGTACCAAATGTGGAACCAGGGTACATATTATTTTTTATTGCATCTATTTCATGATTTTTCTGTTTGGTTGATTTCTGCTAGGTTCAATGATTGTTTTCACCAACAGTTTATAAATGGAAGGGTGTACTTACAAACTGGCAAAGGACCACGTCCAGCGACTGTGTCTTTCCTCAACAGTTCCAACACAGACCAGAACACAAGGTTGATGGGAAAATCATCACCCAGTTTGAATCAAAAAAAGAAGAGATCTGATAGTAGTCCGTCTAAGCTGGTTTCAACTTATCCTTCAAAGGAAAACTTAGACGAGGTATTTTCAATATAGTTTTATTTTACATTCCAAGAATAGATTATTTTTCAAGAAACTTAGGTACATACATGTTTATGGCAAGGAAAATATAAATATATCAAGAATGAGTTTTAGTTGGAATATTGTAATTAGTCATGAGTTTGTTATTATGTACACAGATTTCTGAAAGACGTTGACACAGACATGAAGGGATTAACAATCTTATGTTATGTTTTTATTTTAGGAAACCGATGAAGAAGGAGATGGTAAGAAAAAAGCAAAGAAAAAACCCCAAAAACGGACCTGATAAATCTCCCGAGCCCAAGCGAATTCGAATAGGTAGTATTTCCAAGAAAACCTCACCTCTTACTGATCAATCAAAATCTACCGGGTCAAATGTCAAGGACCTGAAACTGTGCGGGAGGAAAAGGACCAATTCTATTAAGAAGACACCAGAAAAGACCAGGGAAAAAGGTGAAGCTGAACAAGAAGAAGAAAGTATTTCGACAAAGCCTGATGATAATCCTGATCAAAAGAGACTGCTGGAAGAGTCTTTGGAATGGGGTGATCAAAGCGCAGCCGGTGAATCATCTTGTGATATCAAGCCTGTAAGTCCGGATCAACAAACTGCTGACTCTGAAAGTGGTGAGTGAATTTTTATTTGTCATTGATGAATAAAAAGCGAGGTTTTTAATTATAAAAAAAATATTTACTTTATCAAATCCCGAGCATTATTGCTCGGGATTTTTAGTTGCTAGCATTATAAACACAATGTCTACTTTTGAAGTACAGCCACCTAAGAACATTCCGAAAAAAATTCAGTTCACAGTTTTTTCATTCTAAATGTTCCGTAAGTTGATGACATCTTTAGCTATTGAAATATTCCAGAATTTTGTGAGGAGTCGTCTCAGGATAATTGTGAGTCGGATAGCAACTCAAGTGTATCTTCTTCGAATAATGCAGAAGACAGTTATACCAAGCTGCAAGAAGAGAACTCATCTTGGAGTCGGGAGGAAGATAAAGTTATTTTAGAAGTGTTTCAGCAAGAGAACGATAAAGACAGTGCTTTTCAAGTGATTGCATCACAATTGTCAGATCGAACTGTGGAAGAGATAAAGTCTCGATTCGAAACTCTCATGAAGTTGCTGTTAGAAACCATTGGAAATTGATAATTCTAGTCTATACTCGTCGATTTTTTAATTTGATACTGTATTTTATGATTGAATTGAAAAAATGTACATAGATTTTTAATGTAATTTGTTTTCTTTTTGTACAATGTATCCAGAAGCAGCAATGTATCCACCTCTTGAAAGAAATCCAATTTTTTGACATTGTCAATAAAAGTTATGTTCAAATGTCTGATGAGGGACTTTTCCACGATGTCGCCAATATTGACTATTAGTGTTGAACCTCAGAAACCCCTTTCATTTTGTTATTAGCTTTGTTAAACAGTAATGAGTAAGGTGCTACTGAAGATCAAATTATTCTTTATAAGAATGATACAACTAGTGAAGAAAAGTAAATGTTGCATTACAAGAATTATTGTAGAAAATTATACAGGGTGTACTTTTGTTTCGGGTCATATAAAAAAATAAAGTTGATGATGGTTTCTTGAAAACGAAACGTCGGATATAAAATCTAAAAATACCATCGTGTAGTACCTTAAAAGTGCCAATGAAAAAGTGTTATTCGTTTTTTGATATCTTTTCAAATATGTCGAATGATAAACAAGTATCAAGTTGAAATTCCAAATACTTCACTGATGTTACTATTTCTATATGTTCCTCTTCAATTTTTATATTTATGTTGTATTTATTTGATTATATTTGAATTTAGTAGTGATTATCATTGCTTTTGTATTTTTAACGTTAAGCTTCATTTTATTGGTTTTCAAATATTTCTCTACTTTCTCTAGAACTTTATTCATTTTACCAACAGTTTCTTCTAAATTTACTCCAGTACAGGCCAAAAAGGTATTATCTGCAAATAAGTTGATGAACTCACAGTCTGTAAATAATCGTATATCATTCAGATACAGAATGAATAATAGGGGACCAAGCACACTACCTTGTGGTACTCCTGTGTGATTTGTTATATATGATTAGAAATAATCGTTCACACATACTCTCTGTTTCCTATTTGATAAATGATTACTTATCCATTCATAAACCATCCCATATCTTCTCAGCTTCTGAAGCAAAATACTTCAATCAATCGTTTCAAAGGCCCTTTTGAAACCTAAAAAGACAGCTAAAACATATTAACCTTTATCTTTTTCATTAGTATTTAGTTAATGATAACTGTAGTGATGTTTCACAAGAATATTTTTTTCGAAAACCAGATTGATTGATGATGACTTGATTTTTGTAGATAAACTCTAATAATTGATTATATACTACTTTTTCTAAAACCTTCTCTATTGGCGGTAAGGTATTAATAGGTCTAAATTCATTTGCTTTTATAGTGTTTGTAACTTTAGGTATGGGTATAATGGTACTTATTTTTAATAATTCGGGCAATTGACCATTCTGTAGCGATGTATTGATTAAATTGAGGATTGCATGACCAGGTATTTCAAATACTTGCTTTATCATTTTAGAATTCAAGATTTCATGGATACTACATTTATTATCTAATGACCCAATTATATCATTCAAATCTCTTATTATAGATCAATATACAACTGTTACATTTTTTTAAAATGTTTTTCACGAATAATCTTATTAGAATAAAAAATTAGTTGGTTCAACTGAATTGATTACAAAAGTTTTATAGAGAGCGACAATATGCTTTATTGTTCAAGGAAGTAAATTCTTATTGAAAGCCTGTAAAATGTTAAATTATCATAAAAAATTATGAAAACAATTTAAAACAGTTAACTGTAAACAATAAAAAATATGTATAAGATTATCAGTGAAAAGCATGTTGAATAAGTATAATATGTACCTATATAAGAGAATGGTGAGTGCACCACATACGTATCATAAGCTGTAGCTTGAAATATGTCACTTTGAATGTCTCGCCAGGTAAGAGGTAGGTCATTGAAACTTTTATTATTCCCTTGACATTAAAGAAATATGATTGAGGTTGAGGAGGGCATTGAAATACAAGATATGATGAGAGGAGCGAGTGTTATAGGCTGAGATTGAAATAATTTCTACTTTGTATTTCTTGTGCATGAGGCATACTATTTTTAAAATATTAAGATAAATTAAAAACAAAACTTATGTTCCAAAACAATTGGAAGACAAAAATCATGGTAGAATAGTATGCACAAGCGCTTCAAAAACAAATTTCATAACGTAAATATGCCTAATAGACACTTTTTGTGATACCTATATTCACAACTCATTAGGCAGCCTGAAGTATCATTTGCACAATTTAGTAATATTGCAATCAAATTTTAGTTTGCAACAATCTGAAATCTTAGAAATTTTCCATAGTATTTGAGATTATGTGATGGAATTGACTGATACTTGATGAAAATCCATAACGTATTCAAGAAACACTTTAACGTGAGCTTTTCGTCAAGCAGTTTTACAAAAAACGCAACACGTGTTTCGATAAACAATAACATCTTCACGTGTATATACTAACTATACTAGTATAGATAGATATTATATACTCAGTTGTAGGTTTGGCTGGTGTGGTGCATACGAAAATCTTGGAAAAGTGAAAAGAAATACCCAAGTGAGGAGGAGTATTTTGTCAGAAGTTGTACAGTGTTTATGAATTTAGATGTTAATTACAACCGGAAATTTTCAGACAGTAGATGTCTATATAAGTTAGTTATAGCAGCTGCTGTGGTACCAAGCTTTTTTTTATTCAACAAAAAAATCTTTTATACACAGGCAGTACAAAACATCAGATTGGTCAACAATTGAGTAGATATGAATACTTATAAATCATGTAAAAATATATATGCATGTAAAATTCACAATTTTACTTAATTCTTATCAAAATCTTCACGAAGTGAAGTGAATCTTCACGAAGTGATAAACAATTATCAAGTGGAATACGAAGCAACAAAGTAAGTTCTTTATTTGGAGTTGAATAAATAATAGCTCACACTATATAGTATAGACCGCAAGACCATGCGGCGGAATCTTTAGGGGGTATGATTTCCATAGTCCTGCAGTAGAATGAAAATTTTGGAAAAGTGAAAACAAAAACACAAGTTGAAAGAGGGAAATTCTTCCGTATCCAATTTGGATACCAATTACGATTGGGATCTTTCTTAACGAAACTCCATTAAAAATTTGTCATTTTTTTTGTTCGAACAAGTAACCTCTATATGCAAAGGTGGGAAATTGTTATACGGCTTTCGTGAAATTAGTTTTTCATATAAAAACAATACTGATGGTGCAAAAGTTCCTCTCTAGAGATAAAAATCGACCGCCATTTATGGAAATTGGCCCTATTTTGTTTTTATAGGTCACCCTGTATATACTGAGTTCGCACATGGTACAAATCTGCTGTATTAAAAATATTCAGTCGTTTAAAGTCCTTTTCATATGATTGCCACTATTACCGCAATATCAAGACAAAAGAATATTCTGGAAGGCTATAATTTTTATTGAATATAATTGCAAAAATAATAATAATATACCTTCTTTTGCCAAAGGATATTGAAAATGTTGGTACATAATTGTGATCCCATGGTTGCCAACTGCGGTGAAATAATGACATTTGACATTTGCTAATGAATAAATAACCTATCAAAAATGAAAATGCAGAGTTCCTTCTGCATTTTCATTTTTGAGACCTAATTGGGACAGACCATCTTATATTTCTTCATAGCTGATTCTTCATTCTGGAGCCCCAACTTCATATAGGACGACTGGAAATCTCTTTACGGCCGTATTCTCGAAATCAGTTTCTCATTTACCAAAAATGAAAATGCAGAAAGAACTCGGGAAGATAAGTTAGTTATTTATTAGCAAATGTAAAATTGTCAAATGTCATTATTTTACCGCAGTTGGCTACCATGGGGTCGCATCATAAGGTCAATTAGAAAATGAGTCATTCTTTTAATCATTGGGTAGCTTTGACAGTAACAACATAGCTAAGTTGCTCTGAAAAATTAACCGAAGAAGAAAACCAGTATTTTTTGACAAATGACAAACAATCAAATTTCAAAAACTAAATCTTAAACCTTGATGGTTTTTAATAAAGGTTGAATTTTTCCAGTCATCATAATAGTTTAGGTGTATAGTATAATATTCAATGGATGCCGATGAAGAGTTCAAGTAAGTGTTTAGTTTACTTCTTTCTCCAGTCGTCATAATAGTTTAGGTGTATAGTATAATATTCAATGGATGCCGATGAAGAGTTCAAGTAAGTGTTCAGTTTACTTCTTTCTTCATTCGAAATGAAAATTTGTTTTATTGCCAATAAAACGTTATTTACCCAATTGAGATGTGCTGGAAATATAAAGAAAGACACTTTATATTTCCAGCACAGCGAGAGTCGTGGCTGAGCTTGCCTTTTTTCAACAATATATTTTTATGGTTATTCTAGGTGAACAGTATTCAACCAGTTCTATGTCATAAAAATTCATGTTTTTCTTTTGTAACTATTAATTAGGTAATGCTTATCAGAAAGGAACCATGCGACCTTTTTATGAAACTGAGTTTATGGCACTATATGCAAGATGTGTATTAACGCTTGAAAAATTACCTTGCACTGGGACCTAAGTGGATCATTGCAGATACAGAATAAATCAGAAAGGACCTAAAGGCCTGGTTCCGATTAGACATTCAAAGAAACGAGTACCAATGTCAATAATATATTCAGTAATCATCGATCTATAGTAGGTGAATGTTTATTATTATTAACGGCAACCAGTGTTATATCAACAGTGTATTGACGGTATATTTTGATCAGAAGTCATGAATCGCGGAAGAAAATTGGTATAAATAGCATTGGATTAAATTAAAGATACCGAAAGGATAAGTGAATTTTATTATTACCAATATTTCCCCGAAGTTTTATATCCACACAATTGTGAAGGAACCATATGTTAGATTTTGAAGATGTATTGATAGATTTACGTCATGGTGTAAATGCAATCATTTGATATTAAATACCTCCAAATCTGTTTCGATGAAATTTTATAATAGAAAAAATAATGGTTCTACTCATAATTATCATACACGTCATGGTGGTATAAATTTAAAAATTCTCCAATATACAATGCTATCTTACTTTACAATAAATTACCTGATTCAATCAAGGAGTCAAAATCATATAAATTCTTTAAGAATAATACGAAACTATTTTTAATAAAAAATGTTTTTATAGTTTAAAAGACTATTGGAATGATGATTCCTGGGAATAATTCCCAATGTAATATAATATATGTATTTGTTTTTAAATTGTAACATTTATGAATTGGGTGCCGTGTTTTATGTTCATACATTTATATTTTATCTTTATTCTTTAATTTGTTATTCAAGTATGACTAAGGGCTAGGATGGTAGAATCGGCAACCAAAGAGATACAAAATCGTGCAAAATACTGAAAAGTTACCCATTTTAGAGGTTATAACGAGTGATTCCCGTTTACGTGTGTAAAATTGGTCATGCTTTTTCATGTACAGCTTGAAAATTGGCAATGAGAAAGTGTTTTTTGTCTCTTATATCACCTCAAATAATGTCAGGAAAAAATTGAATCGAAAATGGCGAATTTTAGATCTTTGTTCCAAATAGGACTCCTGGATTAAAATGAACTTAATCGTGAAATTAAGCGTAGCAAATAAATTGATAACTTTCAAAAATTATTAGTTGAATAACTTGGGTTCAATGACGCTCATACGAGTACATAAAATATGTCTTATTTATATGGATTTATTTGTATCATTTATATCATACAGATTCATCAGTATCAATTGTCCATGTGAACATTATGTTTACTTATCAATTTCAATTCCTTTCTTTCTTTCAAGTATTTATCAAAAAAATATTATTGTTAGTAGTTTCACTTATGAACCAGTACATTAGAATTCCTATATCAAGAAATAAATTTTTTTCTTTTTTATAGTAGTTTTGAGTTTCTGTTGAGAATTTGTGTCTCTGTGAGTTCCTTTGTTGTGTGAATATCAGCTACTGCTGATTTGTCAGTATGCCTGTTACATTTTTTTTGTGTTCAGAGAGCCAGGTACTTGCACTTCTATTCGATAATGTCTACCGCAGTTGTAGACGAAACGTCTGACACAAAAACATGCAGGCTAAGGTCTACAAATTCGGTTGGTTTACCGGATTAAAGTCGCCTTCTGAAAAAGGAAAGTGACTGATTATTACTCACATTGGAAGTATTGATTTTGTTGAAAGCGATTTATTGATGTTTGAGTCAGAGGATTCTGGTAATTACCATTGAGACATTAACGGCGATGTATTTGAAGAATATTTTGAGTAAATGATAGACCTCATTTCGTATAACTGTGCATATTTAAAGTGACGGCACTCTCAAAGGCTAGAAAACCAATACATAGAAAGCTGAACTACTCCACGTAGACTGCTGACTTGGTGGTTCGTATTGGATAATTCTTACTAACCGAGTTTTATGGTTGGCTGAAGAGTCATAAAATTAAATTTGAAGTCATGTTACGGTGACGAATAGAAATCGGAGAATGTTATCGCCGTCGTGTTCAGTGCTGATCGCGATTTGAGTAATGAAATTCGATATTGATGAAGTTATAATTACTTAAAAAATTTTTGTTATCTGTTTAAAATGTGGCGTCGTTGGACAAGTACTAATAGTAATAATGAATGTGATAAAAACGCAAACTTGTTCCAGTGTAGCGATTCCAATAGCGATGGTGAACAATGCGAAAAAGAGATACCAGTGAATAAGATTCGGATGCATTTGAATATTGAAACACAGAGGGTATGTTCCAATGTATATAAAAATCTACATTTCAAGTTTGGTTTCGAGGAAAACAAACTATTACAAGCAACATCAGATTTGACAGAATTTCCTTTCTCAACTATACGTAAAATAGTAAAAAACATATGAACGCAAGACGCGATGTGATACGGGATTACTAAAACCTTTAGATGTTCATCTAATAAAATTATTGAAGAACCAATATACGACTGTTACAAAAGCAATGGGATTCCTACAACTGAAATCATAAGAAAAAAATTGAATACTTCCGGTTATAAAGTGAGCTGCTATGACAAAACTCTTCAGAATAGGTAAGGAGGCACTAAGTCACTTCTTGGTTTATTTACAGGATCAATAATTCTCAAAAGTTCTTGCTAATGAGAAAAAAAACTTTTTGGCTTTTTACTTTTCCATCGTTTTACAAAAAATATATATAATTTTTACTTACATGCTGTAGGCGGCGTTGGCATTCTTATCGGGTACTTTGGGACCCAGAGTGGAAGGCACTTCATATTTATCTGGACCAGGAGTTTGGAATCTCTTTACTGGAGGATATCTGTAGGACATAGAATACATTGGTGGGCGCGGTTCCTTCATTCTAGGTACCACTTCTGGCTTGTAAGTACCGGGACCAGGAACTTGAAATAATGCTGGAAGAAAATTTATTTTTAAAGAAAGTAAGTAGATATAATGCTAGGTTTAAATCTTTCCCGTGATTAGAGAGTTGAGTACACAATATGAACTATGAAAAAACAAGAATTTAACTGAAAATGGCTGATTTAGAGTTATTTGAAATACTGATGTTTTTGTTGCTGCTGGGGAGCCGGCTGACTTCTTAATTTTTTCCAAGTTTCTGGAATATACTGTATCCTCAAAGGTTTATTGCATTTTTCCTCTCATCTTATACTTGACATCTATTTTAACAACCTTGTTCCTGGAAGAAATAGGCAAGTTAGGCGGCCCCCAACAACAATTATCTTATTGTTGTGTTTATGTTTTGCAAGTTGTATACGAAATCTAATTATTATTAAAAGGATGGAGTGAAAATAATATCTGAAGATTATATATACAGTAGACTCAAAACTTATTTGTCCGCTGCTATTAAATTTTGAGATGTATACACATTATTATGTGTATTTTCTATAATGTTATCCAATTTGGTACTGAAGAGCCTTAGGACAAGTGTCTTAAGGCGAAACATCGGTGTATACCAGTGAGGGTGACAGTGTTCCATGTGAGTACAATTTATTACCATTCATTCAAAGTAGAACTCATGTGAATGATATCTGATTCTTATTTTTGAAGATAACTGTGAGGATATGGACTATACAGAAATGGTGCCAAATGCTAAACAAATTTCTAACATCCCGTCAAGTTTTCCGGTTGAAAACGATTTCAGAGAAATCCCTATGGAGTTCACCATCAATCTTACGGAACCTGTAGAAATTCAAAATTCTACCAACTTCAACCAACAACATCTAGAACGAAAATCCAATAATAACTTCACAAATGTCGAACATTTCAATTCTAGACCACAGACTCCAAATGAAGAACCAGACGGATCTTCACTAATGACCAAAAATATCAATCAAAATGATATTAAAAAGGATTCTGCAAGAATTAGTAAAAAGTCCACCGAAGACCTCAGAGACACTAACTTGATTCCAGTCACTAACAACAAGACCATTCTACCTCCTAGTTATTTCAAACTGGATGAAAACACTCCCTGCAAAATTACTGAAGGAGATAATACTAATATTAATAATACTGCATTTAATAAATTGAAAGATGTTACAGGACTGGGAAAAAATTTTATATGTGAGACTAATGATAATTTGACAAAAAACACTAATAAACAGATAGCAGATAATGGCAATGAAGCCCCAGAGACGAAGAATAAAATTTTGTACTCAGAACCTGGACATTTGTTAATGAAGCATGATAATTTTCTTCCTGCATTCAAAAATCACTTGGTGACGCCAACAACATCGTTTGCTATGGATGTCAGCAACATGAGTCCATCCATTGAAGATACCCAGCAGTTGATACACGCCACTTTTTCCAAACCCGAATCTATCAACGTATTATTGAAAGGTAAGCAAATCAAGAATGTTTATTGAGTGCTGATATAAGAAACACACGTTTTTCTAAAAAAGTGATTTTAAACTTTGAGCAGTCTTCACAAGTAAGAATTTAAGCGAAAAAAAATTAATTGGATTATGAATTGGCATTTCATTAGAAAACATTGAATCAAAGCTACCCGCTATTGTGTGAATTGTTCTCCTAATATATTCGCAATTCATTTTACTTATTTCCTGAAAAAAAACCAATATTGATGGTACAACTTGCAAAGTGATGAACCTTATTGTTACATTTTTGTTGTTGAAGAATATTCCTTGATACACAATCTATTTTAGACATTTATTTACACCATTTGATGATCTAGGTAACTCGATTTTTTGTTTTTGCAAACTTCTCTAACAGGTGATATTGATATTCCCACAGAATTATTGATATTCTCAAGTAATTGATATGACAAACTGTTGTTTTTTTAGGATAGAGCTTTTAAGCTTCCTACTTCTCTATCATCAAAAATTTGGGAAAATTCTGAAGAAAAGAAGAGAAACATACTACAATAAAAACTTTTTATAGAAATATGTATATCATACACATATCATACTTAATGTTTGGAGTGCAAACCGTGAAAAATTGTTTTTTGTATAATTCAATGTTCACATAAAAATAGTTGTTTTGAAAGATTTTTTTTTGTAATCCAATATTCATGTGAAAGTAGTTGTGTCAAAAGGTTGTTCTTCCAGATTGTACCCAAAAGAAACTTCTGTGTATGATGCACATACCTTCATTAAGAGTTTTTAATTGCAGTTATTCTTTCCCTTTCTTTGAAAGTTTCCAAACAGCCAAACATATTTGGCTGTTTCAATTTGAATGTTCTTTTTTAATATAGAAAAAAATTATTGCAATAAATTATATGTATTTCATGATATTTTTTCCGAATTCAGGCCTATTCATACTTATGAACATGCCTGAGGAATCTATTGTATAGTGAAACACGTATTGCGCTTTTTTAAACTGTTCATTGAAAATGTCACGTTGAAGTGTTACTTGATCCATTATGAATTTTCATCAAATATTGGCTTATACCATCACATATAATTTTTCTGGGTGAACTTGGAAGTAAATAAGTCTGATTTTTGTTAATATTAATGTTAATAATAAAAATAAGTTGATATTAAAAATATTTTTCAAGTACAATCGTTGATTTACAAGTAGTAAAAGAAAAAAATCATTTTTGTTGCGACAAGTACCTATTTTATAAAAAACCTTGTTTTTAGTATTGATTATGTCAAGATCAAGTGACACATTGTATTCATGTTTCTTCACAGGTGAATCTCGCGACACATAACTGTGTAATTTAATAAATTTATGGGTTTGATTTAATTTGAAGTTTATTTTCTTCTTTTTGGTGCTTGTAACTAAAAGTTTCTAGTTGAATAAGTTTTTTCAATATTCTATCATGATTCTATTATTCTATTATAATTTATTATATTTTAATTATTGCTGGATTTACTCCTTAGTCTGTTTATTTAATGCGGTGTTGCACGGTCAGCCCCTACAACAATAGCCCCAAAGTATTCCTAACCTCTGCTGTTAAAAGAGTCAAAACTCTTTAACATTGGTATAGTGGTCATCTGGTTTTCAGCCATTTTGAATTTTTTCCCTTGAACCCATTCATTTGAGATCCGTATCATGTGGGTGCATAAAAAATATTAAACCATCTTGGGCGGTCCGCTATTTTTGTTGTAGAATTACGTCACTTAGCTAATCATGTAATGTTATCCAAATTGACTGTGTGCAAATTTTCAGCTCAATCGTTGAGAATAAGTGCTTCAAAATTCAGTTGTAAGCTGATGGTTGAGTCCCTGGTGTCCCAAAATACATATCTACTCCAGGTGCAATTGTATTTTTAGTTTCTATAATCAATATTTTTGGAAGTTTCGTAACTTTTTTTCTAACAGGATGTACAAATAGAATAACTTGATATCTTCCACGAGTTTTTTAAAAGGAATATGTCTAAAAATGTAAAATAATGAGTTTTAACAAACCAAATGATCTCATTTCAGTTAACTATTGAACGAAAATGCAATCTGGTAGTAATCTTTGACGAAGATTTCACTGTATTAGATTGTATTTGCAACAAAGTACTTAGATGCACTTTTCATTGGTGTATCATAGCATCCGGAAATATAATATAATTATCCAGTCATCGAATTATAATAGCAATGTTCAAATGCTGGGATAAGTTTGGAATCCTTTTACAAAATTTCAGGAGATATTTACTATAGTTATGATGTGTTAATGGGTTTATCTTTTCATAGTTTCAGTTTGTAAAAAAAATTTTAATTTCTAGCAGAGATGTGTAACTTGACTTTTCAGTACTCTCTGTATAAACTCACAAACGGATTAATTGACTGCACAGACCTTTAAAAACGTTACTCTACATTCGAATTTTAGATATATGAAGATTAAGGTGATTTTTAACCAGCAACTCATTTATCGAATTATGGATCTTACTCACACATTTCATTTTATTTCTATTTCATAAGACTAGAATACAGTATAGGCTTCATGTTCTTATCACTGTCATATATTGGATAAAACTTATCTGAACTCTGCAACTGGTCTGTAAATCATACAAGGCAGGTTCCAAGAACTCGTTCGATTGATGACTTATTTATTTTGTAGAAATTCATGTTGAATATAGAATAAAGAAAATACTTTTGTCTAGTTTCTACTGTGTTTATTTATTCGTTACGGCCGGTTTCGGCTTATAAGGCCATTTTCAAGTAACTACCACATTTTGTCAAGTTGCGTCTTAAATAGTGTGGACAGGTACCTAATTTTGATTTTAATGCCACGTAAAAAAATAAAAACAAAAAAATTGTCAACAAAAATAGGGTGGAACACTCTTATAACTTAGGGATAAGAAAAATAAAATAAAAAGACCTACCGAATATACATATAAAATTTCATGAAAATCGATCAAGCTGTTTCCAAGGAGTATGGCAACTAACACTGTGACACGAGATTTTGATATATTAGTTATGTATATATAAATTGATTTTTTTTTAAATCCTGTTGTGTACTTTGAATAAATCATTGTTTCCAGGTCAAAAATATCCAGAAAGTAAAGTAAATGAAAACAAAACTGATTCCAAGGACGATATTAGCATAACTCATGTAAATGAATTATCGGATACTCTCAAAGAAACAAATCAACTTGATTTACTTGAAGATCAAACTGCTAAACTACATACAGAAAATAATAAAAGTTGTTGGGATTTGACAAATAATTCAGATAATATCTTATCAAATATAACACCAGAGATCGTAGATGTAGACGATAGTATAGCTTTAGGAGAGGAAGCATCAAGTGAACAGCGAGTTTCTCTTGTAAACGATAGTATTGCCTTAGGAGAGGAAGCATCAAGTAAAAGACAAGTTTCTCTTGTAGACGATAGTATAGCCTCGGGGAAGGAAGCAACAAGCGAAAAGAAAGATTTCGTTCTAGACGATAGTATAGCTTTAGGAGAGCAAGTCCCAATTCCCCGTGAAATGGAACCAGAATCAGAAGCTTCGCTCGAAAGCACACTCGATAATGTTGATTATCAAAACTACACGATGAGAAGTAACCATATTCTCAGTAACATCAAAAAGCACTTGATTAATATAGAACCAGATCCATATTTTGAAGAATCTGCCAGTAGATGTGAGAAAATATGCAATACGTTCTGGAAGGATTGGGATCAGATAAAGTCTTTCTTAGAAGAGTACCGCATGCCAACAATCAATATTGTGAACGTAGAGGAATATTTTACAGAGAAAGAAGATGATTCCAGTCGTATTAGCGAAGGTTTGTCCAGCGATGAGTTCGAAAGTCAAAGGCGACTTTCTTTGCCAGATCTGGCTCCTCTGAAATCCTTACAAGAGCGTGTAACTGAAGCAGCAGAAAGGTAATTATTATTTCATATCACAAAATGTCTATCAATAATATTAATAATAATTCATTCAACCATTTTGTTCCAATAAGTACATATGGTAAGTCAAAAAAATTACACACAACTAAATAATTATAAATATTAACAATATCGTAAACATATACAAAAAAAACTATGAAATTAGGTTGAGGTAGCGTTCAAGGATTCCTGCTGAATTTAATGCTGAGGAAAGATTTGAAACATGTGTAAAACACATGGAAACCATCATGTTTCCATCTTAAAAAAACTGTTTTACAGCCGTCTCGATATTCCATATCATACATGATTCTTATAATCCGGTTTTGTCCAATGAATACCTTATTGAAATCTGTATGACAGACTCTTCCAATGTATATAATTTTTCATCTGTTTTATTAAAAAAAAATATTGATTTTGTTTTCTTGCATAATATATTGAGAATTCCAAATTAAGGAGTCATCTATCATTTATCCTAGGATTGTAACAGTTGTGTCATCTGCAAACATCGTTATGTAGCAGTCTTGTATGTATTCAGACAAATCATTAACAAATAAAACAAACAATAGTGGTTCCAATACCAAACCCTGAGGAACTTCTAGTTTAACATCATATTCCCCTGACATATCAAGTCCATATCTCTCACTCATGCAACAAACACCCTTTCATATAAGAACTCGACCATCTCAGTAAATTATTCAGGTGTTTGACACTGTATCAAACACCTTACTCAAGTTGAGAAAACCAAAATTATTAATATAAGCTGGAATATATGTTGCTGAGAAAATAGTAAGAAGCTGTTTCAAAAGAATTTTTTCCTAGAGTCGTTCTGATCGTTACATAACATGTTGTTGATTTCCAAATAATTCATTATTTTGATGGCGAGCGGAACAGGGATATTTATACTTAATTGTCTTAAGAAGATTTTTTTGTACTGCACATACAAAAATAAACTAGAGAAGACAATTACAAATATAAAATATGAAAACAACATATTAAAAACTGTTAGTAACTTCTAACTGATTCAGAGAACAGAGAAAATCGTGGCTTCTCTAATATTATTACTTTCCAATATGAGCTCGAAGTAAACAGCTGTATGTATGATCATTGGTTATAATTGAGATCAGTTATTATTGGATTATTGCAATGTATGTTCACGTAACTCAAATATATTTCATTCCTGATTGATTTTGCCTCTGAGTTGAATTTAGATAAGGACAAAAGACCTACATCGAATCCTAAATATCCACCTCTACCTTATATCCAAAATACATATTCAACAAATTGGATGCTTCTGTTCGAAATCTGTTTTTTCGTTAACCAGCCGTCGCACCTCTACAAACGACAACCCTCAGAAGTCGAAACTTGTGTGAGCTAAGGATTAACGAGGTCTTACCTTTTAACGTGTTATTCCTATGAAATATTTCAGCAATATATCAGTTTCAAAGTCAAGGTTGAAAGCTTATCTCATCATTCTAATTTGGTCTAAGATTTAATTCAGAAAATTGTGCACGTTTTATGATTTATTTAAATTTGTTCTAATACACAACTAACGAGCAATAGTATGATTTACAGCCGCCAGTCGACTCAGAAATTTTTTTTTTTGGCTATTTCTTCTCCAGCTGTTGCTCTTGATTTGATGTTACAGGGAGGACAGTTGGGTCATTCTGACAACGTTCAACTCCTCTCTAGAGTCAGGGTCACTTTCTTTGGTTACTTCATGATCCATAAAAGGTTCCACAAGTAACTTGGGAAAGATGAATTCTAACAACAACATTTACTCTTCATATTATTATATTTAATGACAATTTATCATACATATAATAAAATTTATATTTTTAGGTCTGGGAAATACTGGCAATTTGTAAAATCTGAAAATGATTATTACTACTTCAGTTGTCTTTTTCGATCAATTCGTTTCAAGGTTCATGTTCATCCAGGATTGGGATTGGTTTACAGCATACAAACGGAAAATAAGTTAGAAGGTACTATTTATTACATGAATTTCCAAAAATATCATTTTATAATTTTTTTCAGAAATGTCATCGTCTTTTTCTCATTATGTTACAAAAGTATTGGAACTCAAGCTCAAACAAGAACACCTGCTATCTTCTTTGGGAACAAAATTTGATCTGTTGACATTGCTGGATTATGTTTGCTTGTGCATAGACGAAATAGTCAGTTTCCATAAAGAATTTGATCAACTTGGAAGTAAATATGGGTCTTCCCACAAATTGAGTATGCATCCAGATAATAGGTGAGGTATTTGACTTTTCGTTTTTCGTTATTTATTTATTCATTTTACGGAATCACTTCCATTTACAAAAATTTGGATAGACAATATACAATGAAGTAATTTTCGATATTATATTACCTTATGTTGTTATAAAATACATATAGTAATAGTATATCAAGCAGTTGAGAATAAGGCGAAATAAACATTTTCTCTCAAGACTATTTTTGAATTTGCTCAGAGATATGTAATTTTTTTTTTCATTTATGAGTATGAAACCTTATGTGAAAAAAATCACAAAATTTCAAAATTCTGTCTGGAATATGACCTTTGTCACTGTACAAAGTTCTCATACCAAATTTTACTATATCTTGACTTTTAGATTTGAGTCGAACGCAAATGAGAAGTTAGATTACTTTCCACAGACGTGGATCTGATATGTAGATAATGTATTTGCGATTTTTGACACGAAGTCTAGAAGGTAGAGGATTTAGTTTCAACCCTTCAACAACAGATCCCCTAATATTAAATTCACTTATGAAATTAAAAACAACAAGAAGTTACCATTATTGGATGTCTTGGTGATTAGAAGTAACCATGGTCTAGAATTTGATATCAATAGGAAGAATATATTCCTGACACACCATTGTCCACAACACAAAATGGCAGGACTAAACTTTCTTGTCCATAGGTTCGCCTTGAGTAAATAAAAATACAATATGGGACATGACTGAAAGCAATGGGGGTCCTTCAAAGATATTACATAAGTTATCTGTATCTGTAGAGAGTAAGCCCACAGCACTTAGGCCACATGTACATCCTCCCGAGGAGTTGTCCTCCTAGGTCATCGTCCATCCTGTCCTTTCCAAGAAGGTGGACAGGTCACTGGGAGACATCTCCTTTATATCGGCAGGTGTAGGCCAAGACTCGCCAAACTCATACTCTCTTATTGACGATAACTCCGGGCACCCGCTTAGGACATGTCTGTCAGTCTCATCTTCCTGTTCACAGATCCTGCATAAAGGTGTGTCCACTAGCCCCATATTATGGAGATGTTTTCTTAATTGACAGTGGCCAGTCAGAAATCCTACAGTAAAACGTAGATTTTTCCTGGTCATCGCCAGATATTTCTTCGGCGCCAGCTTCCCAGGGTCGCCCAGGGTGATCCTGGCAAGATTGCATCCTTTAATTCCATCCCATCTCTTGGGTGTAACATTTGGATAAGTCAATTAGGAAAAGTAAATTTAGGGAGAATCTTCATAAATCTTTGACTTCAAAAAGAACTAATTCAAGTTCAAAGTTCATTGTTCTTTCTTATTAAAGTTGTCATATAAAAGTGGCTTTCAAAACTGTTTGCTAACTTGAACAAATGTTAGGTAACCTTGAAGACCGGATGTTGAAAAATAAAAAAATGAGGATATATGAAGTAAGCTGTGCGGACTGTGACATAAAGTATATTATTCAAACTAAACATGCTATTGAAACTTATTTTGAAAAACACATATCCGATTTCTGGGACCAGAAAAGTCTAGTGTTGTTCAACACGCTTAGGAGAAGGGCCATAGAATAAATGAACACTGTCTAAAATGGTTGAGATCAGTATGTGACACCCTGCTGAAAAATTGCGGAAACTTTTGAGTAAAGAAAGTTTCTCCGATTCGTGCCCAAAAAATAATTGATGTGTGTCTAAAAGTGAAAGTGTTAGATATGAATAGGTGAAGTTCAAAGCTGGAAATTAGTCGAGAAGAGTATTGCAGTTGTGGTGTTTGGGAGCAGTGCCTGTTTTGGAAATGATGTTAGTCTTTGAATTATTCAATATCAATTAATTTTGAATAAACCACTCTTTAATTTCATTGAACAAATCGTTACAATGTTTTTCTACTTCTGGGCATGTTTCTCCACCAGCCAGCAAATTTGTATCATCTGCATATACGTTTTTTTTTGTGTCATCAACATCGACTACATTGGTCATTAGCCGCATGTCCTGGGGAGGCAATGTTGATAACTCCCCGAGCCACCTAGAGAGCATCCCTGAGGCACACCCACGTTCTTTCAAGTATGATTGAATCCACTGTAATGTATTAACTCTAATACCACGGTGGTCTCGTTTAATAATTAGAATATGGTTATTGAGACAGTCATATGTCTTCGACAGATCGAGAAACATATCCAAAGTTTAAGGGAAATTCGAAAATTGCATTTATTGTAGACTTTTTGTTGATATAAACATGCTGATTAGAACTGAAGATTCTGCATTTCTGAAATTATGTAATTGAATTATCATTATCAATTCAAAAAAATTTCAAGAAGCTAGTATAAATTTCGAACATCACTTGTTTCATAAAATTTGTTTATATATTTCAACGTTCCAGTTTAAACGTTCAAAAATATACATTGTCCCAAAGTGAACAGATTTTTAAAATTACACTTAGTCTATTCCCATCAACTTGAATACTATTAAAACATTAAATACTAAATATACAATTTTAGTCATTAAATCTTGACAAACCGTGAATTGAAGTAGTCTAAAATATGTGCCTACAAACTTTTCTTTGACCTTTTCACAACTCAATAATAGAAATAAATTTTTGTATGAATTGGAACTAGTCCTAGTTAAATTTGCTAAAAGGGTAAAAAGTTTTCTTAAAGAAAATGTGTTTTATAAAAGTGAAGAGTTCATACACTTCTTTAATGTAACGTGACTAAGTAACAGTAATGTATTATAACTAAGTTCTCCTACAATTTTACATTTTAACTAGCTTAAAATTTGTTTCTGCAAGTACAAAATTTTCCTTTTACTATTTTTTTTGACCACTGTATACAATTTTTTTAATTGTCACACAAGAGAATAAACTCTACTCTATTCTACTCTGGTAGTATTACTGAACGTACTGTTCGACTTTGGTTTGCGAAAATTCGTTCTGAAAATTGTAGCCTCGAAGATGAGCCCCAAAGTGGTGGACCTACAGTAATCCAGAACGAGGAAATCCTCTGTAGATAATAACATTATCCTGAGGTGGATTAAAGGGCACGACATGAGTAAAGGTAATCGCATAATCGCATTGCCGATTCTTTAGCCAAGGAAGCGGCCTGATTACTTTGGATGAAATCAAAGGATGCAATCTTGCCAGGATCACCCTTGGTGACCCTGGGAAGCTGGCGCTGAAGAAATATCTGGCGATGACCAGGAAAAATCTACGCTTAATAGTAGGATTTCTGACTGGCAACTGTCAACTAAGGAAACACATCCACAATATAGGGCTAGTGGACACACCTCTATGCAGGATGTGTGAACAGGAAGATGAAACTGTTAGGCATGTCTTATCCGAATGTCCGGAGTTATCGTCAATAAGAAAGTGTGTGTTCGGCGAGTCTTAGCCTACACCTTCACGACGTTTCGATTGTTAGTATCCACAATCGTCTTCGGGTGATGACTGGACCTATTCCTCCGAGAGATGACTATTTATATTAATAGGTCACCGGAGTGCTTTCAGCTATCCTCTCTTCCCTCTCTCCGCTTAACCGGTTTAGCAGAGGCTGACCGTTTGGCGGTAGTTGTCCGTTTTCCGCTTGATTACGGGTTTCCATTCAGCCAGATAGCTTGGCTGAATGCGTTATTGGTCAACATGTATGCAGCTTCTTTGAATTTCCTCCCTAACCAATGTTCCTCCCTGTGGATGATCTCAGCTTAGGACCACTTGATGTTATGTTGGTGAGTCCAAACATGCTCTGCTATTCCCGATTTGCTTGTTTCCCTCGCTGTGTGTTTCTTGTGCTCGGCAATGCGAACATTCAATGGCCTCTTAGTTTCATCCATATAGGATTTTCCGCACTCGCAGGGTATCAAGTAAATGCAATTCTTGGAATCGCAGTCCGCGTTTGGTGACCTGGTTTTTGTGAGGCTAACTTTTTACTATTTACTAGATTATAATTGAGTTAGTTTTAGGACAGCTTTGACCATAGAATTTATATTTTTGATAATATTTTTCCACATTTTGATCACTTGATGGAGTGTCTATTATCAAAATCTCATATTTTTGTATTGGGACTAGTTTACACCGAATCTATTAAGAGTACTGTATTCATTGACATCTTTATTATTTCAGGGTAACTTTTGAAATTTTGCGTTTCAATTTCATAATTTGGTGGACAATTTCAATTGATATGTCCCTTACCAACTTGGGTTGTAAGGAAAGAGTTACTGCAAAGTGCAATCTCAATGAACCAGTCAACGAGGAGGATATAAAACAGATTGCAGAAAAGTGTCTCAACGGGATGAACTTCCTGAGAAACTTTATTGAAAAAGTGGACGAATATGTCGAAAGGATTGGTAAAAGAATACTGTGTCGAAGGAAAGCAACACGACAGTATATGAATTACTGATTCAGATGAAAGATATTTGTTCATTTCCCATCTCATCTTGGAAATCACTACAGAATGTATGATGAGATCCAAGTTATCTGTCAGAGTGCAAAGTACGTAAACAAGTGTGTAATGAAGACAGTTTAGTGAAGAAATGAAAAATAAATCAATGTTTTTATTATATAATTGCATATTGTTTTTTTAATTAAATGTTTTATTTTTATAACATCGTGTAAAGGTCTCTATTTTATATAATATCCGAAAAGAAGTGAAATTATTCAATAAATTGATGGATGTAGCCGTTACTTTTTTATTTTCGCTAGTAAGAACAATTTAAGGTGAAACACTACTTGGTAAAACCACACACAGTTTGTAGAGTTCAATTGCTTTTATTACCTATTAAGTAACTAATTTGGATATGTTATAAAATGTTTGTATGATTAGAGTCTTCTATTTCCATTTCCCATAATTTACACTATTCATACTAATTAAAAAAAGAAACACATGACCTAAAATAATTTTATTTTGCTTCATGATAAATGTTAAACTAGAAGAACATTCTCTCATTGTCTTATATACATCCATACATCTCTTGCAGTGAACTCAGTTTCGAAATTTGGATCAGTTTATCTTTGAACGCACGGCATGTCATCTTCGGCTGTGACGTATGGATCGGTATCTGTGCGTAACCCGAACGAGTATCCTGGTTTCTGCGGCAGTTTAGGAAGATAAATAGGACCTGGAGTACGAGCTTGAGGGTCGGGTGGAAACACTCTGGGTGACATGGTGTAGATGGGAGGCTTGTTTTTAAAGACTTTCGTATCAGTGCCAGTGTATTTCGCAGGACCGGGGGAGCGTTCTTGAGCTGACAAATCATGCTTGAATGACCTAAAATAGGAAAAACACTCATTTAATCTTATTGAACGAGTGTATGTGAAATGAAAAAACAATCAATTGATGCTATTTTGCTGACAAACAGAACTGTGGAAGATAAAAGTATCTACAGCTAGTATGTCTTCATCAAGAAGAAAAAATATTTCTTAAAAAGCATTTAAATTTATGGCATACGTAAATTTAATAGAAATCGGTAATATTGTAACAAAATGAGCATGACTGTACATTCAGGGACACCCTGTAGTATCAGTTGAATAAACAATGAATTTGAGGTTGCCTACTGATAGAGATTGTAGAAAGTTCCACATACAAAACATGCTATGCATGATGAATGCCCGTGGATTGAAAAATTGGTTTTTGAAGTTTAAACGAGAAATTGAATTGATTGAACGGTTCACGAAGAATTAAAAGTGTGTATGTGGGCGCGGGCGATTCTAAAGGTTTTGTGGTCAGCAATCTGAAGTCTGGAAGTAGGCGACAGATACTTGGTAGGAAGGATATTCCGTTGGGAAAATATGAATATGTGGCAAGACAAAAACATTACAATTTTACGTCAAGCATTTTTAGAAGGGTGGTTTACCGGATTAAAGTCGCCTTCTGAAAAAGGAAAGTGACTGATTATTACTCACATTGGAAGTATTGATTTTGTTGAAAGCGATTTATTGATGTTTGAGTCAGAGGATTCTGGTAATTACCATTGAGACATTAACGGCGATGTATTTGAAGAATATTTTGAGTAAATGATAGACCTCATTTCGTATAACTGTGCATATTTAAAGTGACGGCACTCTCAAAGGCTAGAAAACCAATACATAGAAAGCTGAACTACTCCACGTAGACTGCTGACTTGGCGGTTCGTATTGGATAATTCTTACTAACCGAGTTTTATGGTTGGCTGAAGAGTCATAAAATTAAATTTGAAGTCATGTTACGGTGACGAATAGATTCGGAGAATGTTATCGTCGTCGTGTTCAGTGCTGATCGCGATTTGAGTAATGAAATTCGATATTGATGAAGTTATAATTACTTAAAAATTTTGTTATATGTTTAAAATGTGGCGTCGTTGGACAAGTACTAATAGTAATAATGAATGTGATAAAAACGCAAACTTGTTCCAGTGTAGGGATTCCAATAGCGATGGTGAACAATGCGAAAAAGAGATACCAGTGAATAAGATTCGGATGCATTTGAATATTGAAACACAGAGTGTATGTTCCAATGTATATAAAAATCTACATGTCAAGTTTGGTTTCGAGGAAAACAAACTATTACTAGCAACATCAGATTTGACTGAATTTCCTTTCTCATCTATACGTAAAATAGTCAAAAACATATGAACGCAAGACGCGATGTGATACGGGATTACTGAAACCTTCAGATGTATATCTAATAAAATTATTGAAGAAACAATATACGACTGTTACAAAAGCAATGGGATTCCTACAACTGAAATCATAAGGAAAAAATTTAATACTTCTGGCTATAAAGTGAGCTGCTATGACAAAACTCTTCAGAATAGGTAAGGAGGCACTAAGTCACTTCTTGGTTTATTTACAGGATCAAGAGTTCTCAAAAGTTCTTGCTAATGAGAAAAAAAACTTTTTGGCTTTTTACTTTTCCATCGTTTTACAAAAAATATATTTGGCTAGGCTTGAAAATATATAACTGCTTTGAAAAAAAGTAATAACTCACACAATTGTTTTGGTCTGGATTTCATAGAATAAGCCGCCGGACTGGCTTTCCCATAACGTGTCATTCCTTGTACGTCATACCCAGGACCAGGTCCGAAAGGTTTCCTTCCGCTGAATAACTTCAATCCGATGGAATACTGGGGGTTCCTATACCTTGATACATCATGCTCAGCATAACCAACAACAGGTGGTAGCATATACTTGCCTGGGCCAGGCCCTAATGAATAAACAAATAGTTGTTGTAAAAAATACAACAAATTTAGAAGATAATAACTGTAAAGTGCTTCGGGCTCCTCTTTTGTTTACACTTTAAAGCGTGAATTATGAAGAAGGTGAAATATGAAATAACAGTCAAATATGCTGTTCTGAACAAAAAATGTTGAAAAACCTCTGAGCTTCTAAAACTTTGGCAAAAAAGTAATATTACGTCATGTCGCTGAAAGGTAGTTATCAATTTTTTTTTTCAAATGTAAATGAAGACCTTGTGAAACGTCGTTTGATAGGCCTTTCAGTTGTCTGTATAACACTGTTTTATTTTTGGGAATCATTCCAGTTATTCCTGAATAATTAGCAGTTTATATTCTTTGTGTCTGCAAACGAAGGATAAATATAATTTCATTACAAATTTTATTCGAAACTGATTCAAGTTCGTCCGAATCAATATTCAAAATGTTCATCACTTACTTTCCGTCAATAATACGAATTTATCACATTTTGGAAGATTTCTGGGTCAATTTTGTAAGTTATACTGTCTGGCCTTTTATACGTGGATAAATAAATCAGTCAAACAAATCAATTCTCAACTGATTTGTTTCAGCAAGATGGGGCACCTCTCCACTATGACAGTATGAATTTCAGAAGCGATGAAAGTGCAGAGGTGATCCCTTGAAATGGCCCTTACTACATTTCCCTTCCAACACCTACTCTAGCCCTTACACAAAATTCTATTATTTTCAATAGAAAGAAGTTACTTAATCAACTTCCCATTAATTTAAGGCAAATATATAATGAAAAAAATCATATTCAGAAAGAAAGTAAAAGAATTCCTTGTTGAGAGGCCCTATTATAGTGTGGACGAATTCTACCAAGGCTCTATCGAGTAATTGCATGTAGCTTTGTGTAAACAAGTTATTGAAATCAACACGAAATGGCTATCAATGTTCATTATGTTGCATTATATATTTACATTTACTCAATATTATTCTGTCCATATACTCTGCTCTTGTCTCTAAGCATTGTTTTATAGCCTATATTTGTTAATTTAATGTCCCATATACACGTTTTACTTTACTAGATTTTGCCAATAAGATGTTCAGATTAGATTTGGTCCGCTGAATCACCTAATGTGACACCCTTAGACTTTTTGTGGAGATTCCTGGAATCTGCAGTACCTATTTTAGAACTGATGGATGTAAGAAATGAATTTGTGAACAGACTTAATTATTGCCTGTTAACGTTAACATAACTTACGAAATTGCCCCAGAAATCTTCCAAAATATTCTAATTGTATTCATATTACTGTCTGGAAGTAATTGGTGAACATTTATAGGGAGCAACTGGAGTGGGTTTTGAAAAAGTTTTTTATTGAAGTTATGCTGTTCATGGTTTGTTTTCCGATTGTAAAAAAAACATAAAAGCTCGTCTGATTTCCAAAAGTAAACCAGTGTCGAACAGAGAAATAAAAATCATATAAAACAATATCACAAGAATTTCTTTTCACAAATGAATGATGACTTGGACCATTCTTGATATCGTATCTACGAGACAGCTTCGAGCTGCAAGACTGTTTAAATGTAAATGCGAATTAGATGGAAAGCATAAAAAGTGACAGTAACAAAGTATGAAAAATAGTGATCACTTGTAATTTGTGTTACGAAATGAAGTTGTGTAAGCACACCACATAATTACTCATTATCAAGAAGTGTACATTGTAAGTTCATGACACTTTATTTTTTGAAGATATTGATATAAAAAATGCTCCAAATTTTTAATATGAGAGATGGCCTGCTTTCGAACTGTATTAAATGCATTTTTTGTAATCTACCTCTATTACCAGAATTAATCATTTATCTTATCAAGTTATGTAGTTACCTACTGTTATATAAAAGACATAGAATAGTTTGATACAAGTCCATCTAATGAAGCTACCGTGTAGCAGAATGCGTCTTGCATAAAATTTAATGTGGAAATTAAATAATTGTGATAGTGTCCTAAATACTGTTTGAACTTCATTCAAATTTCAAAATGTGTTTTCGGTTTACCAGCTGTTACCTCCTAACGAACGACCGTCAGAAGTCGAAACATATGCAATTTAGGGGTTAACGAGGTATTATCTTTCGTCATCTCTCAAGTGAGACTCCAACGACGCTAAATGGAATACCTCTAACAGCGAATAATGAATCACAATTTAGAGAAATATTAAGCCCAGGTTAGTAATAAAAAACGGAAACAGAATGTAACAGTTTTCTTTATTTCAAACATCGGTGTTTTTAAATTGTTAGTTGTACATCAGAAACGTTCAGATTAGAAAAAGGAGCTGTTTCTGAAATATTTTTCATCTATTCATAATTTAATTTGATAATACAAAACAGAGTTACGTGGGAGCAACTTCTTTAAGATTTTTCTGAAATACACTTGAAATCACCTCGCCAAAGAAAAAAAATTCTCTGGGAGGTTTCATGATGTTTATAGAGGTTCTACATAGAAATTGAGAAATCCACAAACACAATCTCGACAGATACATCTTTTTAAGGTATTAGTTATAGTTATAAGTACACTTACCGATGTTTTTTCTTGGCATCTTGGCGTTTTGATATTAATTTTCTTGAAGGTACGTGTGATATTATGAAAAATGTGATGAATGATATGATTTTAGGTCAAAAAATTGCGAGCATTTTGAAATTTTGGTGACACTTTTGATTTGCGACACAACATAAACGGCATTTAGGTATCTAGATCGATGTTAAAAATTCTGAAGCCTATACAGGGTGATTCGGTGAAAACATTTTGCGTTTGGGAAAATTAAATTATTTACGAATAAATGTTTTTGCCTTCAATTACAAAATTTGCTGGTTTCATATCTTAAAATGGAGAGTAAAATGACTATTTCACTTCCTAGGTCCAAACATTTGTTAGCAAATATTAAATTCATTATTTTTCCTTGAGAAAGTTACTATATATCTGTAGAGTAGGGAGGGTGAGTGTAGGCCCACAGCACTTAAGCCACATGTGACCTATTGTACATCCTCCCGAGGAGTTGTCCTCCTTCGTCATCGTCCATCCTGTCCTTTCCAGGAAGGTGAACAGGTCATTGGAAGACATCTCCTTTATATCGGCAGGTGTAGGCCAAGACTCGCCGAACACACACTCTCTCTGGGCACTCGCATAGGACATGCCTGACAGTCTCATCCTGCATAGAGGTGTGTCCACTAGCCCCATATTATGGATGTGTTTCCTTAGTTAACAGTGGCCAGTCTGAAATCCTACTGTTAAGCGTAGATTTTCCCTGGTCATTGCCAGGTATTTCATCGGCGCCAGTTTTCCAGGGTGATCCTGGCAAGATTGCATCCTTTGATTCCATCCCATCTCTTTAGGGATTGAGCATAGGTGTTACTATATTTAATTAATTCAGTAATTTAATAGAGTGAACAAGAACTTTCCCTTTTCTTTATCTACATAGTTTTTCGCAACATTTTTCATTTATACCGATTGTTTGAAAAAAATCTTGTTGCCAAAAAAAAATATTGAGAAAAATGGAGATGAGCTTTTAGTAAGTTTTGGAAAAAAATTAAAATTGAAAGAAGGAGAAGTTACTCAATGACCCCAGACAACGCTGTTTCGACCCACCGGGTGTCATCTGTGGCGCTAGGATGAACCACTGAATTGTTCTAAAACGAACAAGCCCAAAAGTGAAGGTGCCATCTATGTCAAGCTGTCATATATGGAAACGAGCGAAGACTCAATTCCCGAATATTAAGGATAAACGAGTCTCCACAAGGCGGTCCATTGCAAAGCCTAGCTTTGACATTGACCGTCTTTTGTCTTTCATCATTTCTTAATTTCTTTCAGAGGAGCCTCGTTTATCCTTGATATTCGGGGATTGAGTTTTCTGTCGTTCCCATAGATGAAGTCTTCGTAGGGAGAGATGCATCACCTTAGCTTTAAAGAGAAATAAGTCGAATAATTTTCTTTTTGAAAAAAATGTGGCAAAAATCATGTCGGGTGATAAATTTGTAATATTTATTGTAAAAAATTGAATAATTTAAGTAAGATTATTAACAAAACACGTGATGACTAACATAACCTTGATACTTTATTGATATTGAATCAACTGCATGAAAAAAAAAATTACCTTCACACAAGAAAAATGTTGACTTACCACTGGCTGAGCAAATGACATATTGTTTTAAGTGTATCTCCCTTGTATATGAGATTGAAGAAAGTTGTTATATCCAGATTCCTGCAGATCATGTTTTGTGAAGTTCAAAACTTGAGATGTAAAGCAGCTTTTGAAGGTTTATGTCATGTTCCATATATCTAATTTTTTTTATTTTATATTAAAAAATAATTTTGAATTACCTACTAAACTAATTTCATTTTCGATGTTTACTTCCTCCATTTTCATTATAATTGTACTCATTATTATTATTATTAATGACACTGGATACGTGCACTGAATATCTTTTGCATACTTTTGAATCTGAAAACTTTGTTATGGACATTGAAACATACTCTTGATCGGGTTGTTTTCAATGATCTGGTCGCCTCTGGACCATTGCGCCCTGGGCCATTACCCTCCTTGGGCTGGCACTTGTAAATTAATTAGGTCAGTACCTACACCTGATATTCTTCTGAATGTAAGGGAGGAAACAAAAGCTTGTTTATACGATATAATAGTGCTCAGTTTGACAATTTAATAATGTAAATTTTTCTGTTTAGTTTCAATTTTTATTTCAAAATCAAATACAAACATAAAAAAGTATTTTAATTACAGTAAAATTCAAATCTAAGTTTTTTGGTCAGCGTAAGTGGTTCATTTTTCTTATTCAGCTATGTGAAAGTTGTTTGATTCCAACTGTTATCAATGTTCACTTCATAACGTTTGACCCATGCTAGGAATAGCATGTTGAAAGGTAAGACCTCGTTATTCCTTAAATCGAAGAAGTTTCAACTTCTGAGGAAGGAAGTTCTTAACATGCGTGATACATAAGTGAAGTCATCGCCTAACTTATAACGGGTGATTTATTTTTTCAGTTCATAAAAGAGTAAAATTGGTGATGATTCCTCGGAAATGAAACGTCTTATTGATAACCTAAAAAAGTTATTTTGTTCAGCTTGAAAAGTGACTTTTTGGCTTTCTTCTCAATCTCCATAAATAAAATGTGGAAAGATATGTAGTTCATGCACATAATTTTCTTTCAGATACAAACTGGAAGAAAAGAAAGCCTTCTCGAATCAACTACTTTCACATGAACATTGAATTATATGAAAAAAAACTTTTTCTATTCAATCTGTTCTCCAGACGTCTGTTATTGAATTGTAACAAATATAATTCACAGGAAAACTACATAACTTGATAAATGGAAGAGCATTATTTTTCAATATCTCGAATAACGTCAAAAAAATAAATTGAAACGAAATTGGTGAATTTTAGTTCTTTTCAAATATCTCCAGAACTGATCAGAATTTTCTACTTTTTGAAACGTCATTTGAGTAACCTCTAAAATAGGTAATTTTTAACTAATTTAACTGACTTAGTGAATATTTCATGATTTCTAATTTTCCCATGCTGGTCTTCCTTATCTTGGCAAACACTTTTTCCTTCTTTTATGATTTGTTACCCAATAAAATTAGAAAACTTCATTCAATTAGTTTCTTCGAACAAAAAAAATCTCAGTAAATATTGAGTCAAAAGTTGATTGATGATTCAGTGAATAAAAAATATTCATGATGTTGGATCATGAATGGTTTGTTTTTAAACTGTGAATTCAATCAATTACATTTCCTTGAATCTCATTCAACAGTTGACATCCAAGTTTGGCTTTGCAACAGACAGCATTTGGTATCCTCGATTATAATTGATATTCTTCGTTTGAGTTTTTTGTCGATCCAATATATGAAAAAATGTCTTTACTCACTTGAACTCAGAATTTTTCAATATCTATATATATATTTACAGTACATATGAAGAACTGCTTCAAATACCACTTCGAATACTACTACAAAATAAAGCTGTAAATGTATTTTTCTTCTGCCTGTCTTAGAAAGAACTGAAAACCTTTTTTCAAACATCAATTCTATTCATAAATTCAAAGTATGTACCTTTTTGCAGTACGCTAAGAAGAATAAAAATATACCACTAAGAAATTACATTACTTGTACATGGTCATGAAACAAGACAGTTCAAAAAGTCTTAAATCTGCATTCACCCGAAAATCTACATTAACAAAAGATTAATTGCCTATAATGAATTACTAAATGACATTAAACACTTTACCAATAAAGCAAAATTTACATTGACATTAAACTATTATTGGCTGTTTTAATTTACATTATCATATTTATTTATTTTTATTTCAAATTAGACCAATTCTGAAATACTTGTAGTAGTTTCTTGGGAGTGAATAAATGTTCATTATTATAAATTCAATGTTTGAACTCATATGTTCATAAAAAACAGTACTGAGTAAAAGAAACCTCTATTCACCATTGAGCTGGGTTTGAGATCTCTGTCAATCTCAATAGATAGTAGCTTCTTCATAACGAGAGTCCTCATACCCAATTTTTTCAGTTCATTAACAGGCATGGCAATGTTTATGAGCTAATGATTTGCGTTAAGCAAAAAAAGCCCCCGATTTTTCGTAAATCTAGCAAATATTTCACAAAAAACAAAAACATATTAAAAAAGCAATATATATTGAAGACAGATATGAAACGGTAAAAAAGTTAACATATTAATAAATAATTGCATGTAAAGAGTATATAAACTTTAGTTTCATAAGCGTTACGATGCTACTGCGAAACTCAACTCATTTCCTTGACAACCCAGTAGTCAGTGCTCCTCCTTTACCAGTCCATTCTTCTTTCAGCTGCACTTTGGCTCCCAAATCACGCAAGGCAGCCTTTATATCATACTCAATGTCCTTGAATATTTTCAAATCTTCTTGAAGAATTTCTTCAATACCCAAATCCAAAAAGGTAGAGCATTGGTATTTGCTTCTGGATACCATGTTCCTCACAGCCCAGCTAGCAAATTTCTGGAAAAAAGATATTCACATTATGTTTCACTTGGGAAAAATTTTGAAGAATTTATTGTGAGATTTTCACTGGAAGGTAACAAAACTGCAAACAATCACAACACGTGTTCTGCTACACAGTAGCAGACAGAAGACCATAAGAATAATAGGTTTCAAACAGCACTGTCGTTATTTTTTGTTATTCTACCACTTCCAACATTATATATCTATGAAGTTTTACTAGAGATTCATGAATATGTTGATAAATTTGGCAGACATTGTGATATACATGTTAATGGAACGAGATCGGCAAGTTTACTGAACCTACCCAGACATAAATTAAAAATTGGTAAAAGTAGTTTACTGACTTATATTTCTATAATCATCTTATAAAACCATGTGAATAATTAAGTTTTCATTATTCAAAAAGGTTTTTTATTTTTCAATACATTTAGATGTAAAACATACTTTCTGTCATGTATCCAGTAAATATAAAAATTATATTACCTGTATTTGCTTTTCATTTCTATATAACTTCATAATTTCTACTATTACAGCTGGTACTCCTGCTTCGAAAAAGACCTTGCTATTATCAGAACTTCTGAGAGTTAGAGCAGATATACAACCCAACCCAGCTACAGCAGTAGACATATTACCCTGAAAAAAAAAACTTCTTTCATCTAGCTCTTTTCCTTCAAAGTTTCACAGTCAATCACCTTATTTGTCTCTAAAGCTGCAACAATCACAGGAGCTAAACCTTTCTGCACCATATGCGCTTTACAATCGTCGTTTCCAGCTAGAGATTTAATGAGTTTGAAACATTGCCTATTGATTTTCTGGAATAAAAAATTTTCATGTAGCAAACATTTTGATTCATCATTAAAAAATACTGTTCCGATAACAACTAAATATAATAATGTGTTTGTTCATGGTTTGAATCATATTTATCAGACTGTGTTCAGAAGGTGAATTTCAAAAATATGAAATCAGACAATTTGGAAATTGAAAGTGGGTTACCTCAGGGATCTGTCCTCGGCCCGTTGCTCTTTTTATTGTATATTAATGACTTTGCTGATATTTCTTTGGAAGTTAAATGTTCAATCTTTGCCGATGACACGTCTATACTTTGGGATAACAATAATGTTGATGCATTACAAACAAATATTGAAAATGACTTGGGAGAAGTGAAGCAATGGTGTGTGCAAATTCAATGTCTTTCAATACATCAAAAACAAATTTTGATTAATCAACTGAAAATACAACTTATTGTAGTTTGTTTTTTTCATATCGGTTTTGAGAAAAAAAATTGAAGCCACTTTGCATATCATGAAAACCTGTTTTGGAGACACTGACACTGATAGTGCTGTCATATCAGTGAAAGTCACATTTGCCAATTAGCAGTGATTCCATCATAAATAATTTCACTAATGGTGAAATGGCTGACACACACTTTATTTATGGATTAGCAAATGGAAATGCAGAAGCATGGAGAATTTACCAGGACATATATCTCAACAGAGTAATTCCATATGCTAAAACATTCATAGCTACATGCAAGAAACTGGAAGTTTTAATAAAAATTCAGGTGGTGAAAGACCAGAAACTTTCCATGACCAACACATTTTTTTTTATCTTTCTCTCCTGGTATCCAATTTGATTATAAACTTCGACATAAGCTTTATATTATACCAAAAATAATATGGACATAGAGGATATTTACTTCAGATATTGCATTTTTTGATTTTGAGAAAATTGTTTCTTTCCAAGCTAGGATGACATGAAACCAGAGCCCAAAAACAAAGCATTCGTGATCTAACACCAGACAGTGCTATCTCGACCCACAGTAGGTTCCATCAGTAGTGCTAGGCTAAACCAGGAATGCAATATTGGGCTCAAGTGTTTTTAAATGGCAAGCATGCATACTAAATGGCAATGACATCCCCACTTACGAAAATGACATCTATGGAATGGACCGAAGGACAATTAAGTCCAATATTTTGTTGGTCAGCCTAGCACCACTGAAGACATCTATATTGGGTCGAAAGAGTAGTGTATGGTGTTTAATCACCAAAGCTTCAATTATGGCTCGGGTTGCCTTGCGGTGAGAGCTATGATGAAATACAGAAGAATTGTTTATCTTTGATATTCATCGTCCAAGTTTTCTATCAGTTCTATAGATGGCTTATTCATAAGAGATGCAATCGCCCCTCACTAAGCTATGGCGAAATCATTGAGTTTTATGAACCTACATAAAAGTTATTTTTAATTTTTGGAGTAAAAAAATGTTTTCAGAAAATAGATTCATACACATTGAATTTTGATTTTTCATCAAAATTATTCCTAAATTTTTGAAAAAGTCAGTTGAGATGACGATAAGTATGGGCAATTTCTACTTGAACCTGAACTCAATTTTTATTTTGAAAAAGAAAATGTTACCTGCTGCTACTTTTTGTGGAATGCCCTTTTCACATTCTATTTTTATCGCCTCCAGTTGTTTGATAATCTCGTTCATAGAATTTGATTTCGAACTATTCAGCTTCTCTAATGTCTTAACTTCTTCTTCAATATGTTCCATAGAAATTGGAGCACTTATAAATTGTATATTGACAGAATTCAAATCAACACCCTTAAAAAAAAAGTTACTGTCAATAATGACAAAAGACTTGCAGATAATTTGACTTTCTGTACACCTAATAATTTTTACCTGCGATTCGAATTGTATAACAGTTTCCTTCACCGCTTCTTCTGGTGTTAACCCTAATAAATCCATGTTTTCTCTGACAGCTTCTTCAAAAGTTTCTTGGCTTATTACTACCATAATTGGAATTCTCAAAGGGATTCAACTAAAATAAAAACTTGTAGTAAAAACTTTTTTGCTTTGTCTAATTGAAATTGTTTAGATGTTTTTCCTTTTTTCCCTTTTTTTCTTTTTTCTTTTCTTTTTCAATTTGTATGTTACATTGTCCCTACTATGAACATGTAATGTTTTTTGGAATTAATAAATTCATTATTATTGAATAAGTTTTTAAATCTATTGAAATTTTCAATTTCTTTCCTGTTAGTTACTTACTTACAGGAAAGAAATCTATTTTTTTTTTACTTTTGCTAATTTTTGAGCATTGGGAAAAGTAATACTGGATATTTACAAACTTCAGAACCTAAAACTCACCTCACTGTCGGGAAAACCTTGCATCACATCTCGTATCATCTCTAGTCCACCAGCATCTTCGACTTTTTTGCAAAATTCTGTTCTAACCATCAATGCTGATATCGTCAATATTAAATCGTTCATAAGAGCTTCATCTAATTTAAAACCTGAAAAGTCATTTTAAAAACTGACCATTCACTAAATAATTTCAAATTTGATATTTAGAAATTACACAAAAAAGATAAATTAGGATCACCTACAAAATAAGACATTTCTCCACGTCAAAACTACTGCTATCAAATATTTTTTCATCAAAGTGAGAAGCGATACATACGAACAAGAAGTCCTACAAGGCAACATAATGTTTCGCTTGCTATAATCCTTGCATGTTCATGAGCATTTCCAAACTCGACTCGTACGTCATCGTCTAGAACCAGAGCTCGACACACAGCTAGGACTTCTTTCAATATCTCCGATGAGCCGTCACTCAAGAGCTCTTTCAAGTTATCCAAAATGTGTGCTTTAAAAATGTTTTGCCTAATAATATGAAACAATCAGTAATGGTGATCACAAACTAGGTTTATATTAGAAAAATTGGTTTTTGAAACCAATTTTTCTAGATCTGTTATTGTAAATATTCTCACCTATTCATTTCATGCATAACGCAACATTCCTTAGTCCACCTCAATGTTAATTTTTTGATGTCAAAGTCAACACCTTTCTTGAGATTAGAAATAATCACTTCAATTCCTCTTTCATTTAAGAGATCAGGCTGTTTGCTCATCAGTGCTACAAGAGCTCTGAGACAACCTTTTACAATATTTACATCTTCTTTATTGCTCTGTAATGTATCTAGGATAGCATCATATGCTCCACTCTTTCCTGCAACAAAATAATTGTCTCATAGGGATATAAGAAAATAAAATTACCACATGCAATTTTATAAGACTTCCATAAAATCAGTTTAAAAAACTTCGACAAGTGTTTTGTATCGAAATATTGTTTTCAGACAGGACTATTCTAAACTAATTACCTGTCATGCAAATTAAGGTAACATATTTACCAGAGTCGAAGATAAACATTTTTGAATTTATCTCTATTCACTACTTGCTCTTTATGTGATTGATTATTGTTGAAATATTACTTTACTTCATTTTGAGCGTGTGAGATGGTGAAGTTGGTCGAGTGCCATAGACAAATTTTGGTGCTCGTATGCAATTCGCATTTTTTTTGTTAACATTTTTCCGCAAAGTTAATAGTGAAAATCTCGCTGGAGTGTTTTCACACAGACATACCACATACAGTTCACACCTCTTGAAAACAACATTGGAGGTTTGCAGCTGCAACCTGCAGATCACGGAGACAAGGTCAGTGCATTTTCGACTTGTTTTCTATCGTTTCACAAAATCGCTTTTCACCTTTTTTTTTCTTAAGCCCAATAAGAAACAATCTCCATGGTTTCAAAATGATCTAACTTTAATACATATGTCTGTGCTGCAGACATATGTATTCAGCTGCAGGGTAGTAATCAACAATATTAGTATTCATCAGACAACAAAATTATCAGTATTCAACATAGCTTAGAAATTGAATCTTTAAAACATGTATGTTACATAAGACACACTTGTAATTGTGAATCTATTGATTTCTTTGGAAATGAGACTGGAATGAAATATACATTATAAATGAGAACTATTAAGAAGTGAACTATTTGTAAATGAAATAATGGAAAAAAGCCACAGTAGACAAAGATTTGCATGGTTTAACTTCAACAGGCGATACATATCAAAATATTGAAAAAAATACAGTTGTTTCTTCAAAGCAGCAAGGAAACTGTACAATAATATCCGCTTGGTAACATAATGAAAAAAATGGATGTAACTAGTAAAGATAACAAACAAAAACAACCAAATAAAGATATAACATTAAATATCAATAGTGATATAATAAATACTGTTCCCAATACCATAACTGCAACACTCTTCTGTCGACGCACATTTTGAGAAGAGATAAAGTACAATTATTCACAAATACTGAATATTTTGAACATCAGTACTTCAACGCAATAAAAAATTTGAAACAGATCTCATATTCTTACATAAAGTTGTCAATTGTTATATTAAGTCTTCAGAATCAATCGACCTTTTACATTTTTTTGTAAATCTGAGAAGGAACACAAATATTGAGATGACGATAAGTATGGGCAATTTCTACTTGAACCTGAACTCAATTTTTATTTTGAAAAAGAAAATGTTACCTGCTGCTACTTTTTGTGGAATGCCCTTTTCACATTCTATTTTTATCGCCTCCAGTTGTTTGATAATCTCGTTCATAGAATTTGATTTCGAACTATTCAGCTTCTCTAATGTCTTAACTTCTTCTTCAATATGTTCCATAGAAATTGGAGCACTTATAAATTGTATATTGACAGAATTCAAATCAACACCCTTAAAAAAAAAGTTACTGTCAATAATGACAAAAGACTTGCAGATAATTTGACTTTCTGTACACCTAATAATTTTTACCTGCGATTCGAATTGTATAACAGTTTCCTTCACCGCTTCTTCTGGTGTTAACCCTAATAAATCCATGTTTTCTCTGACAGCTTCTTCAAAAGTTTCTTGGCTTATTACTACCATAATTGGAATTCTCAAAGGGATTCAACTAAAATAAAAACTTGTAGTAAAAACTTTTTTGCTTTGTCTAATTGAAATTGTTTAGTCAATGATTTTAGAGTTTATAATGTAGTTTTGAAGATATGGGATAAATTCTTTAAATATATGGATAAATTACAATATTACAACAAAAAACTTTTAATACTGTCAGTGTCATCTGTCATCTAATTAACTGGCAGCTGTCACTAATCACAATCACTGATCTTTAAATATGTTTTGTTGACTTTAATCTCATACATACATACCTGTCAAAAGTTGTTCGCTATCTCTGCTCAATGTATTTCATTCAAGTAGAAAGATATAATAACTTTCAGTATAATAGTTTCTGAAATATGAGTAGAAGGACCACAAAAATCAATATATTATTATTTTTTCAAAATTCACGCTTATAACTGTAAATTCACAGTTACAACAGTACATCGTCAAATTCTCAATTTTAACTTATAAGACAAAAATTCATATTTTTTCTACTTGAATTGCACAATTTTGACCAGTTATCTTTGATTTTGATATACATTTCTTCTTCTCCCTGTTCATTGTGCTTAACAAGTATTATTTACTTGAAGAATTTCGGCGATTTTTAGTCGTTACCACATATTGTATTTTGACCTTTGAAAAGTTTGGCTTTGCACAATAAACGGAGAATATGGGCATCTATCAAATATGTGTATGAATGTCTTACATACTGTTATAATGGCATAAGTATATTTTTCTCTTCCGTAACATAATGCTGTAATATTGATTCAGGAACTTCAAAGTTCGCCATTTAGGATGATTGTGTTCCACGTAATTTAAATATATCGAGTTGATGAAATGATATATAACCACGCTATTTTATGCTCATGTGAATTCCAAACTTCAATACGGGGCGATGATCTGGTATCCCATTTATAATTCTTACATGCATTAAATTGAAGCTGTCCAAAGAAAGTTTTTGAAATTCTTATCTTTTCGCATTACACGTACTTACCCCCAAAGGGGAATTGACTATTCTGTTATTTATTTTGCACGAAACAAAACGCTTTCGGCTCACAACTACACATATATTTCCCAGTTAAGTTCTAAACAACAACTGAGCTCCGTATCTAACGAGTCGGTATATAGCTCATATAAAAAATTATACATGTTTTTATACATGGGCAGATATTTAACACCTTTCCCTTTTAACAATTGGAGTAGAAAACAAATACAATTAGATATGGGACAGTCTAAGAATTGAGAAAAATATATATAACAAAAAATATCAATATGCCAATTTCTCTGGAGGCCGAATCTGACTACGCCATCGTGAAATCCTATCATAATCAGATTTCACACTTTCCCGGGTAACATCAAATATGTCAGCCACCTTCGAAGATGAGAGAATTTTTTTCTATTTTTTCTGAGATGTTACAGTGAAGTATTATATTAATTGCCTTATCCTTCTATTTAGTTTCCAAAGCTTTATTTGCTTTCAGTTGATTTTTGTGTCTTTTCCATTTTGAACCTCCCTCTATCTCTATAATATAAGTTCTACTGCCATTTTTCTTTAAAATTATTCTTTCACACCACGATGACTACCTCGGCCTGAAATTTTGCACCAAACATTTTGTAGTTCATTAAAATAATATCCCTTTTATAACCATAATATCCCACTCGAAAAGATTTCAAGAATCAGCACTAGTCGGTGAACTGTGGCAACGCTGCATATATACTAAAATAGATCAATGGGAAGACAAATCCACAAACAAAGTAGATAAACAATAAAAAAAAGTACTATTCGCTATACCAGTTCTAGTTTTCAGTGAGCAGCTGTTCTATGTTTATTATATTAATAAGTGGGAAAAAGAAAGTTTAAAAATAGGGCCCACAAGAATTAGAAAGTTCAAAAGGAGTTAAGTGAAACCATACTCTATAATATTTATAACTGTATTTGTATATACTTTTTGCATTATTTCTGAAACGTTGTGCTAAATTATTTATAAAAAATGGCACAGTGGATTGGATATATGGTTTCCATAAGATGTGCCAATAATCTTGGCACTTTCCAAGGAGAAATTCTTTCTGCCACAAACTCTGTCATTACTTTGACAAAGGCGTTTTGTGAAGGCTTTCCTTGTAAAGAAAGTGAAGTTCAAATAAGGTGAGATTTAAATTACATTTATAAATCACATGTTTCAATTAATTTGTTTATGATAAAGTATGCTGGATAAATGCATAGGAATAGCTGAAGTATAACTTCAAATGATATTTGAATAGGTTTTCCTCAGGAGACAGTTTTGAGACCTCTATTATTTTTTCTTATAGTACCACCTGCAACCACATGAACTCTATTATGGATGTGTGTTGGCTTGTGAATGATTGTTGAATATATTCAGATTGTAATAGATCCTAGAGGCTATTCTGCTCAAGACCTAAATAGTGACAATTCTGGCATTGTTGGTCAGTGTTCTGTGTTCTTTTTCTATCAGAAAGAGTTACTCTACTCTATATTCTTCGTGACCAGAGCTTGTTATTCCCAAAGCAAATTTCACCAACAACTTTCACCATCCAATAAGCTATTCTACTGAATAATACTCTCCTGGTTGTATTCATAAACTCACTCAGAGTACAACTTCGATACATTCAGAAACATGGTCGAAATAAACTCTGCTTCAATTAGAATTAGGTTTTACTATGACAGTTATGACCTATGATTAGTTACATATAAAATTAACCACAAATATTTGGTGGTCATCACAGTATGTTCTAAAACACTGTCCTTTTGTCTGATTTCAAATAAAATGATGCTACCCGTGCGCAGCCGGGGCTGATCGTTACTACAAAATTTAAAAAACCTGCATGATAAATGGTACTTGTATTGAAAATTCTACAAGAACAAAAGTCATTATATTGTATCAGCAAATAATCAGATATCTCACAAATTTCACTTTTTTTAAATCATTATATTGGGTTGCTTTGAAAATGTTGTCCATTTTTGTAGGTTCAAAAAATATTTTTTTGTTGTGTTGTGTAATCAATGGAAAAAATGAAATTTATACCTGATTCCAATTGAAAATGAAAGGGTTTTACTTTCCAAAACGTAAACCATCTAAAGAAAGCTAAAAATATAAATTTAATTTTTTTCCAGTGATTGATTGTTCAATTTGTGAGCAAAATTCATTAGTATAAGTTACTCACTAATTGGACTCTTTAGTAGCTTATACTAAGCATAACATTTCAGATGAATTTTTCAGTTTGCTCTTTCATTATAGATACTTTAACAGATTCTCTATTGGTCTAGTTTTGTTCATTCTTCAGATTGTAGATGTTTGAAAATCTACATTGACAATTTTTTTTTCAAAAAATATCTAAACAGTGTTTATATATCAGAAGGTACTTGAAGTAGCTGTTTTCAGCATCACTTATTTGAGTTCAAAATTAGCATAACAGAAAACTTGAAGTTATTGAAAATAGGTTGAAAATATGTGTTTTTTTAATCCCAGACAAAATTAAAATGATTTTTGTTTGGTAAGAATGCAGATACTACATGATTTCAACCAGAAGTCCGAGAAGAATAAAATGTTCAACTTGAACGTCTTCACACCCTTCTATTGGAGAAGTGTGCTGGCAGTTTGCCTCATTTTGTTTTATCATAAATTTGATTCAGCATTCAACTGTAAGATGTCAGTTAACCAACACGCAAAACATTTTTTTTCAGAAGTAGACTGACAAAATCATGAGATCCAAACAAGACTATTCTAATCGCGACACACCTGAGTACAACACCCAGTATATGCAATTGGAATCGAAAAAAATTACCTCAAAAAATATTGGATCACTCAATCTATTTTGATTCATTCTACATTGATCAACAAGAATGTGGAACATATACAAAAAATACAGAAAAACAAGACAAACATCTTTATACAAAAAAGTGTAAATCTTCCAAAGAAAGGAAGAACGTAATTAGTTCCAAAATAAACTCATTACAAAGATGTGTAGATCATGCAAAGAAGTAACTTTCCCAAAAATTAATCTTTCCTANAAACAAAATATACTTTATTGTCCGAAGATTTGCATCTTATTGACAAAGTCCAAGAAATACAATATTAATATAGAAAAAGTACAAAAAAATATAAATGTAGATATAAAAAAGTTCCAAAAATGTATAAATGTAAATATAAAAAAAATTCTAAAAATGTGTAGATAAAACACCACCATGTATAAAGTGATAATACAAAGAATAAATTGCTGATTTATTGTTAAAAGAATTCGCTGAAATACTCTTCCAAACTATAATTGGGTCTATCACCGCCTTTTTGAAATGAATGTTGCTTAGATTTGCAGATCTCTTTTCTAATGGTAAATGATTGAACAACTTACCATTATAGTATATGGAATCCTTGATTAAATTCGAAGTTGGGATGGGAAGTGAACAAGTTCCTGCACGATTCTCTGGGTGTGACTTTACAGAGACATCTTAGTGCCCTCCTCTGTAATATCAATACAGAAGAGAGAAGGGATGAGTTGCAAGCTACCCAAAAAGGTATTCCATAACATAGTCGAGATTCAATAAGTGCATGTTGAACGGTCTTTGCGATATGGAAATCCAACTCATTTGAAACCACTCTAAATGCATAACATCCGGAGGAGATCTTACTCTTGAGTTGCTTAAGATGTTCATCAAATTTCAGCCTGTTATCAATGAATACACCACGAAATGTTGTTTTTAATTTATTTTGTAATATGGCAGCGTCTATTGAAATTTCATCAAGCGAACATTTGAATGATATTATATTCGTTTTGGATGCATTGAGAGGGAGTAAATTTGCATTCCACCAGCTCTTCACCTTTTTCAAGTCGGATGGTGTTATTTTATTTAGCTCCACTGATGTTTTTTATTCCACAATATTGTAGTATCATCCGCAAATAGAGTGTGATTCATAGCACGGATTGGATGATACACAGTAAATATTGATCGTCTGACAGGTGGGACTAGACCGCCATGCTCATAGGGGTTAACTCAATGAGTTCATTATCGCTAGATATTGTAACGTGGTTTCCATCCACGCTGGTTTTATTTGTTTAGGTAGCTTGGTTCGACAAAACAAGTCCAGTGTTTAAAAAGTAGAAAGGCATGTGAAGTGGTTCAAAATAAAATTTCATTCAATATAACTATTTATAGATAAATGATATAAAGAAAGTGGTCAAATTTGTTTTCATGTAAATAGTTGAATTTTGGAAAGGAATGTGAGAATCGGGATAAAGTTAAATGAATCACAGATCAACATTTGGATCAAGATGCCAAGCCTGATTGGTCACTATTGAGTGATATTGAACCTCCGCTTGGCCTGAAATGTCAAGTTCACTTGTAAAGAATCATTGAAAATGCGTAGCGAGCCCTATCAGTGGCTAGTATCTGATATATTAGTTATACAGGACATGTACTGTGATGAAAATATATACATTGGTTAACGGTATTCAGAAACAGAGCTGAACGCTCCATTACAATATTGTAGGAAAGGAATTGAAAGAAAGTTGATCCATTATAACTGATTTCAGAGAAAAGGCTAATTAACATTTATCCGAAGTTAGACTGGAATGTGTTGAATAATTTTTATTGTACCATAGCAAACAAACTTATTGAAATCCATGATTTTTTTCCATATGTTGAAAATATTTGAAAATTTACCTTATTTAGCCCCAATTGTTTCATCACATCTCATCAATCAGTCTTTTGAATCTAGGTAGCTTTCATGTTTCATGTTTGCAAATATAGAAAAACTTATCAAAATCAGAGTTGTCTCAATGTTTTTTGGCTTCATAATTTTTCAGTATTTTTTTTATTAATTCCTCATATTTACTGCACTTTTTATTTATTCATCATTTCTCTATAAGAATATTGTTTTCAGAGCCAACAATATTATTGACTTGAAACTTATAGATAAACAAACAGATAACTCCGAAGCAGAACGCAGCACTGTTACTATAGCGAAACCAATAGCTAAAAGAGCTGGAAGAACACACAGCACTTCAGATGTTCACAATGCAAGTTTCAACAAGCTTTCAAATTCAAATGGAGGACATGTCCATAACAAAACGAAACCCATTGACATTGAGATCAACAACAAGCCTTCTAGCGAATCTTTGTCTGGTTCTTACAAGAACAACACCCCGAACAAGAGAGACAAAGGCAAAGGAAAATGGATAAAGGGGTGGAAAGACGAAGAATGCTTTGGTTCCCCTCTGGACCAAAGCAACATCAATAAAGATTTTGATTTCGAGAAGAATTTGGCACTCTTCAATAAACAAGCTATCTGGGATGAAATCAATTCGCAAAGACCGGACTTGGTGAAACCTGGTGACAATAAGAAGCCAACAAAGTACAGGTAAAGTTTTTAACAAAAAAATTAGAACATTATGAAAATGGTTTTGTTTCAGGCACGATGAGAATGTGATAGCGACTTTACCAACGACGTATCGTCAGATAACAGTACCTAGGCAAGATTTTTGTGAGTATGTTACTGATGATGGTCTGATTATACCAAGTATATCAAGACCATTAAGGAAGAAGTTGTGGGAAGTGGCAGATCGAGTAGGGCTCTCTAGTGAGAAACGAATTGAGTTGATCGGCAGAGCTGCTACTGAAATATCAATACAGCTTCTTGGGGGTGGTCACAGGTTAAACCCCCATAATACCCATCAGTGGCCAACAGTGGTTGTATTATGTGGTCCACACAGGTAAATCAAATTTTCGGATTTAGATATTGGTATTAACATTTGACAATTCATTCCCATTATTTCGAAGGAAAACTTCTATAGCAATATAAAAGTTGACAGATCTCAGGAACTCTAGGAAAATGCATTTATATTCCCGACTGATATTTGTTACTTTTCTTCTTTTCTCTAAAAGCTGTCCTTTCTTCATATATTAATGGGGAATTAGAAATCCCAAAAGTTATTTTGAAATAATAATCTCTCCAAAGAACTTTTTTTATCATATATGGGTATTAAATTGTTAACAAATGTTTGTAGATCATAATTATACCAGAGCAGCATGGGTTCCCAAATGATAGATCCACAGTATCCAACTTAATTTAATGCAAGTACTACATAACAGACTTTTCCAAAGCCTTCGATAGGGTCTCTCATAATTTATTGATAAACTATATGCTATTGGGATTGGTGGTAGGATGTTGAATTGGATAAGCAGTTATTGAATAGCTTGTTCTAAATCAGTGAGGTTAAATGGTATTATTTCTGAACCTTATGCAGTTGAATCAGGAGTACCTCAGGGATCCCATTGTGGTCCCTTCCTATTTTGCCTTTTCATCAATGACAATAATTCTAAAATTCAGTATTCAAATTTTCTCCTTTTTGCTGATGATCTCAAGATTTTCAGGGTACTTGAAAATATTTATGATTCTAATATTCTCCAAAGAGATCTCAATAATATATCAGACTGGTGTAATGCGAATTGTCTTTATCTTAACGCTGTTTAGTAGATCATAATCAGCAATTCGATTCGATTACCAGTTAGAAGATAATGTGTGAAAAGAAACAAGAATGTAAAGATTTGGGAATATTATTAGACAACAAGCTTTTTTATGTTAACCATGTGAACTGTGTATCCCAAGAGCGCTTAAAATTCAATTCAAAGTAGCAGTAGAAATCTAATGAAGCCATACTTTTTTCATCATTGCCCTCGACAAGGGAATTAAGTATTCAAAGCAATAAATGCAAATTAATGAGCTTTCGCTTTCTGAAAAATGAAAAGAATGAAACTTTATTTGGAAATTCCAAATGTTTTTGGAGAATGAATAATTCTGAATACCATTTATAGAAGTAATACCTAAATTATAGGATTTTCGAGTTTTCTTCAGAGGAATAGGTTGTGGTTTGAACTCCAATATCTATCGTATCAATCGCACACTTTTGACTGTGTATCACATACTATTTTGATTGAAAAAAATAATTACTATGGTGTCTGGGGCACAGCTCTCAAAATCATTCAGTCTTATCTCACAAATCGGGACTGATATGTTGTAGTGAATGACAAAGTCAGACCTCAAAGAAATGGAGCATGATGTTCCTCAGGACTCCATTGTAGGTCTACTATTATTCTTGATCTATATCAATGATCTATCTATGCAGTTTTATCAAACCAGCAAGACTTACCTTGTTTTCATATAATACGACTTTATAATGCTTTAGCAAAGATTCAACCGGCTTACAACTAATAACACAAAAGATCAAAACATTAGAATATAATTGGTTTGCTGCTAATAAGCTGACTCTGAATGAAAATGAAACTCAAAATGTAATTGTATCTTTCAATCCCAATATTCATCCAATTAAAAGTATCAAGCTTTTAGGATTTGTGACTAGCAAACTTTCTATGGTTTTGTTTGTATTCCTCAGGACTCCATTGTAGGTCTACTATTGTTCTTGATCTATATCAATGATCTATCTATGCAGTTTTATCAAACCAGCGAGACTTACCTTGTTTGCATATAATACGACTTTATAATGCTTTAGCAAAGATTCAACTGGCTTACAACTAATAACACAAAATAGCAAAACATTAGAATATAATTGGTTTGCTGCTAATAAGCTGACTCTGAATGAAAATGAAACTCAAAATGTAATTATATCTTTCAATCTCAATATTCACCCAATTAAAAGTATCAAGCTTTTAGGATTTGTGTCTAGCATGGTTTATGGTTTTGTTTCTTTTGGGACAAATAAATAATGTAGTCAGCTTTAGACTCCTTAAAGAGCCCACTATGGATTATTTCATTGATTTTGTGTCATTCAGGAAATTTCATAAGTCTTTATACTTTATAGGTACCAGCAAAAAGCCATAAGAATAATCTGCCCAGACATAAATTAACATTTTGTAAGAGAAATTCACAAAAAAGCTGTAATCAGATATGAGGTTTTGAAAATATATGACCATAATATTATTTGATTAACCTGATTTTTCAGACAAGGAGCAATGGGAGTTAACACTGCCCGACAACTTGCCAGTCACGGGGTTGAGACCATCGTCTATACAGTCTCTATGGACGCCCCCATTATGAAAAAAGAAGTCTCCCTCTACATGCTCACGAAAAACAGGGTTCTGAACCAGGTCTCCGATCTGCCCAACGTCCCCGACTTGATAATCGTCGCCCTCTGCGAAGACACGGAACACCCCAAACACTACCCTCTTCTGGCCGAATGGGTAAGGAAGAACAAAGCGCCTGTTTTGGCGCTGGATCCCCCTACAGCCGGAACTCCTGGCATTACTCCAAAGTTTTCATTGTTACCTGTCTTGCCACTGCCTCATTCGTCCAATAACGGGAAGTTGTACCTTTGCAATTTGGGTTTTCCTGTCGACATTTTCAATGAGGTCGGCATCAAGTACAAATCACCATTCGGACCGAAGTTTGTCATACCCCTGCATCCGAGGGACGAATGACTTTCTGAAGGAATTTCATAGTTATTTTGACGATAACCATAACAAGGATCATGCAGTGAGCTAATTCAATTTTAATTTCTTTTTTTTCAAATCGCCTCTTTGAGCCCATTATATCTGTTACAGAATAAAAAATGAGAAATTATTTTGTAAGGGAACAGATAATATACTTATACCTCTTTCATTAAATGGTTTTTAATTGCTCATTGTTGCATTTTTCACTATTTCTCATTTTTGAATTGAAGTTTCAATTTGTATGCATTTTATTGGAGAAGTGTGCTGGCAGTTTGCCTCATTTTGTTTTATCATAAATTTGATTCAGCATTCAACTGTAAGATGTCAGTTAACCAACACGCAAAACATTTTTTTTCAGAAGTAGACTGACAAAATCATGAGATCCAAACAAGACTATTCTAATCGCGACACACCTGAGTACAACACCCAGTATATGCAATTGGAATCGAAACAAATTACCTCACAAAATATTGGATCAATCAATCTATTTTGATTCATTCTACATTGATCAACAAGAATGTGGAACATATACAAAAAATACAGAAAAACAAGACAAACATCTTTATACAAAAAAGTGTAAATCTTCCAAAGAAAGGAAGAACGTAATTAGTTCCAAAATAAACTCATTACAAAGATGTGTAGATCATGCAAAGAAGTAACTTTCCCAAAAATTAATCTTTCCTAAAAATATACCCCTTTCAATTTAGGGAAAACATCTTTACCCCTAATATTAAAAAACAGGAAGAAGAAAGGAGCCTAATGATGTAGAACACTTTTGAAAATAGTCTCCAATCATATGAAAAAATATGAAGCAACTGCTATGTTCCCAGAATAATTGACTCCCATATACCCATGTTTCGTTACTAGGTATGACTCTTTTAGGCAAATCTGGGTCGCAAGAATTCCTGAGTGATGGAAAAAAATCAGTAATTTTGAAACGAACTTTGCTGCCACATGTTCATGCCCAAAATTTTCGAAAAAATTGCATGGCATGAGCCAACCGATATGCTGACATCCTCAGCAACTTTCGTGTCCAGGGAAATGCTACAGATATATATTCAGAGAAAAACATCGATAACGTACAATGCAATAAACTCGTAAGTTGGAACAGTTAGTAATGAGATAATCTATCGTGAAAATAGAATAGTCATTATCAGAGTGAGCCACAATAAACTGTAGAGGAATGGAGTGATGATTTGACTGTCGTGAGAGAACTTTTTACTCTATGATATGAGACATCCTGATTATATTTTCTTAACTAGTATTTTATATGTACAGTACGACCTAAATGTGAATATTGCTGAAAAACATTTTTTGAAGGTGCTAGATTATTTCGATTTCTATCCATATTTTTCCCAACCTGCTATTCCAGAAGAAGTTGATGAGGGTTAATTTACTACTCGAAGAATTCTGAATGGTTTTTAATATTCTCAAGTTTTGAGACCAATTTTCAGAGGCGAATTGTCCCCTCTCGATTTTATAAAGTGCGGACGTAAAGAGTCCCCCTTTCCTCTTAACTTTTGAACAAGAAAAGATATTAAGATCGGATAAAATGTATGTAAAAAAGGCAATTGTAGCATCATTCATCACCGAGAGGGTGCTACCAACATTTTTTTAATGGAAATAGGAGTCTTGTGATACCTCGTGTGACAGGTATTTCAATTCTTGAATTTTTTTAATTCTTGAAAGAGCAGTTGTATATTCGTTTTTTAAAATTTTATTATTTGTGAAAAATCATATGGTAACAAAAATGAGTCTATATTCGCAAACCACCTTAGTTGAAAGCTACCCATTGATAATATTTTGATATGTGAAGTAAATAATAATAATAATCATCCTTAAAATCGAAATTTATGGTACACATTAAGGTGAATATTATTATATTATCGTTAGAATGAATTCATACAAATTACAAGACAAAACGTGGTAAAATTTGACAAATTACTCTTTTACACCGATAGGGTCAACAGCTGGGTGGTTGCTGAATGTAGTTTTACAGTAAATAAATTACATAAATTATCCTTATCACTTTAAATTTTTGATTGAAAATATTTCATTTGGTATCCTATTCGATATACTTTATTTGAATACGACTTGCAATTTTTGTTGTTGAATGTAAGAAGTAGGAAATCTGTTGATACTTTTAGACAACCCAACATTCGATTAATGTTTATTACTTTATGACTAACATAAAAGTAGGAGTCTAAATGAACGTACAATATACACTTATTCAATTTATTAAAATACTTATTTGAAATAATATTTTTCTGTCTCTTTTGAATATAGGGAATTAACTACAGTTATGATAAAGTATCACCATATAGTTATTATTGAGGGTACATGAAAGATTCTGAGTAAACGATCAAATGAAATGGCCAATGTTGATAATTCATAATTGCAGAAACCAACAATGTATTAAACGTCCAATTAACTTTACTATGGTGATTTATAAAGTTTTGCAATTTACAATCGTCAAGTTTTTTCATTGTTTGTTGTTAATTCAGATCAAAATTCATTAATTTTTTGTTTTTAATATTGTCTTTTGAGTAAAAATTCAAGTGCAGTCCTGATTCAGCCAATGAAACAGAAATTGCTAATACTATTCATAACCCTCTATATTTGATAATCGGGTTTGCAAAATATTTTTAGAAGATAATAATTCAAGAAAGTGATGAAAATGATAGAAATTCAAACAGTCACACGCAATAAATTTAGTGACTTGAGAATTCTCTGTGAATCGACGGTGTCAGCGGGTTGACAAGTGTGAAAACTTGTATGCACTTTCAAATACATTCTTCAAAATCTGAACTAGCCAAAGGTTCCTAACCTATATACAAAGGTTTTATTCTTCGTTACCTTAGTACAGGTTTGTGCTATTGTGTTGGATAGTGATTTTGAGCGATTAGATATTGAATAAAATTGAAGTTGAAATTAAAGAAATGGTAGATTACAAATACTGAATGGTGCCGTATTATGAGTACCAACATGTTTCATCCAAAAAAGGCATCTATGAAAATGCCGTATGAATAAAATATTTGAGACTTGGTTCGCAGAAGAATGACATTTGAAAACAATTCATAGATTGTGTTCGCAATATTGCTTAAACCTTTTACCAAAAACTTTTTAGATTTTTCTGGTTTGATTCAAGATGTACATTGTAATAACTCAACATAAACTGTACAAATTTCTGAAGAAAATAAAAAAACAGTTATGAACAGAGATCACTTGGTTCATTTGTGAACATTTCAATGTAAATAAGGTTTGTAATCAATCTATAAAAATGGTGACGTCAAATAATAAAGCATTTGATGTAATGAACAATTCAAAGCGATTATATAGATTGAATTCAAATGAAAGCTTTATGGTACACACATTTTCATTTGAAACAAATAGACATGTAAGTGGGCGAAAATGAGTTCAGGTCATCTTCAATGAAAACAAATGCATAAATCTTCCAACGGTCCTATTTCAGACTGCAATAGCAAATCGGACACCTTTGAGAATATAATTGGCCAGTTCATTTGAGAACTTATTGTGGTATAAATATTGCTAAAATTCTATAAATTGAGCATTAGTTATGAGCTACAATTTTTATTTACATTATTTGAGAAGAAATAAATGACTCGGGATTTGAAAATTGATACATTAAAAAATTAAAATATTGAAAATATCACAAAAATGTACTAGTAATGATCATTTGACTGTCTATTCATAACAAAAAGAAACTAATACAGTAATATTGATCTCTTCGATCAATAGATCAAAAGGAAGATTCCAAACATCTATGTATTAACAACTACTGATAATTACATACAAACAGATTTATGATGGTAATTTGATAAAAATAAAAGATCCAAACTTACATCTCTACCTACAAAAAAAAAATGAAGATATGCTTTTATTTACATTTCATTATATATAGCAATTTATTTTCAGAAATTTAGTCTTTTTGAAGATTTATAGTTGTACAATTAGATAAAAAACTACCGATTATGTGTCGGCAACCAATATTTTAAGGGAAAAACAAACAGCATTCATTCAGCCATGGTGAACTAGATTGTCACATTTCTTCATAGAGTAATATTCGAAATATATCATGTCGCATTTTCAAATTATTACAGAAAAAGAAATGTTAACCTCATCGACAAATTTGCTTGCTTCTCGTGTGAATACGATTTGATTCTAAGAAATTCAAAACATCAACATAAAAATTTTTTTATATGAAAAACAATTGTAAAACAAGAGAAATATTATTGAGTAACAAAGTTTTGATTCCTTAGAGTTGAGTGATTACATTTGAATATTATACATTATTTTCTGAACAAACACCTTTGAATAATATTTCAACAGCATAGAAACAATTACCGTGGCAGGAATTCAAAAATACTCAGGGTGAAAGGTCGAGGAAGTAATTTTCCATTATTAGGGCCAGGTGTTGGGAACAGTAAAATTATAACTACACGTGCTTAAATTTGCCAGAAACTTCGGAATCCCTTCAAACAATACAAATTCCTTCAGATAGCTTACTGCTCCCGTACAACAGTAAAAAGTAAAACGGTATTAAATTATATTTCTTAATCATTGATATTTGAGAATTGAGATTCTTGTTTCTCTTCTTTAGGGTGAGTGCAAGTAATTTGTGATCATACATGGTTACCATTCTATTGAAAATACTTTTCCACACCATAAAAAATTCAACTGTTTTTCGACGTTCCTTTCGCTAACCAAGATAGCATCATCAGGAGATGACTGAAACTGTCAATTTTAGTCGTTTCCTGATGAAGTAGCAACACAATTGATGATTTGAATGTAAATATGATTAGGATTTCAACATAATTGATAATTTGAATGTACATATGATTATGAGAAAGTTAATATCATTTGTGATAGAAGAAAAAACTGAAAACTGATATGTCTTCCATGGAAATATTTCCCTATTAGGTTTGAATATGCCAAAAACGCACAAAATTATTTACAAATTTTGAAATGAACACTGTACCAAATAAAAATATATGTTTCGCTATATAATACTATATAATACCTTTATTAGGTGTAATTAACAGAGTATTAGTCAAGCTGAGAAAGCTTTGGACCATTACTACAAAATACATTTTTTATTTAGAATGGTCATTTCTATTTGAATTTTTGTTACCACTATCTTTTTTTGAACAAATCAGCTTTTTTCCTCAGTAGCTTAGAAAGTTACTAATACATACATGAATAATTTTATCTACTTATAGATGGAAATTTGTGCGCAGTCCTATTTTCATTAGGTTGTCTTACCTTTTTTATATACTAGTCGTTATGAAGAGCAGAATGTTACTTTGTGTTAACGAATATTACAAAGAAGAGAAACAATAAATATTCGAATGTTTGTGACTAATGTCTCTTATGATATTAGTTAAATGTTTTCTAGTTTGACATTCGAATTTTAAATTCTAGATGTTCTACTTCTCCATCATTATATAGAAACTGGGAAACTTTCAAAAAATTTGTTCTCTTATTATTTTTCTTCCCTTATTTTTTAAGTTTCCCCGTCTATATAATGGTGGGGAACTAATATCTCCTGATAAATATTCCCATTTTCAAGTAAAGTAGATGTTCTGGCTTGTGGGCCTCGGTTGGTAAAATAAATAGAGTATTCTTAATGAATTAGAAATATTCATCAAATATCTACTAGAACCATCAAAAAATGCTAATGAACGCCCCCTTCTAGGACCCAAGTGTCTAGCAAACATAGCCGTAGGAAAGACATATGAAAACTATAACTACCATTAACACATGGTCTCCGACTGCATATGAAGACTACCTTTGGATTCAGCCTTTGGAAGGACTTCTTTCTGAATAGGTAACTGAGAAGAATCGATGACGATGGAAGGCCTTTGCGGCATTGGCGGGTGGTTAATGGCGGATGAAGCGTTATCACTAGATTCCGTCGAATCTTGACGATCTGCTGAAGAACCTGAAGAACCTACACCAGAAAAAGCGAAAGCGATAGAAAATGGTTTGCGGAAAATTAAGATTCATTGTGTTCCTTTGAAAATGGATGATGTACACTTCACTATTGAATAGGGGCATTTTTTGGTATGTCGAGAGATTTTTTCACAGTTCTGAGGTTTAAATTTGAATTATCTGAACTTCATTTCTTTCAATCGGTCTACATCATTTGAACTATTGTAATAGAAAATCCACGAAAATTTTAACATACCTAGCACAGTTAGAAATATTATAAATTATTTTTTCAATACAACTTGAACTTCAAAATCCATATAATATTTTAAATTCTGTATCAAATTTCGTTCCAAAACTTGTAACCTGATAGCTATTATGTCACATTTGTTCAAACCCTGGTAAATATGAGTGCAAGTACTTTGATATAAATACCTGAAAACTCGTTCATTCACGTTCCAAGTGAGGAAAATGAAAGAAAAAAATGGTTTTAGCTATCCTGCAGAGACCTAAATCAATCTAAAATTTCTTTCTGTCTCTGGAAATCATTTTGATTTAAGTTTACTTACATGGACATCTTCACCTTCGAATTATTTGTCTAAATGTACTTGGCATAATAGGAAAATTTCTTAGAATCTTTCTCAAAGTTATTATTAAATAATCCCTGGAATCAATTTAAATTGCATATTTATATACCACAGCCTTGGCTGTGTATGTGATCAAGTATGAAAGATCTTTTATTAATACGAGTCATAATGTTCTTTGCAGTGTATAATATTAATATTTTTAATTCATTGACAGATATAACAGGAATACAAAAAATCATGAGTGAAGGAATGCACCAATAGCAGAGTACAAAATTGCGCATTGTTCAAGAAATAAGTTTTTGGTCTTGTATTCTGGATGCACCTCAAACGGCAGTGAACATTTTCTAGTTTATCAATTAATTTTTTCAAATTAAACTCAATTGTCCACAAACTTAATGTTGGAAAAGTCAAAACAAGGAATTTTGTGCTAAATTGAAAGTTTCAGTTGAAATTACCAATTTATAAGAAGGTTTTATAAAGTCTGAAAAGCATCAAGAGACAAAAATCGTTAGACTTGGAAATGGTTTCTGACATACAGAAACACCTAGAACATGATTTCGCGTGAAATTCGTGATGTATTTAGCAAAAACAAGAAATGGGGTTATCTGTAGTTGTTAATCAAAAATCCTAAGATATATTACAAATATATCTTAGGATTATCTATTCACCAAAGTGTGTAGTAATAACTACACGAATTGAAATATTTAGTAGTTTTTGAACAAATCAATTTGTGGACTGTTAAAAAAATAAGGTAAATGTTCAAATTTCGCGGGCTACATACTTTAGATTAGCGGGCAAAAACAACACTGTAATTATGTCTCAGCCACCGTTTTCACCAGATTTGGCCCCCTGCGATTTTCCCTGTTCCTAAGATTGAAGAGACCCATGAAAGGACGGCATTTCGCGACGATTGAGGAGATTAAAACCGAATAGCTGAGAAAGCTCAAGGACATACCAAAAAGTGTATAAAAGAACTACTTCGAGGATTGAAAAACGCTAGCACAAGTTTATTATACATGAAGGGGGCTATTTTGAAGAGGAAAAAATAGAAATTGAAGAATGAATGAATATTTTCTTTTGGGAAAAGTGAAAATTTACCTTATTTTTGAAAAGACTGCTTATGTTTCATTGGTAAAAGTCGTTTTTAAGTTATTTTAAATTTATTGGTCGGTCCGGCATGCAGTTTTTCCTTTCATTTGAAGTGATTTCTAAGAAGACATTACATAATTCCAAGTAACATGACGAAAAAATAATTTAACATTATACAGAATAGAATAAAGCTTTAATAATCTGTTTGATGAATCTGGCAACAAGTACAGCAAAACCATTCCGGTTTGCACAAATTAATCTGGACCACCGAGTCTTCAAATTGAATTTCATATCAGATTATGTATGAGAGAAAACAGCATCAGTATGATGCTCAATAACAAAAACGGATGTAATTGTATTGATATTGGAAGAAGAGGTGTTTTCAAAATGTTTATGATTTGATGATAAAAAAGGATCTGAGTATATACTGATGTGTTTTGGTGTATAATTGTAAACATATATTTGCATCAATCACTAAAGAAAGCATGGATGAAAGATTCTGAACTACTAACTGAAAGTGTAGCCAAATACAAATGTACAAATTTATTGAACATGCTGAGAATATTAATATATTCACTGCTTTCCGACCTGCTGAGTGGCAATACACATTATCAGTTGAAGTAATTCCTAACTCAAATAGAGAGTACATTTGATATATTAATGTTTTTCTGATAATGAGATGATAAACTTTTGAAATAATAAGAGAGGCATCACTCTGTTTTCCAGTTTAGTAAAAATGACTGTTGAGAATCATTCAACGATGAAAATGTGCTGTCAACAGTCATTTTCCTGATTCTCCTTTGATGTTGGTACAAAGGAAGAATCATCGACCTACCATTACCTAAAGTGGCTTGCATCGCCGGTGAGTCATCTTCTATAGCCGTTGATCTGCGAAGCGTGTTTCGACTAGGCCACGAGTTTACTCGGTATTCTCGAGTCTCTGACATGACGGAGAGTAACGCGGGATTTTGAACGACTGTGCGATCTATGTCGGCCACGTCTTCTTCTTCTTCGTTTTCTTCGCTGTACCGTCGTTGTATGAGATTTTCCATGACCATGTAGTCGCATTCTTCGGCGCTACGCAAGTGTTCTTTTTCCAAGTTAAGAGCGATCTCAGGATTGGACATTTCGGATGGATTGCGTTTTCGTGAACCTATGGGAATAATACTCATTGAAGTTATTAATTTCATTCAAATTTGTTCAGCGAATATATAGTGTCGATTACTTTCAGTTTTTTTCAACTTGGACCATCCTATGTCTGCTGAAAGTTACATTTGGTATATGTATTGTCAATTTTTCCAATTTTTCTGAATCCATTAATTTTACATATTTATTTACATTTACATTTATCTTTCAATATTCATTGGCTCTTCTGAAATTATTTGAATTGAACAAAATAAGTCTACAAAAATTGAAGCCACTTTTTAGTATCAGATATTTCAATTCATGGGGGAAAATCAAGTTTAATGTACATATCATGAAATAAATAATATTACTGGAGTTTAATCCAAACAATTAACCGTTATTTTCAACACCTGGACACGTGTTTCAATCACCAAGTGATCATCTTCCTCTTGAAGATTATTACTTGGTGATTGAAACACGTGTCTTCCTCTTGAAGATGATTACTTGGTGATTGAAACACGTGTCTTATTGAAAAAAAAACTTTACAATTTATTCAGTAAATTAGTTCATTTTATAACTTGAATATCAGAGTAATTTCCGATCCACTTGTTGATAAGTTCATCATAAAACCTACATTGAGATATTTTCAATACCAGTTTTCGGCAGGTAATAAGAAAATGAAAAGCTTCCACAACTTATCACAGTCTACCATCTCTACGTTCATCAGTAATACACACTGTAAAAGTATCTGTGAAGATATTTGTAATAACTTTGAAAATACTCAGGTAATCAGAACAGATCGATTTGAAAATAAATTTATATTGCCCCTCCCAATAAAGGCTGGCTTACACTACTCATCATTGATTTGTGAAAACAAAAAATGTTATACAACTCTTCTACAGCATTATAAACTTGATGAAACATGCACCTGTTATTAACCCAAAAAGCAATATTTATTTCACTCAGTACCAAGCAGTTACCGAAGATATTGAAACGTTATATTTACGAATCTAAATTATATAGGATTTATATTGAATCTGCGTAAATAGAATAAATGCTGTTTGTAATGAAAATGAATTGATTCATATTAACATTTCAATTTATTGAAAGCCGTGGACAATATTTTTATTCATTACTGGTACTGGGTTTTCCGCAATGACAGAAAGTATGAAAAAATGCAAGCCTTAAGAGGCGGAGGTGTCATGATTCTAGCCAAAAAGAAGCACTCTCCACAGCTGACAACCAAAAGTAATAGTGTAGACTACGACTGGATAATCACCTCTGTTAAATTTCGAGAAATCAAAATCTTGATATGTTGTGTATACGTTCCCCCAAATTCAAGACAAGAAGTATACAATGAGATCATTTTATCTCTAGAAAGTGTTGATGAATTGAATAACTCCGATTTTGTCTACATTAAAGGCGACTTTAATATTCTGGAAATAAATGGTGCATCGTTCAGTTTCGAGACCTGCACAGGTAAAGGTAAATATATTGATGACCTCATAAGCAACTATGATCTCTTTTCTGTAAATGATATAACAAATTCAAACCACGTCAACCTTGACCTGACCCTAACAAATTTAGCCAGCACAAGTGTTACAAAGGCAACTTCAAGTCTATACGATGGCATAGACGAGTAACACCCTCCACTAGAAATTGATATTACTTTGATCGGCTCAGAATCTGTGACAAGCGAAAAAATATCCCAGAATATATTTATGATTTCCGGAGCGGTGATTACGTCAAACTCTATCACCTTGTAAGCCAAACCCAATGGGAAAATGTGTTAGTATCAAAAAAACCGGATGAGTTGGTTGATGCTTTTTACTAAATACTCTATGGTATATTTGACGAATGCTTGCAAAACAAGGAAATAAAGTACAATAATAAATTTCCCGACTGGTATAGCGCTGAACTTAGGCAGACAATAAAGAAAAAAGAAAAATACTTTAAAAAATCCAAACGTGCAACTCCAAAACATGATGAATACAGAAATAAATTTTGTGAACTCAGAGTAAAACTGAAAAATTTAATGGAACAATGTTAACACTCTCACATACAAACTATTGAAAACAAAATCAGTAAAAACTCTAAAGAATTTCGGAATTACATTAACAATAAAAAAAATGATTACAAAATATCTAATAATTTCAGATATAAAGATGAAGTCATTTCTGATGACCAAGATATTGCTAATGCTTTTGCTGAATATTTTCAATCAGTTTATAGTAATGATTCTCCAGGTGGCACCAATCTTCTCTAGAGATCAACCTGCGAGAATTATGTATATCATCAATTTCCGAACAAGATATCTGTAAAGCAGTTAGATCCCTGAAACCCAAAACATCAACTGGAGTTGACGGTATTCTATCTTACTTTTACAAAGGTTATATGGAAAACCTAATAAGACCTCTAAATATAATCTTCAAAAGCGTTGTTGAAAGTAGTGTGTTTCCAAAACAACTCAAAATGGGATGTATAATTCCTATCCATAAATCTGGCAATCAAAATCTCATAACAAACTATAGGCCGATAACAATACTCCCCTCATTATAAAAGATCTTGGAGACAGTCTTATATAACAGACTATATGCCCATGTTGAAGACACTATCTGCAGAGAACAGCACGGTTTTTTTAATAAAAAATCGACTGTAACAAATCTCGTGGTGTTCAGCAATAACTTTGCACTCTCGATAAATACTGGAAAACAAGTTGATGTAATCTACACAGACCTAACGAAAGCATTCGCTTTCAATAGAAATAGGTCGATACTATTCAGACCAACCTCTGGCGTTCCTCAGGGATCAATTCTAGGCCCACTTTCATTTATAATGTTTATTAACAATATAGGTGATTATATAAGACATTCCAATTTCCTGCTCTATGCAGATGATCTTAAATAATACCAAACCATCACCGATGAAAGATACAGTGAAAACCTTCAGAAAGACTTAGATTCTATCACTATCTTTTGTGAGACGAACAACTTGATGCTGAATGAGGGTAAATGCAAAGTTATATCTTTTTCACGGAAAAATGTTATTACTTCAACGGAATATTCAATAAATGGCACCAAACTGGAAAAACTTGCTCAAATCAAAGATCTAGGAGTCATATTTAACAGTAACTTCAACTTCAGAAATCACATAGAATATATTGTACGTGATGCAAACAGAAAGCTTGTTGGTTTTGTGTTAAGAAACGCCAGATATTTCAAATGGGAAATAGGAATTCTTCTATTCAAAGCTCGAATACGCTTCAACAATTTGGAATCTGCAAACAGCATTTCATTCAGAGATGATAGAAAAAATACAGAAGAAATTTCATAGGTACACCTACTTCAAAAAAATAAAGAGTCTCCCTCTATGATCTCCTATAGGACTCAACTAGAACATTTTGACATGCCAACCCTGTCGGATCGTGGAAGCTTGAATGATGTACTATTTATATTAAACATATTTAATCAGGTAATAAATGTACCTGAACTCCTCAGTGTGATCAAGCTTCATGTTCCCAGTGCTAGTCTAAGAAATCACAATAAGGTTTTCTATGTAGACACCCGATCAGAGTCTCCACTCAATCGCTACCTTAGGCAAGTGAATGATCTAGTCGTAAGTCATCAAAGCCTGGATTTTTTTTGCTGTGATGAATTAGAAATAAAACAGTCGTTTTAAAAAAAATATATATATACCTGTTTTTATTAATGTTTCTCTTGTACGTAATTTTAGGTGATTATTTACTCTGTGTATTTTAATATCATATATTTTATCTACCATGACATTGACTGTATACATATAATCGGGTGTAAACCTGTTTGGAATGCAGTTTAAATAAAATCTATCTATATATCTATTATCATTATATACAGTAGATCATCTACAAAAATCGACAATTATCAGACACTTTGAAAATGTACAATGATAACACAAGATAACTATAAACCCCAGTCTACAATCGAATGTGATCAATTTCTACCTAAACCGATTCGTTTTAGGATCTATTTTGTTGTTATATTCATTTAAGTCAATATGAGCTATTAGTTGCTGCAGATTCTTCAAGAATTATTCAACTTATAGTTTATATTACATATTCAGTGGACGTAACATCTATTCGTGAGGTATTATGTGAATGATCTCTGACGTTTTTTCAAAGGTTCTAGTTATTATACATCATAAAACGAATGAAGTAATAATAACAAGGTAGTCCAAGCAGATTGTATAAAATATATGTTTTTTGCTAATATACTCCTATCGGTCACTTTAATCCAAACCCATTCCTGAAGACGTTCCATTACAGGGTTACAGCAATACAACTAACTACCGAACCATCTCTACAACCGGATGCGATACATTTCTACCTGACAACAACTAGACTTACTTGGCGGCGACTGTTCCGGTCTGGGCGGCGAAAGCAATCCAGGAGACCTCGGCGGACTCAGCAGACCGCACACAGATTCCAGTTCGTCCGTGATGCTGGTGTATTCTGTGTGCATATGCATGAGAAGACCCGCGCGACTGCCTCCAGCTGGAGGTATAACTTTAATTTTGGGCTCTGTGAATGTAACGCTACGTTCCAGAGAGACCGTGCTCGTAGGCAGAATTGCAGGCGGATCGGAGGTCTCGGGCTCAGATTGCGTTTGAGAAAACTGGCGTTTGGTAGAGATGGATGATTCGTCGCCTGGGAGGAATAAGGCATGGTTTTTGGCGTGGGGTTTTTAGGGGTTAAGTATCAGCCTCAGTAAGAGCTTTTGGAATTTGGGATAGAAATTAATTGCTCGAGATCTATTTTATCGGGAATAACGTCTTTGTAATTGATTTTTTTATGATTTCAGTAAAATTTACGAATTCATTTAAATATTTCTGCACAATTATTACACTTGGTAAATATATCGACGGATTTCTTGGAATTAATGCATGAGAAATTCGAGTAGACAAATATTTTTTTGAAGCTTTTACTAAAACTTTTGCTTCCATGTTGGTTGATTATTTTCAATTTCACAGGTATCCAGTTTTGCCATTCCGAAATCATTATAACTTATTTCATCGAAAGAATAGTATTCTCTCAATCTGAATGATGTAAGGACAGACGAACAATGCTTCATAGCATAGCATTTCTGCGTTAAAAATATGTAATGTCCTAGAGTACGAATAGGTAATTAATTTCCAGTTCCAAATTCCAAAAACCTTCAAGCTATGCTAGATTGAAAGCATCTTTCAAATTGATGGCCCAAAAATTTCTTTTTTTGATTATTTGCTACTATATATGTAGAATTTTTTGAGAATACAATTTGAGAGAAGGTCCCAAGATATGATTATTACATTTTTTTACTTTATCGAAGTTCCTGCAGCTAAGAAAGCGAAAGCTGTTTATTTTGAGAAATGGCATTTTTGTAAGCACCTCAAGCAGAACAAATGAAACATGGAAGAAGAGAAAGCTGAGTCGATAAAAACAAAGATACAGACGTTGAGTAATATGCCTTGTTATAAGAAGAAGTGCTTCAATAACGAAGCGTAGATTAATCTCTTCAGTTCAAGAAACTTTAGTAAATCAGTGTTTTTGTTTGTTGTGAAACATCAGGATAATTTCCATGTCTCACAATTTCCCTTAGTTTTTGAATTTCACAGTCGCCTTGTGTCTTAAGTGGAATAATGACTGAGGGGAAGTGTGAGATATATAAATCGGGAGTTTTGAGTAATTTTTGTTAATAGACTTATGTTAGTTCGTAATATTCTATTCTTAACCTATTTTGAAGAAATCTCACCATCGAATTTCTGTCTCACAATGCCTCCCCGTCAAAATTCTGTATTCGAGCTAGATATAGTTTGATAAAACAAGTGGGGGAAATTAAGTGTGACAGGGGTAATTATAAGGCATAGGATAGCTGAATTTGTATGTGAGACTTCTGTCGCCTTTCACAAAAACGACTTAAACGGTGAACCTGAAGGTAATGTAACAACAATAATTATAATATTCATCTTGCTCAACTCTATTGAAATCTCATACACTAAATACAACATATAATTTGAGAAAGAGTGTTAAATAGTAATTTTCAATAATCTGACCTCTCAGAATGACACTAATAAAGATAAACATGCTGATCCCGTTTAAAGGATCATCATCATGAAGTAGGTAAGGTTATCACATCAGTCAATACAAAACATATTTTGTTGTAGATTATCCGAAAAACATAATGGATTTCTATTCTAATGGTTTTGATGTGAGTGATCCATATATAATGAACATGCTTTGATAATCCATTCGATTGGAGAACAGTAAACACTAAAAAGAATAAAAAGTACATCTGATTATATACTCTCCATACCTAATTTCCTGAAAATGTGGCAGAAAGAGAGGCTTTTTGGTGTGAGAAAAGGTGCCCGCAGTTCACATGCTAGTAAATAGACAAACAGAATAAGCATATTAGAAAAACGAACTAAACAGCGCAAGTTATCAGTTGAAAATGTTCAAAAAGTCGTGTTAGGGTGAAAAAAAACGAAATTTCTTCTCCAGTTCTTATGCTCACTTCAATAATTTTGAATAAAAATGTATAATAATTTTTAAGTTTTACTATTGGGAAATATAGGACGAAATAATTCTTTGTAAAACAGTAGATAAAAATAAATGTTATTTTATAATATTACAAAATCAATACTGTTCAACAAGAATATAGCAATTCTAAATAAGACATCATAGCATTGTTTACAACTGAAGTTTTAAGATCAGATTTCTATGACCATAATTAAGTTCTAAGATATAATTATGAATTCTGTGGTTCCATCACTTGAACTTGGATATCTTAAGTAAACATAAATAACCCTTGGCCTTAACTTGATACATATAAGTTCCATAATTTACTCTTCCATTTTGAATATACATAATCTCAACTGTCAATTATGATCTTGCATAAATTTTATCATTCTAATGAAATATAACTTAACCCTATTTGTGAAGATGATCACAGTTAGTTATAGAAAAAAATGATGAGCATATTTTATAATAAACTACATCAGTTGATAATAATGAAGTAGTATGAAAAACTTCAAGCAAATTCAAAGTTATTGAAGTGACATAAAAATATTTAGTAATTATTATTGAGCATTTCTGATTGGTTATTAGCTTTAGAGCAAATATTCGAACATAACGAACTAATTATTTTCTCAAAAAAAATGAATCAACTTCAAAAATTTAAAATCAAACAAAAAGGAATTACTTACTCGGACCACTTTCTGATCCTCTTCTTGTATTACCAGCTGAGTCTCTTCTTTTCTGCGCTGCTCTGTTTTTCAGAATATCGATGCTTAACCCCGCAATGTCGTCAGCTGAGATATCCGAGTTTTTATCACTCTCCACGGATGTTTTAGATTCGGTGCTCTTAGTCCTTTGACGAACCAAGGTAAGATTTTGTCTACTCCCTTGAAAAAAATTGACATAATCAAAAGTGGAAATGAAAAGAAAGTGACTTGCTGAGAACTTTATAATATGTTGAAAAATAATATGAGATAATTTTGGTACAATTATTGATACAGTTGTACCAATCCTATAACTATTGAAAATAATTGGTTGGTCGGTAGCCGGTCGGTTCAACGTGGGTGCTTTGTTCACTTACTCAAACGACCGCTCTGTTAGTCGGTGGTTCAATCACACGTTAAAAGGTAAGATCTCGTTAGTCTTTACCTCGCACAAGTTTCGACTTCTGACGGTTGTCGTTCGTAGGGGTGCGACTACTGATTAACGGAAAAACATATTTTAAACACATACTTTAAACAGTTTACTAAGTTAAACTAATTCAATTGAATTCCTAGGATTATATATTAAAGAAAAATTATAGTGGACTTGTCGCAGTTAATAATTTTATCTCTCAAAAAAGCCAAGAAATTGTAGGCTAAAAGCTGCCTCGTCTGTAATTTCGATCTCATAGGTTCATTTTTTTCATGCGATCATGAATATGTTACATTGATTGGATTACCATTTCAGCACAACATTTTCCTTACTAAGAACTTTTACCTTGAACTATTGAAGCAAGGGGATATTCATATTTCAAAAATATTTTCTAATGCTATGGTAGGAATAACGTGTTAGGAATCACACGTTAAAAGGCAAGACCTCGTTAGTCCTTAGCTCGCAAACTTCTGAGAGTTGTCGTTCGTATGGGGGCGACAGCTGATTAACAGAAAAACAGATTTTAAACAGATTTTTTTAATCCCTGTTTATAGGATTTACTATTGACAATATGTCAAGGTCAATAGTCAAGGACCAAGAATCATAAGTTTAAGGAATGCATCTTTTAAGTCATTACATATTTGCAAGTGTTTGGGATCGACTAATTGAGGTTAAACGACTTGTGTATCTGATTCTCAAATATAACTTCTTCTTTTTCAATTATTTGAGTTTGAACTTCAATGATCGCATTAGCACAGTCAATTACTGTTCTGAATGTAAACATAGTCTATTGGTATTGCTACCGATAAAGACATTAGTTAATAACTGAATTTCAGAACTGATATTTGAACAAAACCTGAAGAAAAAACTAGCTTCAAGCTGCTGTCATTAGAGCCATCACCAACGAACTGGGAACGATTGATAGAAAAATACTCTTTTTGGAAAATGAAACTTCATTTGAGATATGGTGTCGCTTTCTGGGGATTTTGTAACAAATAGTTGCTAGTCAGAATTCATTTTCCAAAAAACGGTAAAATACATCTGCAAAGCAAATATTGCAAACCCCTGGAAATTTATATTAAACTATTGACTGTACACCGTAATTCCGTTTTGGAAACAGTAAGACATATTAAAAAGAAGAGGGCTCTAAAAATGTCTACTCTATATGTCACATTCACGACATACCTCTCCACACTCCAACAACGTTAACGAAATATTCTGTGTTTTTTGAGTGGGGAATAANAACGTCACATTCACGACATACCTCTCCACACTCCATCAACGTTAACGAAACATTCTGTGTTTTTTGAGTCGGGAATAAAAAGTATATTGAACTTCCAGACATTTCATAACCATGTAAAAGAACTTCGACTCTCAAAGGCCTATCATAGCCTGGCAGAATATTTGGAAGACAACTTTTGAGACCAGCTTCTGATTCAGGTTTTAATTTTTCCACTTTCTAAATTTTCATATTTCGACTACTGAATGTTTATTCTTAACATATTGTCAACTTTTATTTTGTGTGGATTTACTTTTTCATATTATATTGACATTAGTGATTTGTATTTTAAATTTAGGTGTATATCGTGTTTTGTGTAATAGTATGGTACACTTAGACAATAAAGTATAATGATTTATTGATTGCCCAGTGTATATAGACTAGTTATAATATCTCTCAACTTTTTTCGTAATTTCTTTATTTGTCGGTGTCTACTAGTAAGAAAACCTGTGTTTTGACGAAGAACCCTTCCACTTACCTGCTACCGATAAATTATCCAACTGTTCCCTATCAGTCGGCTCGTCTTCATCGGCAAACCGATACTCGATATGCTGTCCATTATCAAAAATGTAAGCATCTGGCCTTACTTCTGTTAATGACCTCACTATCGTCTTTTTCCTTTTTGGATGTATGACCATTTGACCTATCACGGTACCATCTTCGGATAGCTCGCTTTGTTCGCTAATAGTGCGCGCGCGCATACCTTCATGGATGGTAGGGGGCATGAACACTTCGACTTGTTGTTTTTGTTGAAGGATCATGTGCCGAAGGGCTCCGACTTCGGTTATGAGATCTTGGAGTTGTTCGGTGTATCTGCGTGACCGTACGTCGACGTTTTGAAGGACAGTGGTCTGGAGATTCTCTTTAGTGTGAATGTCTTCAACTTTCTGTAAAGTAAAACTAGTATCAGGGCGACACAAAAGTGGGTAAAACAAGTCCAATGGAAAAAGTTTGTGCAAAAATCAAACTATCTCTTCAACCTGTTTTTGATAGGCAGAAATTGGCTGTTTGTTCCTATTCACAAAAGTAATACTTAATTTTGCGAATATATTCAAAATTCTTTGGATCATGTTTCAGAAATAATATTGTTGTTTTCAATTTTGAAGACAAAATTTTATTTGGTAAAGATTAAATAAACACTATTACGAGTTTGGTCAATTATTTAAAGACCAGAGATCTCGTTCCCGCGTTCATACTAAATTGAATACCACACTCAAAGTGCATATAGACAATATATTGTCCCACTGCTGGCTGTTGTGTATGAATAAGCGCTACTGGGCGCAGTAGTTTGAATAACCTAACGTCTCAAGTTTCTCAAACAGGTGGTCAACACATGAAAAATCATTGGCGAATGAACTAGAAATTTGGTACTTACTGTAAATGTGAGCCCATCGAGATGAATGAGATTAGTTCAGAGTGGTTGAAAACAAGTGACAAGATTAGCAGCGAGAGGTAATAAGTGAAATAAAATTGTAATTGGAGTGAAGTGTTTTTACTTTCATGTTGAATAATTAAAGTTGTTGAAGTTGATTAAGCACAGATTTAACAATATCTAGAGTTAGATCAAGCCATGATCTCAATACAGAAATAATTAATAATACCTGAGTCAAATGTTCAATCCTCTCCGTGGTTATCTTGATTCGTTCCTCTGTCGACTGCTGTAGTTTGTTCTCCTGCTCCGCGAAATAGCCCTCGACGCAGTCTTCCTCGAAGTCGTATAGCCTCTCCATCTCGTCCTTATCCAAGAACAGCTTCAATCCGTTGTCGTAGCTCTCCTCGATACCCTCCATCTTCCGGCGACAATACTTAAACAGCAAGAAGAGGTGGCAAAACAGGATGAACGGAGGCGGTAACAGCGGTTTCTGCTCGTACTCCATTACGCCGGTGAAGCGTTGGAACATCCACACCTGGTGAGCGACCGCGTTCACCTCGTTAAAGATGTTGTTGAAGACGGCGATCAGTAAGTTGATTAGCAGTATGTTGGCGACCAAGAGGTATATAGACATGATGACCGGTGTGACCCACCTTCCCGTTTGACAAGGTTCTTCCAATGAATGCCCGCATTCCGGGTCAATCTTGTCCGCATATACTTCACCGTACAACATGAAGTATGGTTCTAGGAAAACCTAAAAAGGTATATAGATAGAGAAAGCGATTTCCGAAAATTATGAAATTTTTTTCGTTTTCTGAAAGGTTTGGTGATTAGATATTGATTTCAGTTAGAAATTTGTGAGTACCTTGTTAGATATACATAAGGCACGTTAAGAGTTAGGAATTGGTCTAATATATCTCCTGAAGACGCCAACATGATTGGCGAAATGCGCGTCGAGAAGAGTGTTGCATTTTTGGATTCACTATTTTCTTGTTTTTTCAATTATTTTTAATGTTTCTGGTTGATTGTTATATATTTTAACGCCTAAATCGAATATTGATTTCTTCCCAAATTTTGAGCAATGTGATTTAACTAGTAGTTATTTGGTTTGTCTTATTTTGTCTAATTATGAGTTTCACCTACCTCTTTGACAATTCTCCAACTAGGTTCGTTATCTGGATGGTTAATTGCTTGCCTCGATACACCGAAGCTCATTAAAACGATCAACAACAGGACGACGAAGTATATCATATTCTTGACCATTTTCCCCATCATTGTTACCAACGGACCTTAAAAAATTTGAACATTCATTTCATGGAAATCACAGATTTCCTAATTTCAAAAAATTCTGGGAGCTTCTGAATTTCCTTCAAAAAATACAACAATCACAATCTATATTTATTAAACAGTTTACACAAACAATCTATTTTTTTCACTATACAATAGCTTTTTGAGACACGTTCAATACTAACCTAAAATACCCAAATGAAATAAAATAATTGAAGAATTATTTCGTCAACAGTAAAAGTCTATTTAATAAAAAACAAAGGAGTTTCATCTATATTGTCGGTATTGTGTGTTGCTGATCCATTATGTCTTTTGAGTGGTAGATATGCCCGGGATAGAATGCCTTTTTAAAAACTTATTTGAGCTTATTTCATCCATAATTGTTTAGCTCCATGATCATCTTCTATGATGCCTGTTTTATTAATCTGCGGTATGACAATTTGTAAATAACTGGAATTTTGGGAGTAGTATGGTATGTTGTAGAATGTTACAGTGCTTGTGTTGGAAGCAAATTTCAAATTATTTATATTGCTACCACCTTCATTGTTGTTCCTTATGGAATAACGAGTAATATTATCAACTCCATCCAAATATACCCTTATCCATTATGATCCACTGGTTGAATTCAAAAGTAAGTGATTGTTTTCTACATTCAAGATTGATTTTCTTTTATTGTACGATGTGTATTTGTGAGTCCAAAGAGCAATTAAAGTTATTTTACTGTTTGGAAAAAATAAAAAACTTGCGTTCAAAAAGTTGTTTCACCAAAATGATATTAGATATTATTAAATAATCAAGTGATTGTAAATTTTTCAAATTGATGTTCTCAGGATAAGTTTCATAATCATAACAGTTGTGTGTAAAAGAGAGTTCTGCATTTCCCAATTTTCATTCAAGTAATGATATTAGTAAAGGTAAAATTAGTTTTGAATTTCCTATAAATTGAAACTGGTGTTTTTGTGATTTCCTCGATTGTTATCCTTACCTAGATATTTGTTGACACTCAAAATACTCAAGATGCGCAAGTACCAGTAAATACAGTTGACGCAGTATATTACTCTTCCGACATGGAAAGTTTCCCTCTGCAGCCTTAATGACAAGCCAAAGAGGAATATAAAAACAGCTCCCATGTCACATGGATTCCACATATTCCACGACCATACCGCAATTTTTTGGGATAAACCAACAGGTTCAGAAGAGAATAGTTCTCTTAATTTCTCACAGCCTAGCGATACTATGAAAGCGATGGATACGAGTTCTTGCCAAGATGGTGTATGATGCATTCTTACCAGTACCGTGTAGCTGTATAGCACTAAAAATATTATGTAGGCGATCTGAAAACGGAAAATCTAAGTATTTTTATATTGTGTGTGAATGGACGAGGATTAATTAGGAAAACTGGAGTAATAAATCGAAGTTATTTTTTTCCCGTTTTTCTTTTTTACCAGTAGACAGTTTTCAAGTTTTTAGAAAAAGTAAATATATTTGATCTTTTGTCCATCCAAAGAAAATATTGTCTGATATTGATATTTTCTATTAACAGTAATCACTCACATTTTTCCCAGATCACACTAACTTTGCTAAAGCTGCTAGTATGGCAGCTAGCCGCCTATGGATTTGCAAATGCGTTTATCAACCGTATTCCTAAAACTCACAAGTTGGTATTAAGCCAAATCGACGTGAACAGTTCGATAAATGATTGTCAGAGTTTCATTGTTTTATCGAAGTGTTAGACAGACGCACATAAAACGCACGTATTAATTCAAAAGAAGTCACTGTTGTGATGTAAACCGATGATGAATTTAGTTTTCTTTTTTGTATCCACGAAGAATGTAGTTGATTTTGACACAGTGTATGTCGTTTAACGTTCCTAAAATATACTATATTTGCTCGACTCCAAATCCATTCTCAGGTCTGACTATTTTGTGCAAATTGAAACAAGTTACAGGCACATAGTTGTAAAACTGACAATACACTGAGAGTCTTTGAAGAAGTTCCTAAGGTTGATTTTTTGAGACTACTTCAGAAAACTGGAAGTTTAAAGATTTCTAGTCGCCAAACTAGGACTTCAGTTTGATTGGGTGGACTGGAAAATTCAATACAAAATCAGCTTTTGCTCAGTAAAATTAGGTATTTCCCTCAAAATCTTATAGTTCCTTAGTACCCAAATAAGAAGGTCTTCAAAATGTGTAACTCTTAGAAAGATATGCAGAACAAACTACACAGTATCTACAAGTAGTAAACTGCAAGAGAAACTATTCAATCAGTTTTTGGAATCAGAGAAAAGGATTCAACTGAAACCTTCATCAAACATATAGCAAAACTGGAAAAGCTGTGGATTGAACTAGACATGGAAAAAAGATAAGACAAGTATTTAACACCTTACCATCCGAGTCATTGGAATTCACGAAAGCATGGAAACGATTAGACTTTTTCGTGAAAGTATCTGTACTGCCGAGTTACGTCCGCAAGAACGAAATGGCAGCAACTCACATATTTGTTATGTTTGTTGTATTTGTGGCAAGAAACGTTTTGAAGAAACCAGTTTCAGCCGAAACACCAAAGAGTAATAAGCCAGAAACAAAAACGAGAAACTTCACTTGTGTTAGTCTAGTAGTAGAATGAAAAATTTCAAGAAAGATTGCATAAAAATTCAGATCAAAGTATAATACTACAAATGGATATTCTGAGGAATCCGCATTCATTGCCATTGAACACTTCCTCTTTGTGTTGAGTTCATGAATTGATGATTCTGATGCCACACATCATATGACAAAACAAAAAAAGTTGGTTCACCTCTTATGAAAACTTAAATGCCACAATATGTCATATTTGGTAACGGTGAACATATGAAAACATATGAACGCATATTTGTATTACAAACAAAATCGTTGTTAAAGTTTCAATTTGAAAAAAATGAGACAAAGAAACCAGGAGAAATGTTGATGTTTGTGGCCCAACGGCAATTCTGTTGGTAATAACAGTTTGTCTGTCTCAAAGACAACTATAGCAGGTTTAGAAGGGTATACTTTCTTTAAGCAAAATCAGATGTTGGTAACAAGTTGGAAATGTTTTTTGTGGAAGTTATAGTTAAGGGGCATCTTGCGAAGGAAATACTATCTGATAGTAGCAAAAAGCCTTACGACCAACGGAATAACTTTTCTGACCTACATAAGCAGTGCGACGGACTGGATCGGAAGGATCTTTGAAAACATGTAGTTAGGGCCCATAAAAACGATAGAAAATAGTGTCAGGTCAGTTTGAGACTTCTATGATCTATTGAGGACTCCAGGATCCATTGAGGACTCTAGNAGTAAGTATGCTTTGAGAGTGTCAATTTACATTTAGTTGAAGTTTTGAAATGCTAAATACTCTTTCTTTGCATTGATTCAACTGCATCAACGAGCTATATATTTATATTTTTCGAAGTTTCATGGGTCTTATCCTCGTCCATTCCAATGTGTTTAATAAACTGACTAAAAAGATCTATAGTACTAGCCTATTGCTACAAAATAGATCCATAGATACTTACGGAATTGGCCCAAAATTTCGTAATAGGAGCAGTATAAAATTCGTACAATTTCTTTTTCATTTTCAGTTCCCTGCCCTTACTGTCTTGTATATGAAATTTCAACTCGTCCAAATCGGACAGAATTTTGCCATTCTCTTGCACAATGGTATCTCGTGTTATAAAATTTTCCGTGAGGAGAGCCTGAAAAAAAAATCATTACAATACACATGAAAATTGTTCAATTATGAAGACAGAATATAATGATGAAAAATGTACAGGAATTATGGAGACAGGAGACAGATCAAGCCAGGAAGAGCAATTTTTTGAGTGTATTTACAAACAACAGACTGTCAGACATCATTATATAATTAATTTGAATAGTATTTCATAACTCGAAAACCAACAGTGAATAAGGAAGTAGAAAAAATAAAAAGTGCTTTAGAATTTGAGGTCGAATATTAGCAACTCATTTTCACAAAAAATTAATTTCATAATAATATTCTTATTATTACTCAATAAGACATGGCGTGGTTCTCATTGAGATACTAATTGTGGGATCAGATAAAAAAAACAACCTATATATATGAGGCCAATAGCCAGACACATGTGCACCTTTATTTGTTTTCATAGCATTTTTATTGTATTGAATGATAATGCTATATTTTTTATTTTTCGCTCCTATATGAAACATTCAGAATAAACGGTTTTTTTTTATTCATTATTTATTCATTTGAAATCCTATCTTCAATAAAAACCTTGACGGCAAATTGATAACTATAATGAAATTTCCGTAACTGTAGGAAATGAAGGTTTCGTATCCCTTAGTTTTATTATGGACATGCGAATGTTGTATATTTTTAAAAGTATCTCGTGAACGGTTGATTTTTGATATAATAATAATAGAATTTATTCATCAATCGAAGGTTATACAAGGTATTATACATACACATACATAACACTTATCAGACTAGTCAAGAAAGAAAAGAAGGTAATCTACAAATAAGTTGTTAATCGCAAACAAACCAGAAAAATTGTACATACAATAGTCAGTCTTACAATTATGAGATATCACGAATTATAAAAGTCTTCAACATTATAAAATACTTTTTCAAGAAGAAAGTTTTTCAATTTATTTTTGAATAGAATGTCATTCAGATTCACATCTATCAAATCTCTTATTTTATTGAAACACTTGATACCAATATGCTTTGGTGAATTTTCACAGACTGATAACCTTGAATAGGGTTGTCGAAGTTTTTCTTTATTCCTAGTATTATACATATGAGTGTCTTCACTTCTCATTAGTTCTTTTTGGTTACGTTTTATATACATAATCAGTTCAAGAATATATAAACATGGAAGGGTTAGTATTTGGAGATTCTTGAATAAAGGTTTACATGTTGTGGTTGGATGAGCATGACAAATCGTTCTTATTATCCTTTTTTGAGATACAAATGCCCTTTCAAAGTGACAAGACGACCCCCAGAAGATCACGCCATATTGTAGAGTAGACTGTACCATCCCAAAATAACATAGTCTCAAGATGTCTGCTGATACAGTATCTCGCAGATTTTTTATTATATAGCATGTAGTGCTTAGTTTCGAACATACAGTATTTATGTGTGCTTCCCATGTTAGCTTACTATTCAAAGTAACACCTAAGAACTTGATGGTTTCCATGGATTGTATAGATTTACCAGATAAGGTTAAGTATAGGTCATAATTTGGATTTATGTTTTTTGGCAAGAACCGGACATAATTGGTTTTTTTTTATCCACGCTGAGGCCATTCTCAAGGCTATACCTTTCTATTTCATTAGATGCCTTGTTACTTAAATTTGTTAATTGATCAATGTTATTGTGTGACATCAGAATATTAGAGTCATCGGCATATAATATCATTTGATTTGCGAATTTACAGGTGTCTTCAATGTCACTCAGAAAAGCTACAAACAATAGTGATCCCAGGATTGAACCCTGTGGGACCCCTGAATTTATTACTCTTGAATCTGACTTCACACCATTCACAACTGTCGTGTGGGTGATGTTTGTTAAGTATGATGTTACCCATTGAAGCGGAACACCCCTGACTTCTAACCCTTCCAATTTCATGATTAACAAATGACGATCAATGGTATCGAAAGCCCGACTGAAGTCATAGAACAGTCCTAGAACATTATTTATATCATTCATTGGAAATGTTTCATGAAAATGGGTCAGAATCAACTAAGAATTTGAAAACTATCCAAAAATACAGAGTGTTCCATTTGAAAAAACTGAGTTTTGGCCAATTTTTATATCTTCAGAATTAGTCATCGATTCCGAACACCTTGTATAATATTTTGGAAATGTTATCAATCTTTTGAATTTTATGGGAGAATCACTTGAGATCAAAATACCTAATTTTTATGAGTAAACAAAAGAATATTTTGAGAACGGTTCATTTTTGTTAAAGGGTGTATTACATAAACTTACATTAGAAATATGACAGGTTTTCAAAAATGTTAAGATATACAGGGTGTTATATTTAAATTGAGGAAGTTGGTACCAACTTTCGGTATAACCGGAACTGTTGGAAAAACGCCATTATTTTAAATCGATAAAGCATATTTTTAAAAAACTGTGTTTGCCAATATTCATAATATGAATCCTATTATTTCTCAGAATACAGATAACCGATCGTCATCGCGCTGTACCCTGTATATAGTCAACGTATATACGTATATAAGACCTCGTTAATCCTTAGCTCGCACAAGTTTCGACTTTTGAGGGTTGTCGTTTGTAGGGGGCGACAGCTGGTTAACGGAAAAACAGATTTTAAACATAAAACAGATATATGTGATGTGACATAATGACCCATTATTCCCTGCCTCTTAATAGAATATTCCGCGGTACTTCATTTCTTTCAAGCAAGAAAGTTGTTCGATTATTCGCCATGATCAGGGTCTATCTAAGAGAGTACAATTATATTATTTTACAATCGACTTCCAATTTCAGCTTTGGAATTCTTTGATTCTGAATTACGTACTTCATTCCGACAAAATATTCTCTTCAATTAACGGTACCTTTTGAAAATAATTACGAAGTTGGGACAATAGCTATATCGATGACATGTAACATATTTCTTTAAACTAATTACACAGGAAACTGTATGTAAATGAATCTGCATTATTGTACTGTTGAACGCAGTGACGTTTCCTAATAATAATTCTCGTTGGTTGTTTTTCCAACAATCGAATATTGTAAATTTATGAGCAATGCAATCTGACAGTCTGTTAGTGATGAAAACAAAAAGCACTGCTTCTGAAAGGTGACATAGAGAATGTACAGATATAACAACATTTAAACAAACATCTTGTCAACGTTTTGCTACCTTCACACCCTGTGGCTTTGGCGCTTTGCTCCGAATACTCAAACTTCTAGTTTGCTTCTAAAAGAACAACAAATCAGCTTTAGTATTGTTCGGATTAATTTCCGAGGACTTACAGAGAATAATATAAAGAAATAGCTAGAAAATAAAAGAAAAAAAAGCGAGCATACTTTCAAGCAGCAGTTATTGGAAATGGCTAGTAAATGATCACTATGGTGATGAAGCTGTGAGTTATGTTCAACTGAGGAGAGAAGTGTCTCTGTGAATAGTGAAATTAAAAATAAATCCAGAACATTAGTTCTCAACAAAGCATACAGTGTTGCTACAGTTATTGACGAGAAAATCCAACGTTTTATTTACACAAGAACGTCTTCAACCAAATGAATGTTGGAAGTTTGAAACTTTTATGACCAATGCTTGGAAATACCATACCTTTATTATAACACGATTCATTTAATTGGTTAGCAAACAGGTGGTATATTTAAATTCTTGTTTCTTTCAATTATATTTTTCTGGAAAATCGAAAACCATTCGCAGTGCCATTCGCAGTGGTCTATAGAGCGAAACGAGCACATTAGTCGCAATTGAAAAAATTACCTATTGCTAGGTCCAGTGTGCCGGTATGTTATTTGTGAGGAAATGTTAAAAGTGCATTCACTAAGAGTGTTTTAATTTACAGTGATTGAAAAGTGGAAGACGTTTGTGCTGTAGAAAAAAGTTCCGCAACCTCTTTTCAAAAGAAATATTTAAAATAATCGATGAAAAACGTGCGAACAGAACGTGTCAATAGTGCAAAACGTGGAAAGTTCCATCAACGTATCTTACTTTCGGATAAAACTCTATGTAATGTTTAAGAACCACCTTATGCTAGAAAAAACCCAGAAATGAAATCGACTACTTGTTAGCGTTAGTATCAACTTGCCAGAGTCTTGTTCGCCTTGACGTGATAGGCACTTACTTCGCCGTCTTGATTTTTTTCGGAATCGGATTTGTCGTCGTCTTCGTTTTCGAGTTCCATGTGTTCTTCTGTAGTTTGCGGCATCAACTGAAGCTCCTCTTTGGATTTGAATTCTAATTTTAAAATGTACGGCATGAAAATAAGTCCTAAAATAACCTGAAAAAATAATGCTTGTTACAGAAAAATTCCAACATCTTTGTAGTCGTGATTTATGTGGCACTGTACATAATTCAGATGAGACTTATATTTCACTGTTTATCTTTCAAGAAGAGGTAAATAGAATCAAATCCAATTATTTTGATTTTTGAAAAGGTTGAGTGGTGAAGTGTCTGATTCCAAAAAAAATTGAGATATCCTCCAAAACAACTTTTTAGTGCTAGAGACATAATGTGTGTGCAGAAATGATGAGAAAACATTTTTTTTAACAAAATGTTGCATGGAGATTAGAAACCGACTACATGAGAGGTAAAATTCAGCTTATTTTCTGAATGTACTAAAATGGTATGATTAACTAACTAATCTATAATAGTATTCAGGAAATTTTTTAAGAAAACCATCAACTGGAGTATAATCAGAGGATTCAATGTCTTGGAACTTCTAATATACTTTTCAAGCTTTTTTCTACTGATTCATTTCATTTCTCTACCTTAATATTTGTGTTTTTTCTTGTGCGCAGTCCTCCCATCCACAAATCAGCGAGAATGATTTGTGAACACGGATGTGCCAATAGCGCTCTGTGATTGGCTGTCACAGCTAGACTTAGGCAAGTCTGCCCTGACCAGTTCTGCAATTCGCAAGTAAGGAGTTGTTGCGTTTGATCATCGTCTTGTCTATAACAATAATCCAGTACTTCCAGAGCTACAAAAGATTTATAACATTAAATTTGGGTGAATTCACAATTTTATATACTGACCGATGTTTTCGAATTCTTTTCCGTATCCACGCAATTCTTCGTAAACTTCAGTTTCCATATCATCTTCAGCTGCTTCATGGGCCATGGCTTTATATAGTTTACATGCAACTAAGGCCTTCGCTAGAGCTTCTTCGCCATGTTGCCACATCAACAACGCCATTTTGTGTCTTTTCATTAAAACGGCCCAGATCTATGACAATAGCGACAACTGAGATGAAAAATATGGCAAAACAAATTTGAAATACCACTAATAACATAAAGGATGCAGTTGTAAATAACCACTTGTAGGACTACTAGTTTTGAATTTTGTCAGTGTGTGTCATTAATACTTATTGTATTGACAATATTATAAATACATCTAGCAACTAAAAAAACATGAATTCTTTAATCTCAACTGAATCATAGAGGGTGCTGATCCCAACTTTGTTCTACTAAGATTGAAGAATTCAATAAAGTGTTTGGATGTAATGGAAGCATTTTCATCAATAAATTAATGTATTTAATTTCCAATTGAAATAAAAACGGAAAACAACTTCATAGTTCCGAATGTTTGACTTGCCTTCAAAAAATCAATCAGAATCTGATCTTTATAAATTATACCCACCGCTGTCAAATTTATAAGCGATTGAATTGGTCTTGAAAAAAGTGTGAAAGAATCAACAGTTTTTATTCGTAGCAGATACAGTAGTTATCATTGGTTTTTGCTTCGAATTAAAGTTTTCCTCCGGGTGTTCTGGATAATGATGGATGCACGGATTAATTAATTTCCATAACATGCACACCTGGACAATTTCCAACTTCGAGCTAGCATGAAAATAAACAGAGAAGATTACCTCTGTTTTGCCAAATCAATATAGTAAACAACACGTGCGAAGAGTAAAATTGTTTTTTCAAAATGGGTGTTCTGTTCGGGCAACGTAGCGCACGCTTCGCCCATTTTACGGTTATCGAGAGGACTATTCACAATGTGGTGGATAAATTTGTGTCCACTGGTTCAGTAAACGATCGACCAACACTCGTACGTCGACGAAACATAAGATCTGTCGAAAACATCGCCGCTGTTTATGTGTGCAGGAGAATCCGAAATAATCGATTTCGCATCGCTAACAAGAACTTGGCCATTGGTCAAATTCAGCCAGATTTATGCGCCAGAGTCATGGAAAATTAGACATTTCGGATGTGGCGGGCATCTGAACGATTTCATATTCCACACATGATGGCATGTGTGGATATTCCACACACACTTTGTTTTATTTAAATTAAAAGATATGAAGCGCTTGATGAAAAACCCTATACTGTGCACTCATGTTATCATACTATGTCAAAACTTACAAGTAGTTCGTTGAAAGGGTAATCGAACAAACAAGGGCTAGCACCACCTGGTATACATCCTGGAATTAGGCCCAACGCTCCCAAATTTCTCCCAGAAGTGTTTGCCATACTGTGACCTTTGTTCATAATTTTTGCATAGATGGGTCGAAATTTTCTTCTGGTGTATAGAGCTCTGGAAAATAATGAAATTTATTGTACGTTTGACACGCTGGGTTATAATAATGCAAGTTTCATTGGAACCTCTAACATTTTTGAGTATAACATGTAGTCCATGCTACTCGCTGATAACACGAATAAGTACCTACAGCTAAAATGTAAGATAGTCTCAGGTTTTGGAAACATTAATCATCATTAACAGGTGTTTCATACATGGATGTTGTGGACTATGGGTTTAACTTCGAACAAATTAAAAAAATGTAGTAAAAACTGAGTTCACAAGAAATCATCAGTTTTATGAAATTGATGTAGAATTTTATGGATATCAATTTTTGTTTAGAATGAATACATTACAGGTAATGTACCAGGGTGGTCCCAGAAGTACCCGGCCTAATCTAAAGATGGCGGTAGTTATATGAAAAATATCACGGTATTAGAAAGAACACAATGTTCAGGCAAGTTTGAAGACGCAAAGTTGTTGTTTTTGTTTTCGATGAATTTGTGAAACTGGAGAAAATTGGTCATTGTTATGTAGTACAATATTTACAACAGTAAAATATTAGGTATCAGAGTTCAAACGAGGTCGTACGAGCTGTCATCGAAGTGGTCGACCAAATGAGGTGACGACTGAATGTTCGTCGACTGAAAGTGCGCGAGCTAGCAGACTTAGTAGACATTTCAAAAAGTGCGGTACTTTGTATGCTCCCTGAAAATTTGGACACGACGTAGTAAGATGGGTGCCGCGTTTGCCCGCATTCGAGCAAAAGCAACAATTGAGTGTTTAGCGAAGTTTCACAACAACAAAGCGTCGTTTCATAACCATGGATGAAACATGGATCCATCACTTTACGCCCGAAACAAAAGAATAATCAAAACAGTGGACTCAACAGGGAGAACAGACTCCAAAGAAGGTGAAGGCCGTTTCATCTGCAGGCAAGTTCATGGCATCGGTTTTTTGGGATGAGCGTGGGATAATTTTCATTGACTATCTTAAAAAAGGTAAAACTATCAACGGCGAGTATTATGCGCACTTTTGAGTAAAGATCATGGTATCGGTTTTTTGGGATGAGCGTGGGATAATTTTCATTGACTATCTTAAAAAAGGTAAAACTATCAACAGCGAGTATTATGCGCACTTTTGAGTAAAGAAATCAAGCAAAAACGGCCGCATTTGGCTAAGAAAAATGTGTTGTTTCATCAAGACAATGCACCAGCTCACGAATCCATTATCTCAATGACCAACATTAACGAATTCAAGTTTGAATTGCTTCCACATGCACCCTAGTCGCCAGATTTAGCTCTCTCGGATTATTTTCTGTTCCTAAAGTTAGAAAAAATGGCTCAGTGGTCAAAGATTTTCCTACAATGAAGAAGTGATATCGGTATTTAATGGCTATTTTGAGAAGAAAGACAGATCTTATTATAAATATGGTATTGAACTTATTGAAAGTCGCCGCGAAAAGTATATAGAGCTGTAAGGAGGTTATGTTATTTTTTTAAAATTTTTGTATTTCCTTTGTTGGGCTGGGTACTTTTGGAATCACCTCGTATTTTCATTTATCGCACTATTAAGTTCATTAGAAATATCACAGTACAGTGAGCACCAACTATTTCTGTTAAATTTTGTATGTAATACATTATCACTATCAGAGTCCAACTCAACTTTACTTGAAATCAGCGTGAGCAGAGTTTCTGAATATATCAGAGTGAGAGCTTTATAATTCTAGAGTTTATGAACGATTTAGGAAAAGATCATCATATGAGTATGTTTATAAAGTCAAACTTGAAGAAAACGCACTCAATCGCATGGAAACCTGAAAACTCACCTGTAAGCTCCTCCCATTAACTTATTTATAACCAAACCGATATCGTGCAACGTATACACATATCCGGACGGTATATGGGGTCTAACATCTCTCAGTATGTATCCCAGAGTATTGCTAGGGCCTTGTTTGGAATTGTACAAATTTTCTAGCCTTGGTATCGTCAGGAACTTTCTCATGCTGACCCCGTTTTCTAGTAGGAGTTTGACGAAATCGCACCGATCGTGCTCCAGGGCCTTGATCATGGCATCTTCTAGCGCCCCAGCCGGCCATTCTTGACCGTAAACGAAAATTTCGGATCGGGCTATGTCTGCTCGATTCCATGTCAATGCTAGGCTGAGTTGTTCAGTGGGCGAGAGATGTTGAGACTTGAATAATGCTGTTAAAACTATTTGGTCCAATTCTTGGGGTTTTTGATCGTATTTATCGGCTATTCTAAAAACTGTTATCTGAAACAAAATATTATTTTTATCTGACATAACTGAAGCTATTAATACAAACGATTACTTATCATAGGTATTTTAATATTAATGGTTGTTAGAAAATCGTAATTAGTCTATATTTCCCGAGTGCAAAGGTGATCATCGCGCGCGTGCTACAAACATTTTGGCACCCTTTCAATTACTTAAATTAGCAATATTGTACAGCATAAGCCCTTTCCCTCATTGACTTTCATTCATCAACATTTTTGTCAGGTCTCAAAGTATTCATTTTGCTCTCCTGAAAGAGTTTCAGCCTTCGGGCAAAATCTACCAAGATTCCAAAATCCAAGGAATTTATATATCCGTCGAAAAATGTGAAAAAACAATTGTTAGGACACAATCTACAGTGTCTAATATGTCGTCTGAATCATCAAATGAAGAAATTTGGAATTTCAGAAGATTCTGTGTGCCGTCTGCGTTTGGAAGATGATACTCGTGCCATGGGCTGAATCTCCCCTTACGAAGACGCTTTCTATGGGCATGACAGAAAACTAAATCAATGAAAATCAAAGATGAACAAGGCTCTCCAGGGCAGTCCTGCAACGCTAAGCTTTGATATTGACCGCCGAACAAGATTCGTCTTTTGTAGTTCACTGCAACTTCCACTGCAGAGCAACTAGATGAAAGAAGAGCTTAAAGAAAAAGCATTCGCAATCCAACACCCAGCAACGCTGTTTTCATCTACCCTTCGAATGCTTTGTTGTACTTGAATGTCCTTAAAGGGACAAGCATGAGTAGGTAAAGGTGATAATATCTTCCCTTACGAAGACGACACCTGTAAGATCGACAGGAAACTCAATTCACGAACTTTCTTAGGCTCCTTGGGCCCAGCAATACTTTAGTGATTCAGCTTGGCTCAACTGATGGAAGCAATGGCGAATCAAAACACTGCTCTGTCTGGTGTTAGATCGCAAATGATTTGCCTACGGGCTCTGATTTCATCTAGGTTTTCAGTTTTCCGCATAGGTTCTCTCTTGCAATAACTCGAAAAATCATTCGTTATGAACAAATCGGCTTCAGTAAGAAGTGGAACGTATTTGGTGGAGTTTGAAATTACAGTGAGCCATAATAAACCTTCGAAGGTTGCTGTGCAGGATGGAACACCTATTCACCCAAGAACAAGAACTTTTCCCAGTCACCAGAAATGCAATGTTCGTTCACCAACCAAGTTGTCGTCTTCAGGAGATAAACACAATTCCATCCAAGACGCCAAATTGGCATCTTCAGGACATGAAAAAACTCCATCCCAAACGCCAACTTGATTGGTCATTGGAAAAATTGCTTGTTTTTGGATTATTTCTACGTCAGAGTTTTACTTTTTACTACCTATTCGCATTGAATCTATCCTATCAAATGGAATAGAAATGTTTCCATATGAAATTCTGATGATATTTGACTTTTGAATAAAAATGTAGACGTCCTTTTTACTCTCCACAATAACTTTAATGGGTATATAAGAGTNGTTTGTAATGAATTTATCTTTCGTTAAAGTTTACATTTTGTATAAAGTTTTTTATTTTCGTCACATCATAAAATTTTGCACCAACATTTTGTATCTTCTCCCGCAGTAGTAAGTAATCTTTCACACTGAAATTCATATGATTGAAAATTGGTATATTTTCTTCGTAGTTACGATACTTACCGAGGTGATGATATGGAATGATATGGTACTTCTGTGTGTTGCCCAATGAGGTCCTGGTTATTTTCTACGATACCCCAAGGAGCTATTCCTAAAGTATTGACTCTACCAGTTCTTTGAGATCTTTCTAGTAATAGCGCGTCTCCCACGTGCTTTGTTACACCTGAAAAATAAAAAGGATGCGTCAATATTTGATATTGGCTGCTGTTTGTAACCGGTACATACTTTCCAGATACATAATTCAGTGGTGAACTATTGAAAATGAATCTCGGAATTTGTCAATAACGTCATGTGTTGAAGTTTTTTTTGCGTGTAGATTGAATCATTTTCATTATGAATTATGTATTGGAAGATATGGTGCAAATGGTCCATGCTTTGGGGGAAAGTGACGGAAACTACCTCCTTGCATCTAGGATTTACAAAGAGAAGTTCCTTGAAAGAAGACAACCAGATGGAAGGGCATTTCAGGCTATAAAAACATCAATTGAAAGAACTGGTAGTGTCAATCGTGATAAATTCGAACGTGTCTGCCCTGTGTTAGAAATCCCATGATAAGCGACCACTCAATAGATGTATATATTCTTTTGGGAAAGAAAGTTTTTGGCTTTCTACTACTCCACCCAAATCTTTCGTGTAATTCAATGTTTATATGAAAGTAGCTGTTTCAGGAGGACTTTCTTTCAGTTTGTGTCTGAAAGTTACTTCTTTGCATTGGCATGTAGCCTCGAAGATTTTTTGTGGGTATGAATACTACGGAAATTTAGTAATCAAATCAAATCATAATATGCTTTATTACCCAAGATATGAACATCTTATTGGCAAAGTCTAGTAAAGTAAAACGTGCATATGGGACAATTACCAAATATAAACTATAAAATATTGCCTAGAGACTAGATCAGAGTATACAGACAGAACAATATTCAGCCCAGCTGAACAGATACAAATACCGACATTATTTAATGTATCATCACATTAACTAATGACTATTATATGCGAATTTTTGACACGCTGGGTTATAATAAAGCAAGTTTAATTGGAATCTCTAACATTTTTGAATATAACATGTAGTCCATGCTACTCGCTGATATTGCGAATAAGTACCTACAGCTAAAATGTAAGATACTCTCAGGTTTTGGAAACGTTAATCATCATAACAGGTGTTTCATACATGGATGTTGTGGACTATGGGTTTAACTTCAAACAAATTAAGAAAATGTAGTAAAAACTGAGTTCAAAAGAAATCATCTGGGCTGTGCTCATAAAATCATTCCAGTCGATGGAACAGAGTATGGTCACGTGACAAATAAAATATCGCCATCTTATGATCCCAGTTACTGTTTAAAACCATTTCGCAGGTAAATATTAAATAACAGGTGTTATCTCTCAGTTTTTTAAAAATGGTGTTAGCAATTTTATGAATATCAATTTTTGTTTAGAATGAATACATTACAGGTAATGTACCAGGGTGGTCCCAGAAGTACCTGGCCTAACCTAAAGATGGCAGTAGTTATATGAAAAATATCACGGTATTAGAAAGAATACAATGTTAAAGCAAGTTTGAAGACGCAACGTTGTTGTTTTTGTTTTCGGTGAGTTTATGAAAATGGAGAAAATTGGTTATCATTATGTAGTACAATATTTACAACAGTAAAATATTAGGTAGCAGAGTTTAAACGAGGTCGTACAAGCTGTCATCGAATTGGTCGACCAAATGAGGTGACGACTGAATTTTCGTCGACTGAAAGTGCGCCAGCTAGCAGAATTAGTAGACATTTCAAAAAGTGTGATACTTTGTATACTCTCTGAAATTTTAGACATGACGACGTAAGATAGGTGCCGCGTCTGCGCACACTCGAGCAAAAACAGTGAAGATGTTTCAATTGAGTATTTAGCAAAGTTTCACAGCAACAAAGCGTCGTTTTATAACCATGGATGAAACATGGATCCATCACTTTACGCCCGAGACAAAAGAATAATCAAAAGAGTGGACTCAACAGGGAGAACAGGCTCCAAAGAAGGTGAAGGCCGTTTCATCTGCAGGCAAGTTCATGGTATCGGTTTTTTGGGATGAGCGTGGGATAATTTTCATTGACTATCTTAAAAAAGGTAAAACTATCAACAGCGAGTATTATGCGCACTCTTTCCAAAGTTTGAGTAAAGAAATCAAGCAAAAACGGNTTCATCTACCCTTCGAATGCTTTGTTGTACTTGAATGTCCTTAAAGGGACAAGCATGAGTAGGTAAAGGTGATAATATCTTCCCTTACGAAGACGACACCTGTAAGATCGACAGGAGACTCAATTCACGAACTTTCTTAGGCTCCTTGGGCCCAGCAATGCTTTAGTGATTCAGCTTGGCTCAACTGATGGAAGCAATGGCGAATCAAAACACAGCTCTGTCTTGTGTTGGATTGCAAATAATCTAAGGCTCCTTGGGTCCAGCAATGCTTTAGTGATTCAACTTGGCACTACTGATGAGAGAAATGGCGAATCAAAACACAGCTTTGTCTGGTGTTGGATCGCAAATGATTTGCCTTCGGGCTCTGATTTCATCTAGGTTTTCAGTTTTTCGCAGAGGTTCTCTCTTGCAATAACCCGAAAGATCATTCGTTAAATGAACTAATCGGCTTCAGTAAGAAGTGGGACGTATTTGGTGGAGTTTGAAATTACAGTGAGCCATAATAAACCTTCGAAGGTTGCTGTGCAGGATTGAACACGTATTCACCCAAGAACAAGCACTTTTCCCAGTCACCAGAAATGCAATAATCTTTTCGATGCGCGTTCACCAACCAAGTTGTCATCTTCAGGAGATGAAGACAATTCCATCCAAGACGCCTAGTTGGCATCTTCAGGACATGAAAAAACTCCATCCCAACCGCCAACTTGATTGGTCATTGGAAAAAGTGCTTGTTTTTGGATTATTTCTACGTCAGAGTTTTACTTTTTACTACCTATTCACATTGAATCTATCCTATCAAATGGAATAGAAATGTTTCCATATGAAATTCTGATGATATTTGAATTTTGAATAAAAATGTAGACGTCCCTTTTACTCTCCACAATAACTTTAATGGGTATATAAGAGTTGTTGATTTCAACCGATGTTTTATTCATCATTTGAGGAAGCGCTTGATCAGGAAACCCAAACCGATCTCACAAGCGTTACCATCAATAGCTTTTATTCGAAAGTGAAGAATTTGGAATCGGATTTTTTTAGCAAGTTAATCAATTCTCTTATTATACGTTTATATTTTTGCAATTGTACTCAGAATTTTGATTGCTTTAGATTCTTTAGGAGTAATACATCATTAGAGTTGGATATTAATAGATGAATATGTATTTGATAAAATTGAGGAAAATTAGGAATATGGTGAAGTTTCAACAGTTTTCAAAGTAGATTTTATATTCAAAAAGCAAACAGACACAAATTGTCAAAAAATTTTTTGTTTTATACTTTTTGTTCAACATATTTTGATTCGATTGGATACGTTTCTTAACAAAACTTTTCAGCCATTTAGCGGATGGTATTATGTATTATGAGTGTGGCGAATTTTGAACTACATCGAAATGCAAATATGCATTTCAATTATTGGACTAGAAATACTGCCTATATTAGATATTCATTCAAACTTACTAAATGTTTATTCTCCACACACTGCATTAATTCAGCAAACAGGCCATCGGCTAATTCTACAGGCACTTCAAAGGCCCTTTGGATCGTTGCTATAATGTACTCTTTCATGGACTTGAGAACTGAACATTCATACCTGGAAAATGAAAACAAAATTATATATTTTTTACACCCGAGGCATACGCAAAAATAATACAGTTTGCTATTCTATTCATCTGTTCATATATATTCAGGGCATATGGACTGAAGTGTACTTAACCCAAGCGACTTATTTATGAAAATGTCGACTTTCCCTATAATTAATAGCAGGATTCCAGCTTCGGGGTTCAGTAGATAAAATTGTGAATAACGTGTTGAAATGATTTCCATTTTGAACACTGCGACATGAAAACACGGAAACGTGTTCGAATTTATGCATAAAATGATTTTTAAATTCTGTTTTGACCCGTTTGCAGGTAAAACCTTATCAAAGTCATCTTAAGGAACAATTTGTTCTGTCATGTTTCAACTCCCTACACTGTAGATTAATGGACTGACACCTATCAGAAAACAACTACTCTCCTGGCTAATACCACGAAGGGCGTTGGATTATATGCGACAGGTGTCAGTGCAGGATTCTTCACTGAAGTTATTCCTGCATATGCTGTTGGCGATACAACTGCCGCAATAGGTCTTCAATTATTGGAGCACACTTGCAGACCGGCTTCGGTCTGTTTGGTCACTCGTTAGTGCAAGGTAGTGTCTAACATAACATAAAGTCGATGATTTCCGATAATTGAAAATCGAATTCCTTCAGAGTATCATTCCTCGAACAAGCGGACAACAAACAACAGGTTTGTCATCGCCCAATCTGCCTGTGAACGAGGTAACCAACCGCATATCCGAAATTTGCCCAATTCCCCGTATAAGGAAAAAACTTCACATATAGTTAGTGGGTATACTTGAAGACTGGCTATAAATCAAATCTAAAGGAACAATTTGTTCTGGTTAGTCTCAACTCCCTATACTGTAGGTTAATGGACTGACACCTATCAGAAAACAACTACTCCCCTGGCTAATTCCACGAAGGGTGTTTGATTATATCCGACAGGTGTCAGTGCAGGATTCTTCACTGAAGTCCTTTATCAAAGTTTCAGAGTTTAGAGAATTTTTTAAAACGATCAACGGACATTTAGCGGTGGTTTAGATTCAAAACCGATCAAAATTTGGCCTGATATACGCAATGGAATTCAAGAAGGCGGAACTTTCATATATTTTCCATTGCGCCAAATTCACATCTATTGAACTGACATTTGGTAGGAATGTCTCTAAGTTCTCTCCAGTCGCAACAATTTTTTTGCGAGATATTGTGAATGTTTGCAACTAACGCGAGGGAAAAGTTATATAAGGTTGTTTCGAAAGTTTTTTCCGTTTTTTTGAGTCTACTTTAAACTGTAATATACCAGTGAATACTTATTCAGTTTAATCGAAATAACCGCAATTTGAATCAGTGCACTTCTGCCATTGTAACACAAGTAGATTAATTCCGTCTTCATAACAATTGAGTGCTCGGGATTTGATGAAGTCGACGTTTTTGCCTGGTCCTGCTTAGCGAAAGTTCTACAGCTGAGAAAATTATCAAAGTGTTGATTGACGAGGGGTTTGGGAGCATGGTGGGTGAGGAAGATGATTTGTGAAACGTGCGGACGAGCGTTGTCGTGGAGCAGGATCGTGCCAGTTTCCGCTGCTGCTGATGCAATTTTCGATGCAGTTCGTCGATTTCCTCACAATAGGACTCTACTGTGATGGTTTGGCACGTTTGCAGAAAGTTGCTGATCACTATACAGTAACCATGGTCTTTATTGGCGGGTTGTTGCCTTTGCGAAGTGCCTGGGTGGTTGTAGAGGATCGACTTTTCATCACACGTGACGATCCGACCAAAAAAAGAATTGTTTTGGTTGCGCAAAAGCAAAGGAGAACAAACCTCGAAACGTGACAATTTCTGTCGATCGTTCAAATTGTGGGGCAACCACTTCTCGAGCTCTCTGACCTTTTCAATACGTTTCAAACTATCAAAAACCGCATGGGAGCTGACGCCCAGTTCTTCCTCCAACCCCAGCACCGTTTGTGATGGGTCAGTCTCCACCAGAGTCCTTAAATCCTCGTTCTGTATTATTATAGGTCGATCACTTCGGGGCTCATCTTCGAGGCTAAAATCTCCGGAACAAATTTCGCAAACCAACGTCGAACAGTGCGTTTATTAACACTATAATTCCAAATTCCTTGTATAAAAGATCTGTAGAATATCCTTGGGGTTTTTCTAAAATCAACTTCAGGAAGTATAGTGTTTTTATATGCTTGAATGACAAAATTTTCTTAAGGTATCTGCATTTATACAGGATGTTCTGTAATTTTTTGATGACATACAGAATGTGATTTTTCCATTTCAAATTACTATCAATGTTTACACCTAAGTATTTGAATCATCCTGATAATAGTGAATTTTCTTCGTCGATATATGAATTTTATGATCTTTAAAACAGAACATCGATTTTTTAATTATTTTCTCTCAAAATGACGCACAAAAAGTATATTATGGAGCGTGTATTTTGCACATAATTTTGCGAATTTTCAAGATATCGTTTTTCCACCAATATTTCTTACAGCTAGCCAAAAAAAAACATTCATTTACGGGATTTTCCAAAATTATTTTTTACCTAGAGGTTTTTGGGTATATTTGTGCTATTGATTCAATATACTTCTCGAAAATAATTGATTCTATTACCGTTGATTTCAAGTACTCAATTATTTTGCGATTAAAGTTCAAACAAAAGTTTTTGAAAAAAAATATTTCGATATGTTACTAGGTATACTATAAACAATCTATTTTGGAATAGATAGTTAACAACGATAGATTCATTACAATTTTTCCTTATGACTACTAATTCTGACCACAATAACTAAGATAAACATATTTTCCTACAATGTTGAACTGTAATATAATAACTGAGGTAATGCCAAAGGGTAGAAACTTTTTTGAATTGGGTTATGTGTAAATAAACGTTACGAGTTATTTACATGAGACTTATCACTATTATAAAAAAAGTCTTACTTGCACATAAAAGCGATAATATCAGCTGCCCTTCCGGATCCATCACAAATTACAACAGGTACAGGAGGTTCATCGGTAACGTACTCCAAAACAGCGCGTATTGTGTTTGTACCGCCTTCTATCACCAGACATACTAATGGTATTGGACTTTGAGTAACTGAAATATTGTTTCGTTAATTACAGTCAAGGCGAATATAATCAATTTTATTTAATATATGGGAGCAGATCACTAGTCTTTACATGGGATGCATAATATGTTCATTCACAAGAGGAAAGAGGGAAACGTTTTAAATACTTTTTGATGAAACAATTGAGAAAGTTTTCGAGTTCTGAAAATTTAAAAAACCTAATGACTTATTCTGCAACTTATTCAAGTTGGACATGTAAAAAAAAGAATTGTTTTAGAAATATTCCTATAGAGTAATATCAGTTAAGTATACTGTTTTTCAAGATATATAAACGTTCCCCTTTTACCCTAACGGGGGCGCTATTTGAAAATCTTTTGGTAGTGCGCATGTAAGACCTAAGAAGCACCTATACCAAATTTTAGCTTCCTAGGACTTACCAATACGGAGAAACATTTATAAGTATAGATTTGAGCATTTATGAGCATTTTCAAAAGTAAAAAATTTGAGATGTTCCCAAAGTTCGAAGGAATTCAGGCCAATCAATTGCTTTATTTCTGGTAAAACATCTATCCAGAAATTTATAGTTTAGCAATTGTCGGACAGGAGGAAAATAATGAATTGGACAATCATCCTAGTGAACATGTTATATATTAAAACGAATCTGAAGTCGCCCCTGACCGATACGCCAGCCGAACAAACACATGACCTCACCGCGAAAGAATGCAGTATCATTTATAATATTCCAGCTGGTTTTGGATTTATTATCAGATTCATTAATTTTATTTTTGTAAAAACTATTCTTAGCGACTTTGATAAGTGTCCTATAGATCCTTCGATACTTTCTTTCTTTTTACCTGTTATGTGTATACTCCAAATCATGTTCTATTTGTATAAAAACATAGTGAACAATTTCTTTGTATGAACGAAAACGTTTATGAAAATTAAGGGCAACCATCGTTTGGAAGTAGTTTGTCCGATCGTGAACTTTTCGAAGAAAACCATATTCCATAAGTTCTAATGTTTCTATATCATCTATGTCATCATCAAAATATTCCATTTTTGAAAACACTTCATAAATAAACATAAAACATAACCTAACAAAATTGTTAAGGAACTCCTCAAGTGATCGATTTTCAGGACTTGAAAATGGGGACTTAAGGAAGGTATTGAGGAGTCCTTAACATTGGTGCAAGAGGAAAAGCCAATTTAAGGGCTACTTAGCCTTAAGTGCCCCTTAAAATACGTTGGAGAAAGTGGCTATAAGTGTTGTAAATAAATAGTTTGTGATTAGTGAAATATTGTTGGAAATAAATTTGTTTAGGACAGTTAATTCTTTAATTTGTTACAATATCATTCCTGAAACTAAATGATGTTTTGCATCAATTTGAGTTTTAACCTCGTTTCCTTGAAGAAACATGGATCAATAATGACGTTTTTAAGAATACTGGCGCGAAAATTATTTGCTAGACAATTTTTTAGTCCTAGCGAAATAATTAGTTCTCTTAATAATAATATATGGCGTTCCTCAAGAATTTATTTTGGACTGAATTCCTTATCCAATTAAGATTCGCTTGGAAAGATAAAAATGTTTTCTGATGATACATTTATAAAACATGGGTGGTAGTTTCAGTAAAAATATTTCTGCCTAATTAGAAAAGAACTATCCACGTATAATTATTACTTACATGGATATAGCCTTTGTTTTGATATGTATTTCTCCAATTTTCGCCTGAGTATAATTTCGGCGCCGTATTTTCCCACAGTTCCGTTATCGACTAGAAGAAAATAGGCGTGTCTATTGTTTAAAGCTGCGTTTTTGGATCTGAAAAGGAAGAATTCCGAATTAGTACAACGGTCAAATTATTATACCAGCAAATGTATACGAAAAAATTCTTGTATTTCTTTTACTGATTGCTACGATGTACATATACAAATGTTAAATGTAAAGGAACCAATGCAATGAAAGAATAAACGTTTTTCTTTCTCTCTATGTCATTTATCTTTAAAGATATACATCTTGGTGAATCTAGCTGTGCCTCTGAATATTGGGTGCGCAGTTGATCGGACAACGGAGTAGAGCGAGAGCTCAATAACATCGAGAACTTTTGATGGTACAGTAAGTAGAGGAATCATTCTGTGTGAACATTCTGTGAACATTCGTTGTCTCTGAGAAGACCTTCCAACAGTACACTGAAAAACAAGGTTCTCAGTGGACAGGGAAGTGAAATTGTGTATTAAGATTTATGCAAGGGGAAACAACGGCAGATGGAATAAGACTTCCTACTACGAAGGTAAGAAGTAATAGTAATAATAAGTAAAATTGTAACCAACATAGTGTTTCAACTTTGAAGGTTCAAGAACGGGTAGCTGAGGCCACAGATGTCTGCGTGCGAACTATACGAAAAATCAAATCAAAGATAAAATAAGAAAATGGTGAAAAAAAAACATTTTTCGCTCCAAATAAAAAAATATGTATCAAAAATTACAGGATGTGATGGATGATGCTGATTTGTCAATTTTACGTAGATGCATAATCAATTTCGTCATCAAAGAGAAAAGAGCTCCTACTTTTCTCTCATCCGAGATATTCACTATCAGGGTATCAGGGAGTCTTTGCGAAAAGACAGTCATAAACTTGTATTTCAATGAAGAAAATAAAGTGAACAATAACAGAAAAATATTGATGCAACGCCAGCCTGTTCGACTACTTAGGATAAAATCCTTGAACAAAATGTGGACCAATAGAGAAGAATGTCGACCAATTATTTATATGGACGAAACATATATTCACGTTACACAAACGGAGCAAAAAGGTTGAAGTTATCATACCATGGAACGTCTGAAAAGACTTGTTAGTAGGTAAAGGGCAAAGTCTGATGATAATACAGCGGCAAATCACAACGTTGTACGATTCGCCATATCACCCGGATTTGAATCCCATTGAGATGGTTTGGGCTGAACTGAAATATTGAGTGGCAAATAAAAATGTTACGTCCATGCCATGCAATAAATATTGCGACGATTTTACCGAACAGTTTTCTTCAGAGCGATGGAAATCTCGTTGTGAACGAGCAAATAAATTTGAAGACGATTTCATGTCAATTGAACATTTACATGATGAGGATAGCGACACCGCATCGGAACAGGAATATGGAACAGACATTGTTTTTCACACTATTGATTTTAAATTTCTGAAACTTGTAAATCCTTACTAAAATTTGTGATTTCCATTGAATACAAATTGAACGTCGACACAACACTCAGTATATCAGCCAACTTCCTGTCAACTGTTCCTGTTTTCCATCATGGTTAGGTAGTAAACTGTCACTCATCTAAGTGTAACGTCATTCCACTTCATCGTTGCATAATTCAAAATTATAGTGAAATTTCACTAGCAATAATGGTTCAAAATATGCAATAAAACCTACCAACCTCGAAAACGAAACTAAATCACCAAGTAATGATAGCCAAAACCCTCATAAACCTTGTCACAAAGAGCCCCATAATCAGAAACAGCAACTTCTCCATCACCAAACGTTTGTTGAACAACAAGCCTAGGAACAGAGTCGAAAACTACCCCAGAAGAGCATATACAAGACTCCCGAAAACACCGGACCTCATTTATATCCCTCACGTCATTCGATGGTTGAAGACGAAGTTTCAATTCAAATATCTCAAGAGGACTTGGGACCCAGAATTCACCGAAGGTGCTTTCATCTACGGTACCTCCAAAGCGGTATGCAGAATAACAGAGATCATCCACGAGAACGACATGGCCCAACTGGACGGACTCCTAACAGACTCTGCCAAGATGAAGCTGAAGCAAGACCTGAAGACGAGGATAACCAAAGCGCAGAGGGCCATCATTAAACTGAAACCTGAAGATATTAAAATCTTGGTGCCTATGAACGTGTGCCTGAAAGAAGAAGGCCTGCAGAGGAACTGCAGAGTAGGCATGCGTGTTTTGGCACTCAAGTGGATACAGCAGAAGACAGGCGCCTTGAGGCTGGTCCTGGTGGCCTTGCAGACAGAGTTTATGAAGGAATATAGGGAAGGCGGTACTTCCGATTGGACTATTAGCGCTTTCGATATCATGGAATGTGCTATTTTGACACAGTCACCTAGTTGAGGGGATCTGGAACGATGAGCTAATATGAGAACCTGGTTCATTTCAGATAGGAATGTTGATAAAAAAAACAAAGGAATCATAAGGAATTTAGATGGAATACCTCAGTGAAATACGAAAATAGAAACTAAGCAATCACGAAGAACGTATGCGTAAAACAAGTTGAAAAAATGCGTTGAACTGAACACGAAACAATTATTAAAAAATGACGGAACATATGATTCAAAGAAACATTAAAAAATATTTCAGTCTCGTTCTTTCTTTGTACTAATCGAATGAATATTTGTTGTAGTTTTCAAATAATGAAATTAGTAAATTAGATAATTTTGCATTTTTGGTTGAATTATTTATTGGTAACTTGATTACATCTGAAAAAGAAATGGGAAAACTCTACCTCTTCATTGGCATTTTCCAGTCTTCTTCGCATTCACTTGATTAAATTGGTGGAGAGTGTCTTTTCAGTAAGTTATGTTGCTGAACGAAATTATTTTGAAAATTTTAAATTTAGAATAGCCATGGAATTCAAAAGAGCATTAGTTTAATATATACAAAGTTCATCAAAAAATGGTGGGGCGTTTTAGCAAAAATTTTTTTCTGTTTGAATTTCAAATTCTACCGTATCGGAGGGACCGTAACCGGTTGTTTGGCGTGAGAGGTTCATTCTTCTCTTTTATTCGACCGCTTTGTGGGATGGTGGTTTAAATCCGATCCGGAAGATCTATTTTCATTGCTTTTCATCGAAACCCGCGATAGGGATCGCACCTTAGAAGATAAGACCTTATGGAAAATGAGAAATAAAACTTCTTTTGTTTTTATACCTCTTGTATACAAGTGGTATAAAACCATAGGAAGTTTTATTTCTCATTTTTCATGATGACCTCCTACCTACATCCATCCATTTATAGATGAGACCTCGTTAATCCTTAGCTGTGAGTTATCCTTCATAACGCGTTGATAGCTGGTTAACGGAAAAACACAATTTTGAACACTTTTTAAAACAGGTTCTTCGTTTGTTGTGACGAAATAAAAGTCTTGTTTTCGATACTGACACCTTTGAAAGTATTTTTTTGATTGTTTTTCATATGAAATATTTCATTTATTTGAAATTTACGTGAAGCCTTCACATTCATTTCAGTAAATGTTCACACTTATTTATTGTATCATTCTGGGAATAAAGACCTATGATTATTATTCTTTTTTTTCACCGTAGTGTGCGCTGGTCAAGCCCTATCCCCCGAAGCCCCGACACATTCGGGAGGGCGCGCTAGCATTATCAACCAATGACCACTCCCCACACCGTGGGGTAAGTGATCATTGGGTCCGAGAATTATGTGCCCTGAGCAAGCGCAGTGAGCCAAGAATGACAGCCTTCTGCATCTGTGCGGCTAAGATTTCTGCCTTAGTGCGGCAAGCCGGTATGATTTTAAGATTCGAGAGTAGAGAGGACATCATTCCACCAAGGACTCCAATAATCAGAACAACCATCTTGACAGAGTGATCTGGAGAGAGTCTGCGGAGTTCTGACGATATTTGTTTTGCCAGGAGCAAAATCCCCACAACGGATTCAATATCCCCCGGCGCTTAGGGGGATAATGAATCCGTTGTGTGTTATTATTATTAATATTTTCCTTCTTGTTGAAAAATATCTCAATTTTCAATTGATTGGAAACAACAATATTCGCTTTATTTGCTGTTGTTTGTGGGAAATCGAAATTTTTCTTTACAGGACATAAGAAAAATCTCTCGTTATAAATATCAACAGCTTCCATATTATTCAATATTATTTTAATACAAATTAAATGTTAACAGGAATATAACAAGTTGATATTCAACTCTAGTGGTATTCCACCTAGTTTGTTTTTGATATTTTGTATAATTGAAGTTACTGAGCGTTCTCAAACGGTACTTGAGTTTGTAATGAATTTATCTTTCGTTAAAGTTTACATTTTGTATAAAGTTTTTTATTTTCGTCACATCATAAAATTTTGCACCAACATTTTGTATCTTCTCCCGCAGTAGTAAGTAATCTTTCACACTGAAATTCATATGATTGAAAATTGGTATATTTTCTTCGTAGTTACGATACTTACCGAGGTGATGATATGGAATGATATGGTACTTCTGTGTGTTGCCCAATGAGGTCCTGGTTATTTTCTACGATACCCCAAGGAGCTATTCCTAAAGTATTGACTCTACCAGTTCTTTGAGATCTTTCTAGTAATAGCGCGTCTCCCACGTGCTTTGTTACACCTGAAAAATAAAAAGGATGCGTCAATATTTGATATTGGCTGCTGTTTGTAACCGGTACATACTTTTCAGATGAACTATTGAAAATGAATCTCGGAATTTGTCAATAACGTTATGTGTTGAAGTTTTTTTCGCGTGTAGATTGAATCATTTTCATTATGAATTATGTATTGGAAGATATGGTGCAAATGGTCCATGCTTTGGGGAAAAGTGACGGAAACTACCTCCTTGCATCTAGGATTTACAAAGAGAAGTTCCTCGAAAGAAGACAACCAGATGGAAGGGCATTTCAGGCTCTAAAAACATCAATTGAAAGAACTGGTAGTGTCAATCGTGATAAATTCGAACGTGTCTGCCCAGTGTTAGAAATCCCATGATAAGCGACCACTCAATAGATGTATATATTCGTTTTCATATCTATTATAGTTTTTATGTGGTAGAGGAATCAGAGTTGAGTCATTGGCACGACAAAGGGAAAGAAAGTTATTCATTCTATCGATACCATTTGTAACGTACAGAAGTGAAATATATATTTTTGGGAAGTGAATTGTGTTTCAATTATTAGTTTTCCAACACCTGTAACAGATGAAGAGAATACATTTCAAATTGCTCTTCATTTTGTTGAAAATCCCCATGTGAGTACCCGTGACATGAGCAGGGAATTAGGATTTAATCAAACCAGCGTGTCTCGAATGATACGAGCAAGCAAATTTCATCCTTACCACATGCAATTGATGCAAGAGTCAAGAAAATGAAATTTTAAAAAACGTGTTCAATTTTGCCGATCGGGCTTAGAACAGATCAATCAGAAAAGATATTTTTCCGATTTCGTGTTATTTTCTGATGAAGCGACTCTTCATAAAAATGGAACTATTAATCGACATGCAACGGAAAACCCCCATTCTGTTCGTTGCCTGAACCATCAACAGCGTTAGTCACCGAATGCTTGGGGTGGAATTCTCGAAAAAAGAGTTATCGGTCCGTATTTTTTGGATTGGCATCTCGCTGGAAGAAAATATGTAAGATTTCTTCGGAATGAGTTTTCGAATTTATTGGACGGGGTTTCATATGAAACAAGACTTCGAATGTGGCTACAACAAGACGGTGCACCACCACATTTTAAAACTGAGATACGGGAATACCTCAACAATCATTTCAATCAAGAAAGGATAGGTAGAGGTGGGCTTGTGGCGTGGCCACCCAGATCACCTGATCTGACCAAAATGGATTTTTTTCATGGGGATATAACAGATGGATTGTCTACCAAACTCCTCCAACATCTATTGAAGACATGAAACGAATAATCATTAGAACTTTCAGGGAAATCCCAGAGGATATGCTGGAACGTGTAGAGAATTCGTTTACAAAAAACTGGCATTATGTGTTGCAGAAAATGTAAAATTTTAGGATTCGTCAGAACATTCTAGATACTTTTTTAGCTTTTTACTTCTCCATCTTGATACAACAGTCTTTCAAAAAAATGAAGGAAGCAATCAATTTCAAAAAAAGTAAATCTATACAAAGATGTGTAGATCACGCAAAGAAGTAACTTTCAGACATAAACTGGAAAAAAAACCTTTATTTCCAGAAAAATTTATCTCTCCTGAAAATACATCCCTTTCAATTTATTCTAGACATATTTCCTATACTTATACTCGATTGTTTTGTTTTCAGATTTATCGCATAAATCAACATGAAAAGAAAATTATTTTTTCAGAGGAATTTGCTATAACTCATTTAATATTTATTTTCCATTTTTGTCTGAAGGTGGTTGACAATGTTTCGTGGTGTATTTCATTAGTTCGGACTTCCATTGTTTGATATGATATAAGTTGATTTGAAATCCTTGAAAGAATCTGTGAATAATAAAAATAAAAAAAAGATTAGCTGAAAAATAACAATTATCACCGAAGACGATTGTGAATACTAACAATCGAAACGTCTGGAAGTAACTTGGTTTGGAACTTTTCAATTTTTAGTTTTCATTCCTTGTTAATAATTTTTAATTTTCATCCCGTGTTAATAGTTCAGTTTTTTCATTTTTTGCTTGTTGCTTGTATTTTATTTCATTGTAATTTCAGTTTTTTTTGCTTAATATAGTTGTTATTTTTCAGCTAATCTTTTTTAATTCTTTACAGATTCTTTCAAGGATTTCAAATCAATTTATATCATATCAGACAATGGAAGTCGAAACTAATGAAATGCATTTATTTTCCATTCAGGTGTTGATAATGAGAAAGTGAGTAAAACCATTTCAGCATTGTTTTTAGTTGATGTGAAACGAAAAAAACTATAAATAGGTTTGTTCGCTTTGTTTCAAAACGCAAACTGTTATCGAAATGCATGACAGTAGTTGTCAGTGTTATAGTCAACTGAATTTAATTATTTATATATAAAAAATGGTCCATTCCATAGAAATGCACAAAATAATTTTACAGATGGTTGAATATGGAGATAACAAGTGATGGAATTTCATAAAAAAATCATGTTTCGGTCAACAGAACTACTTTCGAACAGTGAATCCATTCATAATTCGGTTTGGTTATTTTTTTCAATATAATTTTATTATGGAAATAGTCTCACTAAAGCCGAACCCCGCTATCGTTCGAGTGGAAATTCGAATAGCTTTCCAATGAACATGAGTTGGATACTTTTTTCACAGTTGATTAGCAGCTGGTGGTATCCACATATATTAAAAAAACCGATTAGAACTCCAGCTGTTTACCATGTCACATATTGTTCAATTATGTCGAAAATCTAAACAATTGCATGGTACATGACCATAGTACATAAATGATATGGGATGAAGGGTAGTAAAAAGAATGTTGAAAATGAGACATTGCGAAGTGTTCCCAATGATGTACAGATACGGGAAGTAAAAAAAAATATGAAGAGGAAATACACTGAAAGGAGTATAGTTTTAGAAGTGATGAGTNATTTTGTTAATAACAATTGCAATTTTTACCTGCACCAAAATCATTCAAAAACATTTTTCTAGAGGTGATTCCGAATCGAATGAGCTATCGCTCATATTTTTAGGATCTCTATCTATATTTTTCATGTTTTTGAACTTGTTGATTAGATTATTTTGGTAAAACAGCTTTTTGACTCTCAATTCTGCCGCAGTAGTAGATGAAAACGTTTGGTAGGTACTTCAGGTTCCATAAATTGATTGATGTAGCACTACGTGGTTGGAGATCATGAAAAATAAGATACTTTCTACGTTTTCTACCACTTTTATTTGTAACTATCGCTACAGTTTTTACATGGATATTTTCAAACTAATATACTCTCTGATAAAAATGCTGCATATTTTTTCATGTTAATTGTTTTCCCTCAAAACGTTATTTATTTTTATTGATAAATATTCAAAGACCAAAGTATTTTACGTAAATTTCTATTCAGTATAGATGAAAGAATGCTTGGACATAGTCGCTATAGCTGAATAAGTAAAATAATGGTCCAACATACAAACTTTGAATAGTGTGCCTCAGTCACTATTAATGTCTATTATTTCGTTTATTGTCAGAATGACATTTCGAGAACTTTATGTCTTGATTCTGTGGTTTCCTTAGTGAGATGCCGCATTTGAGCGAATAAGTTTGTGTTAAAATTGTTACTTTAGTCAATGAAGGATGCAGACGCGAGATTGCATATCCATCAATCTACTGTTTCTCGTATTGTAAAGCGATACATTGAGACTGGGGTGGGCCTGGTCAAGAATGTGAGAGATGTACAACACCAAGAGATGACCAACATTTGAAAATTCAATCATTGCTAACTCGCACACTTACAGCCCCGCATCTCAGAAATGATTTACTGAGCATGGGATAAGTTAGTACAAGTGTCAAAACAGTAATAAAAAGACTCAAAGAAGTTGGTTTAAATCCAAAAAGCCCTGCCAGAGTTCCTAGACTGCTTCCACGTCACAAATCTAGATGGTTACAATTTGCCATTGCCCATGTCAACTGGAATGAATCTCAGTGGGGAACAATTGCACCGAGCTTATAAATGTGAATTCAAGAATGAATGCTGATTGGTACATACGCAACATCCTTGAAGAGCGGCTTCATTAATAACGACAATTTCGTGCTAATGCATGATAATGCTCGTGCACAGGCTGCAGTATCTTGAAGTTGTTGGACTTGAGACGGTGGAGTGGCCACCAAACAGTCCTGATGCAAATCCCATTGAATATATTTGAGAAATCCTAAAAACCATATACAAGCACGAAATCTAGCTCCTAACTGAATTGAAGAATTAATAATTGATGCACAGGAAGAATGAAATCGAATTCCACAAGAAACCATCAAAGATCTTTTTCGGAGTATGCCCAGGAGTATGCAGGCTATCGTTAGAGCTAGGGAAGGAAACACTTAGTACTGAACTGTTCAAATAACTTTCATTTTGTCGTCATTGTTGCTTGTTTTGATTAAATATTATTACCTACCAAAACTAGTCTATTTCATTACTACTTCTACAAGTGTGTTATGAAGTTTCATAATCTGGATTATTTGGAAATCAATATACGTTAAATACTTTAGCATATACCATTTAGTAATGAAAATTGCATAAAGATTCAGATAAATAGAAACAAACATGAAATCAAGGCCTAAAATGAAATATGCAATAATTTTGTCTGAGTGTACAATAAAACTGTTTTATTGTTGTAAGAGGTAAAAAACATAGGCCAGGGCCTATCAGCCCGGATTTTGATTTCTTCAAAAGTAAAAGCTAATACTTTTCGAGTTTGCTGTAGCGAATTCCTCCAAGCAAACGATGTCCTTTTTGGCAATAAATCTTAAAACACTTATTGCTTCCAAAACAATTGTAGATAGGTATATGACATTGTACATGACATATATATCTAGAATATATAGGATGTTACATTCACAACAAGAAAGTTGATATGGATTACTATTACATTACCACTCTGCGTAGAAAGTTTTTGTTGAAGAAAATGTTCAGCTAAGAATACAAAGCAAAACAACACATCCTTTCAATTATTTACTATGCTCCCATTTATCTATTACCGAATTTATTCCAATTAACTAATACATACTGTATATCAGAATCAGGGCAATAACAAAGTTGAATATACCTGTATTCGTTCCCCCTGTGAAAATCCAGGCTCCCGTCGACCTGGCAGCTTTGAGCAAACCTTTTCTGAGAACCTTCTTCAACTTAGGCTGGAGTTCAAAGTTGGCTTTACCTCCCTGAATCGATATGAGAAGTTTCGGCAACTCTAGATTCCATTCGCGAGTTATTAACTGCATCAGATGTTCAGGTTTTGTGTCATGTGCCACTCTGATGTACTGAAACAAATTCAAAATATGAATATTGACGAGAATAGTACTAGGAATAGAAATACTGGTGTAGATACTCCAGTGATTTGGAGTGAAAGTAAACAGGTTCAATTCAAAGCCAAAAAAACTCAGGCATCGGTTTTCTCCAAGAAGATAAATGTCTCCGAACCGGATATAATAATCTCAGGTCAGATAATTCCACTTTCTGTTTCGATAAGTTTGTTGAGGGTTAAAATGGACACCAATATGACTTGGCACAATCATGTCGCTGGAATCGCAACTTGGAACACTGTTCCAAACCAGAAAACTGTACACACCTCAGCAACTTTTGATGTTTATAAAGCTTAGATCAGACCTTCTTTGGAGTGTTGTTCTCATACGTGAACCTCTGCCCCCAAACATACCCTAAAGTTCCTGGATTCCATCCAGAAAAGAGCCATCCGCCTGATTGGAGACACGAACATCACGTGCAACCTTGATAGCCTGGACCATCGAAGAAAGGTTGGAGACTTGTCTCTGCTGATTAACGGAAAACAGATTTTAAACAGATTTTTCAAAGAGTGGTTTTTTTTTCTATAGATACTTTCATAGGAAGTATTCAAGTAACTTGGCACATTTGATTCCACCAAGAGCAGTACATATCAAAAATACGCGTCGGACTCTGGCTGTTCATCGTTTTGAGGTTCAATTCAGTACATCTCGAACTTCACTATTCAATAACTTTCTCCAGCGATTCAAATCCAATGTGAATCGCTACTTTCGCACAGGCACCGCTCTGAGAGCGCCTTAAGGATTTTCATGCAGTGCTTGTGTTTTGTCATTAAGAAAAACCGTTAATGAGCAAGTTAGGAGGGCAGAAAAGTCATCAATTTTTGGGTCCAAGGGTGTTCAACACTCTTCCTGATGGAGTAAAAATTCAAAAATCGATATCAAAATTCAAAGGAGAATTGAAACATACGTATTCATATCAAAAGAACAGGAGAGAGAATAATCAATTAATTGAATATTCAATTAATAATAACTGTTTGATCACTATTTCAATACTACTTATTTTATGATTGAGATACGTTTCATTGTAAAACGTAATATTTCATTAATTATTATTATTTATGTGTGGGTCGGCAGCCGGGCGGTTCGACATGGGTGTTTTGTTCACTCTCTCTATTGACTGATGTGTGAGTCGGTGGTTCAAGCCGCAGGCTGAACGATCAATTTTCACTTGTTATCGTCCAACTTGTTAGGAATCACACGTTAAAAGGTAAGACCTCGTTAGTCTTTAGCTCCCACAAGTTTCGACTTATAAGGGTTGTCGTTCGTAGGGGTGCGACAGCTCGTACGTACATGAGTCAGCTCCTGTTCAAGAGGACAGGTATCGCTACAAGTGATGGAGGCACGCTTTGAAGTATGTATTAGGCTGTTTCAGAAGGTTTGTCCGTTTCATTGTCATGTGTTTTTGTAGCTCCATATCTCAATACGAGTAAATATTTAGTCTACTGTGTGGTGGTATATACTGTTACGTTTTCCCCCGTGGGATTACCAATAATTGACTACACTGAACAATAATCAAACTTAACTTTATTTCACTTTCAATACATCAAACACTTCTTCTTCAACTTCAACTATTCTCACTTGACTGACTCGATAGGCGAGTTGATGGCGCGTATATTTGGCAATCGAAGACGCTGGATAACTCTTCGGAATTCTATTGAAGCGGCGCGAACATCGAATAGCCGCGAAACATCGGGAGGATAATTCTCGAAGCAACGCCACGTCTGGAACGGCCGCTAGCGCATGTTGAGTTAGGCGTGATCTTGGTCACGTCACAATTGAATTATGGCCACCAGCGGCGGCCGGCGTTACTTTCTTTAGGGCATGATTTATAACAATACTGATCGATAGAGAATTCTGTACTTTTTACATTGATGACGTTCAATTTTGTCCAAATAGGACCAAAGCGCTGCCGAAACAAAATGAAAAATTAACCAAGCATTTGGCAATAATAGTGCCAAAGAACGTACTGTTCGACGTTGGCTTGCGAAATTTCGTTCCGGAGATTTCAGCCTGGAAAATGAGCCCTGAATTCGTCCATCTACAGAAAACCAGGATGAGGATTTGAGGATCCTGGTGCAGATGAATCCATCACAAATGGTACGTGGGATGGCGGAAGAACTGGGCGTCAGCTCCCATGCGGTTTTGATGGTTTAAAAATTATTGGAAAGATCAAAACGTTTGTAAGGTGAAACCATGGATCTTCATCAAGTAACGGCCGAATCAATAAAAAAATAAAATAAAGCCAACACGTGCTTTTGATATTTTCACAATCTAACGATTTGAAGTCAGCAAACCAACGTTTATCTGTTGTTTCTGATGGAGCGGAGTCCTCTTAACACTTTTCAAGTCATTGCTTCGCTAGAAAGGTATTTTTTGAAAATAACAAAAGTAGTGTCACTCTTAGTATAATAACTCACAAATTCATGAGTAGAATACCGTGAAATTTAAACAGCTTTTTTTGAAGGTTAGTACTAACTGAAAAGCGTTGAATTCAATAAGTTAGCGCCATCTTTTCAGCTCATGTAGCCTGTTCCGTCTTCACTAGTTTTCTTTTTTTTTTATTACATTTTTTATTTTTCATTTCCCTTTATGTATTTGTCTATTGATGAATTTCACTCAATTTGCAAAATTTGTATTAATCGCAAAATTCTGATTAAATATATGAAGCACTCCTCGTATCAATATATTTGGTCGGTCGCTGAAACAGCAGCAGAACAACAGAATTCGATATATAGACTCGCTACAAAAAGCATCTCAGGTGATTCGACAACCTACTCAATAAAGTAAGAACGTTGCTGGCCAGCTAGTGTGTGATCCAACGGGTTCTTACGATCATCCTCCTGGAACGAGAAGTCTCTCTACAAGCCGCTACTAGAGCCGACATATACTCACCACACCCACGTAATCTCTCTCGCTCTTTTTTTTGTGTCCTGAACTATTGGGAACTTCCTCAAATCATACAATCCTATGTTATACTTACAGTCCACTTATCTAATGAAGCTACATAGCCTTTCGACAGCCCTCTTACAAAAAAGGACTGGTTTAAACGATTCCACTCTTGGTATATTGTACATTCTGTACAGATTTCAGTGAACTTTTTTTTAATTCTTGAGTGAGAACTGGTCAAAAGTTGAAACTGAAACGCCATTGCTTTCAAAAACAAAAAGTATTACTAGGCTGCACATTACGATAATATGTACCGTAATATAAGATTAACCAGCCGCAAATGAGTAAAGGATTAGTTGACTTATTGGGCAGAATGAAATAAACTATTTAGGGACACAGGATTGTTGGAATAAGGTCATGTAGAGATGGAATGAAAAAACGTAATCAAACCCACGAGGCTACAACATTTTTAAGAAGATATATCGGTTTTCAACTAATAAAAAGTAGAGCAAACCATGTTTCATTGTGTCAAGTTTCATTGTGACCTGTGTCGATGCCGTAAAAATATATTCATTTTCGACCTTAGGAATACAGCAGAAAATTTTGCAACAAATCAGTTGACAAGCCAATATTCCATTAATTTCCAGAAAAATAAGTGAAATCGCAGATTTCCTTTAAAAACGTCAGTCAAAACCCTTTGAGGTCCCTAACAGAATATCGGGCTCTCTATAATAACCCCAGGAAAACAAAGAGAGATCTCCCAAGCCGTTAACGCAGATTAATAGAAAATATCTCAAGAGGCCCGCAACTGACACCCGGAGTCTGAAGGCTCACACCCATTCCGGAGGCGGGAGGAGTCAGGGTCGGATTGGGCCCAGCTGGTTCTCTATAAGCGATAAGAGAAAATGTGATACCAGCAGATGATAATGAAATGTACATACGTACAAAAAGGATGTTGTTAGTTAAGAATATAGTATATTGACTGAAGCCAGTCAAAAAACATGTTTTACAGGGCAGAATTTAGAACTCAACTGTAAGTATCAAAAGTAGCGTATCAAATATGATGCTGGGATAGTAGTCCACTTGAATTTTGCATTTTTCTGGGCTTGGCATGCAGTTGTAAGAAGATGTAATTTTATGTTTCAGATGTCAGAAAGGGTTTAGTGTGAAGTTAAATTCAAGTTTGTGGAGTGGAAACACTCATTCCGCGGCACCAATATCGGGTGAAGAGGTGCACATGTTTTTTTTGTTTAGCTGGCAAACTATTGGGCGCGCAGAAAATGTAAAAAAATATTTTTCGTTGCAAATAAAATTCTTTACAACTTTAGTTCTGTAACTTTTAGTGTAGAACCGAAATTTAGAATAGAAAGTTATAAACGAAAATCAATGAAAACTTTGGAACTTTCCCGAATTTCACTAGTTCAGACTTCTGTTGTCTAATATGATATAATATGATTAGAAATCTCTGAAAGTAGGGGGGAAATCTGGTGAATACGGTGGCTGGGGCATGATTACGGTTTTGTTTATTATCGAAAAATTACGGAAGTCTTCTTAGTATTGCTTCTCACAAGTGGTGCATAACCTGAAAATAATATTCCTTGTTGACCGTGCGACCATGGGGTAAGAACACTTGGTGCACTACGCTACGGTAATCGAAAGAAACAGTGAGCAAAACCTTGACATTTGATCGAACTTGGTGTGCTTTTTTGGTCTTGAATCGATTTTTATTGCTAATATGTTACAATCATTTGAAATTTCAACTCTCATAACACCAAAAATTATATTATTTACAATAAATCTGTAAAATTACACTTTGGGTATTATTTGAAATATTGTTGTAAATCACCTTCAGAAAAAATAACGCCGACCGCCGCTGGTCTCCGTCAATTGATTGTGACTTAGCTAAAGGCCTCCTCCACAGACGTTGTTCTTTTTCAACAGGATTACCCGACGTGCAAAACTGTTCGGACAATCACGAACCGTGGTGGCGCTCACAAACACTTCAGTTTTCCTTCAGTATTGTCATTGTCATGGAGACGACAGTGGCGTTAGCTTGGGTTTTAGCAATAAAA